TTTGTATTACGAGAATGAAAAAGCTATTTAGTTAGTAAGTATTAACAACCAGTTAGCATGGTTCGTACTTCGTACCGGTCTATAAACCGCTTGCTTGTTGAGTTTATCATAATTAGGGGATTTGTGTCGAATGAATTAAAATATTAAAAATGTTATAGTGATACCCATTTGTTTTCTTTGAAGTTTCTCTCCTAGTGTAGAGTGGCTCGCAATTTTATGCGATGTAACATGCGAATATCGTTACCGTCTAATTAAAAACTTATGTCAAGTAGTCAAAAAAAGAAACCCTAGAAGTAGAAGACTAGGAAAATAGGGTTCGGCGAATATGTCTCGAGTCGCTAACAAACATGCATCGCCTTCCACTATGGCTTACACGGATTCCCATTTTTATGTATTTTTCTATACAAGCTTTAAGTTTTGATTTTATTTTCTAATCACTGTTATATTTGGTAAAGTTTAATCACCAAAAGGTCATGTTTATCATCTATGTATTTAGAGAACTATGTACACGTAGGTCCGAAAACAATTTTTGTTTTGTTTTGGGTTAATTAGTAAAGTTGTAGAATAATAAAACAAACAAATAAGTTGTAGGAGAATATTTATAAATCGAATATTGATAAATCAATTTTAGTAAATTGGTAAAATTAATTAACTGATTTACCAAAAAAAATAACAAACAGAGGAAAGATTTTGTCCATCCAACGGCTGGTCAAATTAAAAAACATTCTACACTAAATTCAGGATTCAAGTTTCAGAAAAATATTATTTTATCTTTTATAAAATTAAAATTTCTAAAGCTTCAGATTGAAAGTGTTACAAATCAAAATCGTATGTGTATTATTGGACAGAATTATACTATGTATTTTAAAATAAAATTGATATTGTCGTTTTTAAAATCAACAAGGGCACAAAATCATATAAAAATTTTTTTTGGACGAAATGCAATTTGCATATCTAAGGAAAGGATTATGAGTGAGCGAATTGAGAGGGATATTTTTGAGAGATCATCGAGGGAAGGTACTGTGGATGGGAGCTAAAGTGACTCCTGAACCATGAACGGTGATTGAAACAAAAGTTGAGGAATAATCAATTTTATACCTCAGGCAACGTTCGTTTTTATTTTGGGCCACTTGGCTACAAGTTTCAGTTCATTATACTGAAACTAATAATAATCTTTCAAATCTATGTTCCGATATATTAAAAGAACAACAAAAAATTACTCAAAACTGAACATCTTTTTTTTAAGTAACAATTACCTTTCATTTAATAATTTAAAAAGATTAAAATCTAAAGTAAAATGACAAATTACATTACACGAATTCATGCGAAGCGGAAGAGAAGGATTCACGAGGAAGTGGTGGTCTCTTCTTGATAGTATTAGTAGTAACGTATCTTGAAGAAAACGCATAAAAGCGCAAGTAATAATCCTCATCATCGGGAGTGTACCACACGCGCCTCCGTCGAAGTTAAGTGAATAGCTCATTGGATCGTACCGGCATTGGAACGAGCTTCCTTGTCTCCGAGCCGACGTAGCCAGCAACAACCTTCCTTTTCTCTTCAGTTTTCTGATGAGCCTCACAAGGCACGTGATGCAGCAGTTTGGCGGTGTAGTTGGGACATCGGACTTCTTTGTCATTGCGGTTGCGGTGGCTGTCTTGACGTCGCGTATATGCCGGGAAAATGTCATTTAGGTGACTTTGTCGGACAGAGAAGAGAGAGAGTGTGTGTTCTTGAGTGTTATGATGAAGAGAGAATCTAACTGATAATCTGACAAGAGTATGTAATGTATGTCTATATTTATAAGTACTCCCTCCGTATTTTAATAATTGTCGTTTTAGGATTTTCTTTTTTAAAAAATTAGATGTCGTTTTCAAATTTCAATGCAAAATTTCTTACTTTTTAATGTTTTATGATGTCATAAAACATTAAAAAGTAATAAATTTTGCATAGAAATTTGAAAACGACCTCCAATTCAAAAAAATAAAAATTCTAAAACGACAATTATTAAAATACGGAGGGAGTATATATGTTTATACAATCGACATCAATATGTTATTAATATACTTAAGATAAAGACAATATGCTCATTTTTGACCCAAACAAAAGAAAATCTCATTGCTACTTGTTTTAGCAAATTAATATTAAACGTTTGATTATAAGAAAAATGTACAAATAAATGATCTCATGCTATTGTAGTAGAAATGTTAATAAATTATAGAACCAATGTTCGAATTCTTGTACTACAGTTTCAATTATGGTTAGCCACTTCTTCTACAATTTCATAGAATTTTTTAGTTTCACTTCGAGATTCCTCGATCATAACGAAAATATTGTACAAAATTATATAGTAAAGTTTCTCTATAGATTTTTTTTCAGTTGTATTTTAAATATTGTAGATGTGTACTTTAATTTGTAGGTAGGTCCTAGCCAATAGCCACATCTTATAAAGTTATTTCTTTCTTCGTTTCATATTCTGCTTTTTTAGATCCATTATCTTAAGATTTAAAGGTTAACTTTTCTTAGTTCTTACACTTCGATAGCTCGAATGATAGTTAATAATTTCATCTATAATTACAAGCGTAACAAATATGAAAAGTAACAACTACTATATAATTGGCAGTCGATATATATATCTTTAACCAAGTAGATATAGTCCAATGTTTTCTCTATATTGATAAAAAAATTAGATGTCGACTTCCACTGGATTTATGTGTTGATAATGTAGTATATTGAATTGACGACTACGAACCCACTATCCTAGCCTAATTAAACATTATCCAAAAACCTATTACACATACGGTAACATGTATTTACAAATTACAAGAGTTATGATTTGTCATTGAAATTATTCTTTTGTATTGAATAGTTAATAAATTATGGTAGGTACACAGTGCACATGGCTAGGAATCAAACACATGAAGCTGAGTCAAGACTTCGTCTTCTTTACCATCTTTTCCATTCTCATAAGTCATATCTCCCCTTTGTCGATTTATTTATTTATTTCAGTAGCATTGGCCCATTGTTTTTGATGGTTGGTTTATTTATTAATTCATTTTAGTCGTCGTAACACATATCCATATATCTTGTGTTTGCGCGGGCACAAATGGATATTTAAGGTTTAATGGAAAAGAAAAAAAGTAAGTAACCGGCCCATGTGATAGCGTTACAAATATATGTGTGTATAAGCTAATTGCATAGAAATATACGCCCGTTAGTGTCTAAAACTAAGAGATATATGCCCATTATATATATTTTTAAGAGGATGATCGATCTTAACCAAGTTCATACTATTTTAAATGTTTATAATGGTTAACTATAATATATTCTTAAAAGCAAAAAACGTACTGTAAATATATACATAGCATCGGATAAAAGTCATTCGAAAAAACTTTTTTTTTCTCTCTCGACCAGAACGGGTACGCCCTAGCCGCCGTCAACCGTAGTCTCTCATTTTGACCTCTCCGGCTTCCGGCGCTCCTCGCCGGAGTCGTGAGATGGTCCGTCCGTTACTGTTCTGCCGTTTCTCTTTGGTTTCGAGTCACTCTCAACTGCTTCCCTGAGAGAACTAGATTCGTTTGTTTCCGAGCGGCGTTTGTTGATGGTCTCTTCCGATTCCGGCAAGATTTCCTCTCTGCGTTGCTGTCTCTTGATTCGTAGAGGAGATCCGCGATTTCCTTTGAGGTCGTCGGTGGTTTCGTTCTTCTCAGCCTCAGATCTGGACCTTGTCTAGGTTTCGCTCGTTGGTGTTAGGCGGATCCATTGCTTCCTTTACGACTGAGACGAGTTTGTTTTCTCTCCGGTAACTTTCGACATCCGTGTCTTTCGTCTTTGAGTTAGTTGAGTTTAGACCCTTGTTTTGTTCTGTTGGAATAAGTGTTATTAGGATGGTTTCAATCGTTAGCTTGGTCTTTATCTGAGAATTAGCTGGTTGTTTGGCCCTTTCTCGTCGGGCTGTGTGTATGGCTTAGCCGTATGGTCCGGTTTTTGTGGCTCTCAGTCTCTGGTTCTACGCTTATGGTGATAGCTCGGTTTGATGGCTTTGTCTCGCTTGTTCTCTTCTTCTCTATGGACTTGTTGATTCTTGCTCTCCCTCTCTTTGGTTGGTCTTTATTGTGAGCTCCCTGTTTCGGTCTGTTGTCGTTCTTGTGTGAGTATGGCATCATCGGTTTGGAGTTCTGTCTCGCTCCTTGTCTCTACTATCAAGACCTGATCGAGGTCTGGTCAGATCAAAGATTTCTATCAAGGCGTCAAATTGTCGTGGTTCTCGACAACGCCGCTTCCAGAAGATTTGTGAATCGTATGGTCTGTGATTTGCTTCTTTCTTGCTGGATATGAAGTCTAGGATTAAGTTATTTGTGAGGTACTTTGGATTCGCTATAGGAGGTTTCGTTAGCTGCTAACGGTCTCGTTTCGTCCGCTGTGGTTGGCTTTGCTCATCTGGGAGATAATGGGAGGTCTTTTGATAAGTCTATTTTGTTTGAGAATTTGTTTATAGACTTGGCTTGTCACTTCGCTTTTTGTGGATTGTTATTTCATCGTTTTCATTAGTTTCCCTGTAACTTAGGGCTTCTGCTTCCCTCTTTTGGGCTTCTGTCTCTGGGGATATCTCGTTTTTCCGCCGGCATATGTATTTCATCATGTATCCTTCTATGGTTTTCTAATAAAATTCAGACGACAAAAAAAAAAATATATATACATAGCTAACCACATCTAGCATGTATTATTAAGTACATATATTCATAAAGCATACAAACTTAATTAGTATCCACACAATATTATAAAATTATAAATATGAGATGTTTGGACCAAAAGGAAAATAAAGTAAATATAAACTATAGTCTTCATGAATCCTCCTCATCAAGTCACCATTGACCAAAAGTATATAACATAATTACATATAGCCTTCGTGTGTAAAGCACGTGATCAGCAGTTTTATATTACATCATTTGAACCATCAAACTTGTTAATAAGAAATTATTATGTCAAGAGAAGTCATTAATAAGATATTGTATAATGTATTCTTCTAATCGAAGACAACTAACATGGGATTAAGTAGCTTTGCCTTACATGGAAAGAGATAAGAAGAATAAAAGAGAGTAAACCACCAGACATCAAATCCAAATGCAAGAAAGACTCTGAATCTTTGGCCTTTCTCGTTGGTCATCATTTAGAGATCAATATAACTTGCTTTGACCTGCAGTTTCTGAAGGTCTATCAGCGTTCTCGCTTCGGTTTTATGCCTCCAAGCTCTTTGTGAACATCATTGTTGTGGAACCCATCCTGTCATCTCCAAACCCACAGGCTTTGAAGAATGGCCTAACAAAAAATGTTTGTTTATCATCAGTACAAATGCATAAGGATTCTGCATTCACTAATATCAATCCCACACATATTGAAGATATCATTAGTAAGCTACTATCACCAAATCCTTGGTCAGAAGTCAGAACAGATCACATTACTATATCCTTCGATCCTAAACCAAGTGTGAAAGGATACAACAAAGAACTGACAAGCTGCTAAGGAAGGGTATTAGTTATCTCAGAGGCAAAGGTGGTACCTTTCATCTTCGAAGCAGAGAGCTGCTATGTCGTAGATGTCTCTGCTTGTGAGAAGCCTATTGAAACAGTTTTCGATGAATGAGGCAATTTGATATTTCACGAACTAACCTTTAAGAGAAGGTTAAGGGTTTTAAGTAACGCAAAATCATAGTGGAAAATACAATCAAACCTGACAATTCTGTTTACTATCAGTTTACCAATTCCCATCCGTTGTAGTGAAGGTAAAACCTGGAAAACACTGAGACCAAATTACACATCTTAGCATCAAACAGAAGGTATTACTACAGCTTGCGTGGACCGGGTAATGAAAGCAAATTCCACTAAATAACCTGTTAAACTTGGTGCTACAAATATAAGTACCATTAGATCATGGATAGAAGCAGTCAAGCCAAAATCAGAATAAGCACGACCGAATCCAACAAGCTGTCCAGTGGAAGGAGTTAGAGGCAACACATTCTGAAACAAGTCTACCAAAGAACTCTCATCCTTATTTTGTCTCCCAAATTCTGAATGATACAAAGATGAAGACAAACTTTCTTCTTCTGAATACAAAACCGCATCATCAACATCCGCGTGATGAGGTTTGCAAAACACAGAGACAACAACATCGCTACGAGAGATAGCTATACGCAGCTTTTTCATATCAACAATCTTTTCAACGTTGCTGCCAGTACTCAGACAAACGGTTGCAAGAATGATTACAAAGTAAATACAAATTCCTCAATTCCTCTAGATTTATGTCTTTCTTCAACGTAGAGATATATATCGGTATAGACCGAGGCAATGCCAATGCAGCATTATCAGATTTTCTTCTTCTTGCCCACCTCAGTTCCATTGATACAAGAGAAGAATTACCAACACAAACCGCCAAAACCATTTCTTTAAGCAATCTTGATCACACAATAACGCACCATCTAATCAATAAAACAGTACATGAAAATCAAATCTCACAGTAGCTAATTACCAAACCTAACTGAAGAATCTGTCAAAGAGTTGTGTCTAGAAGAAACTATAGACTAAAAAAAATTCATATTCTACTCAAAGTTTCAATTTTTTGGTTTAAGATGAGCAAAAGATAGCAAATTTCTTAGAAACGAGCTCAATCAACATTACAAGACTCAAAATTTCCTGTAGAAAACTAACTACAGAGGCTTAAATCTCTATGAATTATGTGATTTTTTATGATAATATAGAAAAACCTGAGGAAACTTGTGTCAAATTTCTCGGTGAAAATCAACCATTTTTGCCTCTAAATTTCCGATTTTTCCATCAGCAGAGAGATGAAGAAGAAGAAGAACAAAAAAAATGTGTGGCTCAAGATTTTTTGTGGAAGAAAATAATCCGGTTATCGATAAAATGATCCGGTATCGATAATGTGTATCCGGTTATCGAAAATAAAAACAGGTTAAGTAAAGAACCGGAGGAAGAGGTGAGAGAAGAAGAAACCAACATAACCGCGAGTATAAAAAAAGCGAGTACGACGGCGACGACGAAGAGTCGTTGCCCTAAGATCTGTATCTGTACTCGCTTCCGATCATTACTCTTCTCTTCCCAGTCTTCTTCATCATGTAATATATCTTTCTTTTTGACCCTCCAAATTTTATCATCTTTGCACTTTAGTAAATTAGTTTCTGATTTTGTCTATTTCGTACTGTAACTACTAGTCAATCGATTTATCATTTTGAGTTGCTTAAATGTCTCGTTTCTGGGTTTTTGCTTTGGATCATAGGTTTGATTCTTTTTAAGTGGTGATGATTCGAGTTGACTTTGTGGGTTTTGAATGGTTGACTTTTCACTTTAAGATGATTCATTTCTGTATTTGAACATGTTTTGCTTACATTTTGAGGTTTTAGGATTCTGATGTTACTGATTCTAAGTTTCAATTGCTCCATTGATATTATTAGAATGTCTTTTTTTTTTTTTTATGTTAAAGTTTGCAACTTGGAAGCTGACCATGGTTGTTTCAACAGGTATAAGTTGATAAAGGTTTTGAGGGGTGAAGAGTTAAACTAATTGGGGATTGATTTCGAAATGCCGTCAGGAGAGTGTAGTAATGTGCAGTTGGATGATGATAGGATTAGCTTAGAGATTGATGAAGGTAGAGAATTTGAATCGAAAGAGGAGGCTTTTGAGTTCTACAAAGAATATGCTAAATCTGTTGGGTTTACTACCATTATTAAAGCTAGTCGTCGTTCAAGAATGACCGGGAAATTTATCGATGCTAAGTTTGTTTGTACGCGTTATGGAAGCAAGAAACAGAGAAGAAGATATAGATACTGGTTTAGGTACAGATAGGTTTAACATTCCTCAGGCAAGAAAACGCGGTAGAATAAACCGGTCATCATCGAAAACTGATTGTAAAGCATGTTTACATGTTAAGAGAAGGCAAGATGGGCGGTGGGTTATTCGTGGTTTGATTAAAGAACATAACCATGAAATCTTCACTGGTCAAGCCAATTCTTTAAGAGACTTGGGTGGGCGGAGAAAACTTGAGAAACTAAACGGTGCTATTGTGAAAGAGGTGAAAAGCAGGAAGCTACTTGCTTTAGAGGATGAGGATGTTGAAAGACTCCTAAACTTCTTTACGGATATGCAAGTTGAGAATCCTTTCTTCTTTTACGCCATTGATCTCAGTGAGGAGCAGAGTCTAAGGAACGTCTTTTGGGTTGATGCAAAAGGTAGGTTGGATTATACTTGTTTCTGTGATGTTGTATCTTTTGACACTACATTCATAAAGAATGAGTATAAACTGCCTCTTGTCGCTTTTACTGGCGTGAACCACCATGGACAGTTCCTGTTGCTTGGTTGTGGATTATTATTAACGGATGAGTCTAAATCTGGGTTTGTTTGGACATTTTCGGGCATGGTTAAAAGCGATGCACGGATGCCAACCCCGAGTGATACTTACCAAACATGACCAAATGCTCAAAGAAGCTGTCTTGGAGGTGTTCCCATCTTCTAGACATTGCTTTTATATGTGGGATACTCTTGGTCAGATGCCGGAAAAGCTTGGTCATGTTATGAGACAAGAGAAAAACTTTATGGATGAGATGAATGATGCTATTTACGGGTCTTGCAAGAGCGAGGACTTTGAAAAGAATTGGTGGGAGGTAGTTGATAGGTTTCATATGAGAGACAACGCATGGCTTCAGTCATTGTATGAAGATAGGGAATATTGGGTTCCTGTATATATGAAAGATGTATCTCTAGCCGGATTGTGTACAGCTCAGAGGTCAGATAGCGTCAACTCTGTTTTCGATAAATACATTCAAAGGAAAACTACATTAAAAGCATTTCTTGATCAGTACAAGAAGATGATACAAGAGAGGTACGAAGAGGAAGAGAAAGCGGAGATTGAGACATTGTATAAACAACCCGGGCTTAAGTCACCTTCACCATTTGGGAAGCAAATGGCTGAGGTATACACTCGTGAGATACTCAAGAAGTTTCAGGTGGAGGTGTTGGGAGGAGTTGCTTGCCATCCGAAGAAAGAAAGCGAAGAAGATGGGGTCAACAAGAGGACTTTCAGGGTTCAAGATTATGAACAGAACCGTGCTTTCGTTGTGGTGTGGAACTCTGAATTATCTGAAGTTGTCTGTTCTTGTCGATTGTTTGAGTTCAAAGGTTTTCTTTGTAGGCACGCGATGATTGTTCTGCAGATGTCTGGGGAACTTAGTATTCCTTCTCAGTATGTGTTGAAGCGTTGGACAAAGGATGCGAAAAGCAGAGAAGCCATGGAATCTGATCAGATTGATGTAGAATCAACTAAGGCTCAACGGTACACGGATCTTTGTCTCCGTTCTTTGAAATTGAGTGAGGAAGCATCTTTATCCGAGGAGAGCTATAACGCCATGATTAATGTGCTGAATGAAGCTTTAAGAAAGTGGGAGAACAGGAGTAACTTGATCCAAAATGTTGAAGAGTCAGAATCGGTTACAGCTCAAGATCTACCAATACATGAAGAACAGAACAACACATATGAGATGAACAAAGACGATAATGTCGCTGACACAGGACAGGTTTTGTTTTCTTCTCAGCTGGTTTCGTGGAACAGGACTATTAATCTCCTGATTTTGTCCTTAAGGCCTGTATTTGGTCTAACCTGGCTTTCTATTTGTCAAGGAATATTCATTGCAAGAAGTCTGGAAAGTAACTTCTTTGCAAGAACAAAGAAACCGATACTCGATTCTCGATGACTACCTCAGTGCCCAACATATGTCTCATGAAATGGTATACGAGAATAGTCGTAGACCTTTACACTTTTACAGTATAAGAAGGTTCAATTTTCAAACTTAGTTCCTGTGTGATCCACAGGGACATATCAACTCGATGGCCTCAAATCGCAATGGATATTGTACTGTCCATCAAAACATACACTCGCTGGTAAGCGTGTGACCGAGATTTCTTTATTGTTTGGAAATAGAGGCTCCGAGATATATTACTGATTTTTATGTTAATCTCATTGCAGGGGCAATCCATAACTCAGCAAAGGCTTTATGGAAATGTAAGTTGTTCTCTGAATGGGTCAGCATGACCCGATATAGCAGGTTTGATTGAAGTTTATGTTTAAAAATTATGGCAGGAACAATCAAGTTTCAGACCAGAAGCTATGTATGAAAGACTTGAAGACATGGTAAAAGACTTGAACTAGACTTTGAAATCTAACTCAAAATTTCAGGTACTTCTCTATTTACAAAGGAGTGAAGTAGTGTTTATTCATGAATTGTTAGGGACAATCAAATGTTAGACATCATCCTCAGCAACATTGCAATGCTTCAAAACATCAACTACTCCAACAGGAATTTCTCTCACTGAGTCACTAGCTCTTCCTTTTTCGAGCAGCATAACTAATTGTGAATTTTCTTTTAATCTTCGATTTTTACTTTAGATGATAAAAATGAATATATGTACAGTATATGGACAGATGTGGCAAATAATAATATATATAAAATTTGGATGTTTTCTTTAATTTTTTAAAAATTGATTTCAACTCAATCCAATAGTTTTTTTTTGTAAAAATATCACTAAAGCTGTAGTTTTTTGTATACAAAATGTGATTTTAATCCTTATTGAACATAAAAATTGAAACTTTGGAGCGGTTATGCAAATGCACTCAATGTTATATTTTGAAGAAATGGTAACTTTTTTATTAATTACCAGTTATAGGAATGATACGTGTGGCCTGTGGTTTCAAATCTTTAAATTACTCTACATAAAAATTGTTTTAGATACAAAATAACTTCATACATATCAAAAGAAGAAAAAGAAAAAACATTGGTGATCAAGTGGGATGCTTAAATTCTTACTCAAAAATGAAATTTCTTAATAAAATTTTTGACAGCAGTTACATTTCAAGTTTTTTCTCATCCGATTAATTATCAAATTACTAGACAATTTCAAAAGTGAAAAATTGATAACAATTATGTTCATTAAAAAAAAAATCATTTGGTTATTTAGCGCAATATCATTAATTCATTATATATATATATATATATATATATATATAAAATCCGTTTCAAAGTCTATTCCCTCTCCTTTTCTTCGTTCATTATTCAAGAATCCTCAATTCACAAAGATCATCTTCTTTCTTGTCAATCGAAAGCCAAGGTCTGGAGGAAGGAGAAGAAGAACATACGTTAACCAGGCCGAGAGACTCTTGCCTCACAAGAAAAGGCATAGAAGAGCAGAGTAAAACGACCAAAACCACCTACTGAAGAAGATCTTTTGCCTACATTTTGAGGTTCTAGCGTTCTGATTTTGCTGATTCTAAGTTACAAATTCTCCCTTGATATTAGAATGTGTTTTGCCGAACGTAAAATTGTCTATGGAGATGTTTTGCTTACATTTTGAGGTTTTAGAATTATGATATTGATGATTCTAAGTTTCAATTGCTCCATTGACATTAGAATGCCATCAAGGGAGTGTAATAATGTGCAACTGAATGAATCAATGAAGGGATAGAATTTGAATCAAAAGAGGAAGCATGTGAGTTCTACAAGGATTAATATTCTAAATCTGTTAGGGTTATTGTACGGAATTAGACCTCAAACTTTAAGCTTTCCGGGGCCGGCCCTGAGCCCAGCAAGGTGAAACATGGGCTTAGGACCCCCAAAATTTCCAATTGTTTTTATTTAAGAAATAGGTCCCCAATTTTATAATTTTTTGCAAAAGAGGCCCCCAATTTTACAAAACTTTAAATTATCCTAAAATTTGCTTGGGCCGGCCCTGAAGCTTTCTTAGACTTTTTTTTATCATTTCACTGAACCTTGGTTATGCTTGAGTCTGTTGATAGGCTTCTGCACTTGCTTTGCTGATTTTCTCAAATAGATCTTTCTGTTTCAGCAAACAATCACCTTCTTCTGACACTATGCTTGTTTATCCTTTGACTTGAATACTTGTTGTGCTTCTTTCACATGGTCTTTGAGACTTTGACTAGTTCATTGAGGACATCATCATACATGAAACCACACTTTCACAACAGAAACAAAGTACATATACTGCAACATGTTGTTGAGGTGTTCCCATTGGATTATACTTGTTTATGTGATGTTGTATCTTTTGACACTACTTTCATCAAGAATGAGTATAAACTGCCTCTTGTCGCTTTTACTGGCGTGAACCACCATGGACAGTTCCTGTTGCTTGGTTGTGGATTGATATCAACTGGTGAGTCTAAATATGGATTTGTTTGGCTTTTTCGGGCATGGTTAAAAGCGATGCATGGATGCCAACCCAGAGTCATACTTACCAAACACGACAGATCGCTCAAAGAAGCTGTCTTGGAGGTGTTCCCATCTTCTAGACATTGTTTTTATATGTGGGATACTCTTGGTCAGATGCCGGAAAAGCTTGGTCATGTTATGAGACAAGAGAAAAACTTTATGGATGAGATGAATGATGCTATTTACGGGTCTTGCAAGAGCAAGGACTTTGAAAAGAATTGGTGGGAGATAGTTGATAGGTTTCATATGAGAGACAACGCATGGCTTCAGTCATTGTATGAAGATAGGGAATATTGGGTTCCTGTATATATGAAAGATGTATCTCTAGCCGGATTGTGTACAGCTCAGAGGTCAGATAGCGTCAACTCTGTTTTCGATAAATACATTCAAAGGAAAACTACATTAAAAGCATTTCTTGATCAGTACAAGAAGATGATACAAGAGAGGTACGAAGAGGAAGAGAAAGCGGAGATTGAGACATTGTATAAACAACCCGGGCTTAAGTCACCTTCACCATTTGGGAAGCAAATGGCTGAGGTATACACTCGTGAGATGTTTAAGAAGTTTCAGGTGGAGGTGTTGGGAGGAGTTGCTTGCCATCCGAAGAGAGAAAGCGAAGAAGATGGGGTTAGGACTTTCAGGGTTCAAGATTATGAACAGAACCGTGCTTTCGTTGTGGTGTGGAACTCTGAATCATCTGAAGTTGTCTGTTCTTGTCGATTGTTTGAGTTCAAAGGTTTTCATTGTAGGCACGCGATGATTGTTCTGCAGATGTCAGGGGAACTTAGTATTCCTTCTCAGTATGTGTTGAAGCGTTGGGCAAAGGATGCAAAAAGCAGAGAAGTCATGGAATCTGATTTGATAGATGTTGATTGAGCTAATGCTCAACGGTACATGGATCTTTTTCTCCGTTCTTTGAAATTGAGTGAGGAAGCATCTTTATCTGAAGAGAGCTATAACGCAGTGATTAATGTGCTGAATGAAGCTTTAAGAAAGTGTGAGAACACAAGTAAGTTGATCCAAAATGTGGAAGTCTCAGAATCGGTGGCAACTTAAGATCCTTCAAGACATGAAGAACAGAACACCACATTGCTTGAGAATGCGGTTGACACGGGACAGGTTTCATTTTCTTTTCAGCTGAGTGCATGGAAAAGGACAATTAATCTCTGATCTTGTCTCATTTGACAATTATTTGGTCTGACCCGGCTTTCACTTTTTCAAGGAACATTCATTACATGAAGATGAAGTTTGGAAAGTAACTGCTTTGCAAGAACAAAGAAACCGATACTCGATTCTTGATGACTACCTCAGTGCCCAACAAATGTCTCATGAAATGGTACATAAGAAAAGTCCTTTGCAGCTACAAAGTAAAAAAGAGTTCAAACCTCAAACTAACACTGTTAGTTCCTCTTTGTGATTAACAGGACAAATCAACTCGATAGTCTCAAATCGAAATGGATATTGTACTCGCATCAAACATACACTCCCTGGTAAGTATGTAACCGAGTTTGTCTTTGGTGTTTGCAAAGAGATTCTCTGAGATATATTGCTGATGATGCATTATGTTTTCTCATTGCAGGGACAATCCATAACTCAACAAAGGATTTATGGAACTATAAGTTGTTGTTCTCTGAATCAGTCTGCATAACCCAAAGTTTGAACTCTACAGGTTGTAAAAAACTTGAACTAGACCTCTCAAAGATGTACAGTATCAAATTCTCATGTGCTTGTCTTTTTTTACAAAGGAATTTGTGTTTATTCATGAATGTTAGGGACAGTCGAGTTTTAGACATCATTCTCAGCAACATCAACAATCCAACTGGAATTTCTCTCACTAGTCACTAAGTCACTCTTCCTTTTATGCAGCAGAATTGTGATTCTGTTTTATGATAAAAAAAATGAACTGTTTGTATATATAAAACAAATGTGGTATATAATATATACAAATTTCATTCTTTCTTTGTTTGCAAATTTCTTTTAATTCTCCCATATTGTTTTTTCTCGCAACAATTTACTTTTCTATTTTTGTGAAACCCTAGATTTAAAAAGAAAAAGAAGCCTCATCGCTCATTTCTTCTTCCTACATCTCCATAGATTCATGATCATCTTTCAACACCAATTTTTTATTATTATTCATCGCTTCTCCTCATAGATTTATGATGAGTAAACCGAGATGGTTTCAAGTATTGACAGAGGAAGAGTTAGATGGATACTGCCAAAAGCATAGTTGTGGTTTCCGAAAAAACATCTTCAGGTTCGAGTCCTGTGACGTAGTGTGCCTCGAGGGCATAGATTCGTATCATATTCAACCTCATGTTCAAGTATGCCCTAATTTATATCTATATATAAGCCCTAATTATAGCTTCATACTTATCATAATCTTTGAATTAATGCAGGTGGTCACCTTGTTTGATCTTAACGCCATTGCGCTGGACCAAATCTCTGATCTCTTTGATTGTTTCCAAATTCAAGTAACGAAAAAATACAAATAATCCACATCTATATATCAATTTCTCTAAAGGTAATTTATTTAAACACATGATTGATATTTTTTTATAGAATAATGGTTTTTGTTGGAGGGAAGGAGTATATAGCGTTGAGGCCATGGAGAGACTGTGTAAGAACTACAGAAGGTTGCACTAAGCATGTCCGTGGGATTAATTCCAAGTTCTGCTCTTTCACATGCAAGATCGAACATGTTTTGGAGCATGAAGGTGATTTGTCTAGCATTACTAGACTTTGGTCGGAGGATGATTCGAGAGAAATATCAGAACATGTTGGTGATTTATCAATCCATCCTTGTGGTGATCCAGAGAGAATCTTTCCACTCAAGAAGAGGTCTCGAAGAAGAAGAGACTTTTATGACAGCGACGAAGACATTTATGGATCTTACTAGTTTCAGAGATATCTCTTTAGTTCTTATAAACATTGTTCACATGTTTTTTTGTGTGGATATATATATATATATCTTAGCTAGTCTTGGCTATGTAGTTTTCAAGCCAAGACTAGAAGAAGTGTGCTTAGTGATATGTGTGAGGCAAGCCAAATGAGACACGTGAACAATATTTAGTTGTTTTTTCAAATGATGGAACATATAGTTATTACTAAGGGTTAAATACCAATTATATGGATGAATTTGAGCTTTTGGTACGAGAGAAAGTTTGTTTGGTTCGAGAGACTAAAGGTTTGTTTGTAATAGGTGCTTGTGAGTTGTGACAAGATTATAAAGGTAATGAGACAATGAAATAACGAGTTAACTAGGTAATAAAGAACAAGAAATGAAAGTAACGCAATAAGAATAATGATATGAGTTTGATTTAGCACAAGTGGTGTAAGCTACGTTGATGGATGATGCTTGATGATGATGCCTGCATGTTTTATACTTAAATTTATCATTTCACTAATGGTACACACATCTCCTTAGACCTCAGAGCCTAACCAAGACCAGTTTAGTTTAGAGGTCGGTGTCACTTGTCAGGATAAAGTTTGTTAGGTTAGAATAATAATGCTGGGTTTGGGAAACGTTTTGGGAACGCCTATGGATTTATTAAACTTTGCAACACTGATGTCGACGTCGAACTCTTGACCGGAGCTAGCGGATCCAGGCTCAAACCTAATTTAACGCCAAGCCAAACTCGGAATAATTCTTTCGGAAATGTCGGATATGAGACTTCCGGGACCTCATCTCTCAACTTCCGGGATCTTTTCTCTCTGTTTTAAGACTTTCTTTGGTTCTTTTATTTCAGTTGTAGTAATTAGTATACGGGTGTTGATGATTTGGATGATGTTGCTTTAGCTAATTAGCTTACGAGTTAACGTATTTGAGTGTTATCCTACAGTTGAGACCATCGCCTATAATTGAATCAAAATAATTTAAATATATAGATTGAATATTTCTATATGCAAGATAGTTATTTTTATATATACATACTCTTTTCCACAGTTATCATATGGATACAATAGAAATTTACTATAAATAAAGACAAACAGGTAAAAGATGTGTATAGTGTAGACTCAAAACTACTATTGCATATCGAGAAAAATAAATAAGCTAAACGCCATGCACATAATGACATAAAACACGTATATTAAGTTGATTTCAGTCGTCATTAACTTGACATGTAAAGACAAACGTCTCACCTTTCACGCTATACCCGTATTTTTCAAAACTCATAAAATACAATAAAATGTTTTTCGTTTTGTTAGGTGATACAATTAAAATTTAGCTAGGATGATATTGACTTGGTCGTTGTTTTGCTTGTCGAGGAAGTTAATTGTCCTTACTTAATGCTCAAGAGTCGCTTTATCATTTCTTAATTTAACAATTGCTATCATAATTCAGTTTGTATGATTTTTTTTAGTAACCGGAGAAGATCTATACTGAAAATTCAAACTAATTCTCAAAATATATTGATACTGATGACTAATATATTTGTTATTTAAAACGTTTACGGTGTTTAAAAGAAAACAAAAAAATTATCGTTATGATCATTGATATGATCCACAAGGTGAATCATTACTTTTTCGAACAAAATATTGGACCACACAATTTTGGTTATTTTACTTTTTTTTTTTTTTTTTTTCTATGTATAGACTTGATATAAGCTTAATAAATTGCAAGAAAATATCTATGCGTTAACTTGTTGATCGGGTCAGCTGCTATGTGTGAAGTAATGAATTAAATCGAAAATTATAGGTTTCTTCAAGTCCAACCATTCTCATTTCTATTTTTCTAATGAAATTCTGACGATATATGATATAGAATTTCTTAGCTTACTGCCTTACTCGTTGGATGATTACCAAATTTATTACGTGAAATATTGTAATAAAGATGATTCCAATTTTTGTATTTTTTTAAAAGATGATTCCAATTTTTGTATTTTTTTAAAAGATGATTCCAATTTATTCCAATGTATAGTCGAATGAATATACATGAACGAATGAACCATATATAAGATCCGGCCGGTACCTATTATATACGTAAGAAATATCTTTTTTAATTTTTTTTTTATTTTGGTTTGCACCCTATGAAAAATCAATTAAGAAGTTTTAATCAAGTTGTGAACCACAGATTCTAAGCATGCATGTGAGTAAAATGTGAAGGGAATTTAACAATAATTGATGCAAAGTTGACTTTATGAAATATACCCATAGGACTGGTCATAAACTTTGACCATGAATTACGATTTTTGAATATTTTTAAAGCAATTGAAAACAAAGTCGAGTAAAATAACCGGGCCTTGTGGCCTAGTGGTAAAGGGGTCACGGCTGTGACTTCCGCCACCAGGGTTTGAGGCACGGCCACTGGCGGATTTACATGAGGGAATCGCCAGCTCCCCGGAAAGTGGGGTACCCTAGGGCAGATGACGCATGTGGGTCCCACGCTAGTCGGTTCCACCTCGGTGGGGCCGGACACCCGAGTTATCAAAAAAAAAAAAAAAAAAAGTCGAGTAAAATTTTGACTGCAGAAATGGTTCAATTGACGATGCTCTTTGTCAGCCTCATTGAGGAAATTACAGCATAAAATAACGAAAATTAACGCGTTTAATATATGAGTATATGATTAAGTTTCCGACATCATCTTACAGCTTTACTTAATTTAATTCTGTTACTCACTGTTCTATATTTAATTATGATTTTTTTTGTTGAGTTCACACATGCATTATACTAGTATTAAATTTGAACTTCAATAATAATTCACTATGAAAATTTCATAGAACGATCGTTTAACTAGTTCATCTGATGCATTTTACGGAGACATGTCAAAGTCTTCGAAATGAATTTACATACGTGGGAAGTGTGAACGTAAGCACATACGAAAACATGTATATTTTTTTGGTACAAGAATCAAAATGGATCAAGATATTGAAAGGTTAGAGAAATTACTGACATAATAATAAAAAAATACAGGTTGTTTCAAACAGAAACGTTAACTATTCGCGTTTATTAAAACCGTAATGTGTATGTGTTTGTTTGTGACTTTATGTGTAGTATGGTAATTAAACGCGGACCTTTAAATCTTTAGGTCATGAGTGAAGAGAATCGTACCAAATTTACATCATCTACTGGATCATACTATATTATTTCTTCAACAAATATTATTAAAAAATGCTCACTCAAATTGTAAAGCAATTTTCCCAAACACTTACTAGTCCCCTAAATAACAACATGAAGATCATGATTCTCATCATCTCTCTGATATTAATTAATGACTAAAAACAACTATATTATAAATCAAGATCTCTCATCATAAACTCCTCCAATGTTGCCGTCTCATGGTGGAAATCATGATAATAATCCATGTAACCCGAACTATCATCATAACTACTATTCCCGGAATATTCCTTCAGAAGATCTTGATCATCGTACCCGTTGCCATATACCGCCGAGTTAGTTTCCTCGCCTAGCTGGTACGACATCGTTGATTCTGTACCTGACCAAGTCACGTGAGGCTGCTCGTTACTCACGTGTTGGTTAAGCACAAGATGATCATTGTGATTACTCCGATCGGCGGAGACAGGAAAGATAGCTTCTTTAGAGATTGTTGTCGGAGACCCAAAATCTAGAGTAACCGGACCTTTTCTGCGGTTGGATCCACATCCCGCAGAACGTCCCGTAAATTTCTGAACTAGGGCTCGGAAATTGCTAGGGTTTGCGTTTAGGAGAGTCGTTGGTATGGCTCTCCTCGAAGCCCTAGATCTCCTTCCGGCAGCTTCATGTTCCACCGCACCACCATCTTGAAGAGAAGATCCCGATGATGACCCCATGTTAATGGCGTTGAAGCACGGATATTAATTTGGTGTTGTTCATAGTGTTGCAACCACTGGTCTTCTCTAGAGTTGTTGTTCATCGGATTTTGGTTTCTATTGCTCTGGAGTATTTTTCTTCTCTCTAGGTGTAGCGTGTATACATGGCATAGGAGCTATGATTAAGGTTTACTTTATATGCAGGGAGGAGATGTACCTAGAGATGGTCGTTGACGTTGACTTGTACCTTGAAGATTTTAATATGTTTTGTATTTAAATAACTTCAATTCAATAAATAAATTGGGCAGTGTGTAAATTATTTTGAGTGTTGAAGAAGTATTTGTATAAATTAGTATTCTTTCTACGATCACAACCAAGCGATGTAGTTGGTTAACTTAAACTGTAATCCATCATGTTTTTCGTCAGAACTTTTATCATACGAAACTAGTATTAACCGAAATGTATGTTAAGTTTCAAAGTAGCTTGTCATTAGAGCGTTAACTTGTATGTAAGGGTAATAATTCCAATATATGTACATAAATATTTACTAGTAGTATTTTAGGTGGATAGAGATGGAGTGATATTGATTTTAATTTAATAGAAAGCGACAAATGGTGATAACATCAAGCATGATCTTGTAGGAAGACTTGACTTTGATGATTTCCTGTCTCTTCGGTTCTCTTGATCGTTTACTGGTCAATGCGCGCATCTTATATAGTATATTGTTTTATAAACGAATAATTTTCTCATGATTATGATATTAGATTTGTATAATGAATTCCTTTTATTTCTTATAAAAATCTTTTTCAAATTTAACAAAACAAAAAAAAATTGGATGAAACTAGAAAGAATTCCTAGTTCTAGTGTGGTAAGCGAGGAAAGTCGGCTATTTCATACCCAACCTATACAGTAGTGTTCAATTCATACATGATAGTTTACTATGTGCCAATACATACCCAATCTTTAAACACTACTGTATAGGTTGGGTATGAAATGGCCGACTTTCCTGGTAAGCGAAGCCGGTACATATATATTTAGTTAAAACTTAAAAATTATTGGATAAAGAAAAGATTCAAATATTTTTCAGATACTTCCTCTGTTCTGTTTTATTTGTCGTTTTAGAGTTAAAATTTTGTTTCATACTACTTGTCGTTTTGTATTTACCAGGCAAATTTATGATTATTTTTCGGTTTTATCCCTAATTTTTCAGCATATTAATTACTTCTATAAAAAATAATTTGTTAATTAAGAATAAAACAACAAATTTAATTGTTTTCTTAATTTATGTGAAATCAACTAGAACGACAAGTAATTTAAAACAGATGGAGTAGTATTGATCATGGTCTTGTCTGCTTGTATGCCTCCACAAGAGAAATTACAGTGATAAACCCAGCCACGAGATGGTCCTACAAGCTTCCTCTTGCCAACATTCAAATAGACAAATGGAGATGTCATGCAACACGTTTGGAGGCTCACTAACCACAACAATGGAGGGGCATTACATTGAAAATGGACAAAATGTTCTTCATTGATTTGATTGTCACATTATATGACATCTTGTTTAACGTTGTCTGTTTTTTCTTCAGTGCAAGTTTCAGACTTAATTTGGATTATTTTTTATCATCTATTAGTTCCTGATGATGATTCTTCCACGGATAATAAGAAGGTGCTTGGAAGTTGGATCTCATCCTACTTGTGTAGTTTTTCAATTCTATGTTTTTTTTCTTCTGGTCGTTGTGGTACAATGTGTTCATTCTTTACATAATGTGAATTAGAAACGATCTTTATTTATTTAAATATGTTATTAAGTATTCCCTATTCTTTGCGATTTCTATTTGGAGATTCCTAACATTGTTATAGTGCAAGGTTAGAGCTCTATGTTAAAATGGATTTTCACATATACACTTATGAGGATTATTTGGCATAGACGTATTCTCCCTTTGACAGCTACAGCAAACTCATCCCAAGTGAGTTTTGTTCGGGTTTAGCAGGATTGTTTTCTTAAAACCAATATATCCGCAAAAAGAAAAAAGAACTAGCATCTTCTTTGACAAGTAAAGAAGATTATTGATGACAAAAAAAAAAAAAGTAAAGAAGATTATTAATGTTTTTGTGTATATTAGTGAGAAAGTTTTAATGAATTGATGAAGACGAAAGCATAAACAAGAACTGAAGATCATGGCAAAACAGAATGTGAATTGTTCATATCTAATATGATTATACAAACATGAAACTGAATAAACTAAACTTAGTCGAACTTGAAGAATGTGGAAGCCTGATTCTAGTTTCACTCAAGCGGGAAAGTTATATGGCCATGCACTTGTTTATTGGGTTTTCTTGGCTACATAATTTCCTTGTCAAGAATTGGATATTATTTTTACATAATACAAAAATTTACCATATATATATAACCAAACCAAAAATCAGTTTTCGTGAACCAAGTACCTTGACTATTGAAGAAGTCAATAGTGAATTGGTCAAAGGTATTGACCAGAAACCACAATACTTAATGAGTTCTCTCACCAATGTTCGAGGAACTATGAACAATACTTAGTATTATAGGTGCATGCTGATATGAAAACAATTTTATAGGAAGCGCGAAAAGGTGATAACATCAAGCACGATCCTATAGGAAGACTTGACTTTGATGAATTTCTATGTCTCTTCGTTCTCAAGATCGTTTACTGGTCAATGCATCTTTATATATATATTACAAGCAAAATTATTTTTTCATGATTTTGATATTAAATTTATATGATGAAACTCCATTTAGACTCACATTTACCAAGTCTATGGTAGTACAACACTATGTACTAATTATTTATTACCCGATTTGGGCTATTTGATTTACTTTAATATGTGTAACGATTTGAGTTTGGGAAGAAGACTGTGTTAGTAATCTCGTTTTCATGCTAAAACCTTCTTTATCATTTGTATTTTACTCTCAACCAAGTTTTAGAAATGCATTTAGGAGATACTTGTATATGTATATGTGAAAGCTTTGCGTTTAGAGGATATATCATGATCTATAAGGATTGATCATGATTAATAGAAAATAAAAAATATAACCAAAAGGCCCATATAAGGCCCAAATAAAATCCGTGAACTGAATAATTACGATACAGTTATCTTCCGCGCCATCTAGACGACAGTAATCAATCACTGTCTGAAATTTTTCCCTCTTTTGGTTTCAATTTGTTTCCTTAAACCCTCAAATAAAAAATTAGGGTTTCTCTTGTTCTTCGCAAATTAGGGGTTTTTTCTCTCGTTGTTATGAAAAGATGAATTTGATTTCCAAATCATTGACAAGAATCGAATGTTCGCCATTTTTCCATCCACGAGCTTCAGAAATCACTACCGGAAAACGGATAACCTCTCCGCAAATCCGCTTTTACACTGCGGCGGCCGGCGGCAGGGAGCACCGGAAATGGCGGAAAGAAACAAAGAGCCAAACCACCGACGAAAACTCCGGAGGCAGTGACACCTGTGAAAACGCCGGAAATTGGGTCAGTCACGGACGACGACGCGGCCAAATGAGATAGCTTTCGAGACTGAAGTAGCGAATTGGGTGAATCTGATTGGATTTGTTGATCAACCAGTTCAATTCGAAGCTTCTTCTGATGGCAAATTCTGGGCTGGTACTGTTATTTCCCAGAGGTCTGCTTCAGATTCCTCTGGTTTCTGGTACTTTCTCTAATCTATACTCAAAGATGACAACTTTTGTTTTTCTGTAACATTGTTAGTGATTCATACTATTTGGATTTGTTTGTCAGGATTCCGATAATATTTGAAGGTGATTTAGCTAAAACCGCAGCTCGATATATAAATAAAAACGATCAAATTCATGTTTCTGGGAAGCTGTTTATAGATTCTCCTCCTCCAAATATGACTTATGCACAAGCCAATGTTCAGGTGTGAACGTGAAATAGTATTTGATAAGATTTCCATTTAGATGGGAATGTTTGATAGTTGATAGTTCCACAGAACCTTTGTAACTTTAGGTGGTTGCTTTATAACAGGTGTTGGTTCAGAATCTTAACTTTCTACAGCCTATGTCTCCATCGCCGTCTATGGTTATATCTTCGTCTGAAAAGGAAGAAAGTGGCATCAAGAAGCAGCCTGGTATGTCTCATGTAACATTTCCAATGAACAATTCTTCAATTGGCTCGTGTGTTAGGTCTGAGCAAGGCTCTTAGGGAGCTACTTTTCAGTCTCTTGTGATGCATTTATTCAAAAATGTGTTTTCTTGTGATACATTTGTTTTCAACTCTCTGATTAATGGTTTGATAAAAAAATATTTGAGTCTGTAGCTAGAGCTAAGAAGGATATAGTCATTGATGAAGCTTCAGATTCTTGGAATCACCTCATTGAGAATCCTAAAGAATGGTGGGATCACCGGGAAAATAAAGTCAACGGATTGGTAATGCCCCAGTGTGCTTAGTTATTCATCCTTATCTCACTCGCATTCTTTTAATATGTTGTCTGCTAAATCTCTCTACTAGTTCTTGACTTCTCGGCTTTTCTCCTGCCTAGGTAAAACCAAGGCATCCTGATTTCAAAAGCAAGGACAGTAGTCTCTCACTGTGGCTCAATAAGGCTCCTAATTGGGTTTTACCGAAACTCGAAGGACTCGAGTTTGATGTTCTAGTCCCTAAAGGCAGAGTTGTAAAACAGCTTAAAGGTAAAGTTCCCAATCATTTCCATGGTCATATGAAACTACACAAAGAAAGTTGTGTACAGTTATGTGGCATTTGTTCATGTATGTTTCTATAAACTGATTCTGGTCTGAGATGGTGTAGGAGAAGAATCATGGAAGGACTTGGTTCAAAACCCGGATAAATGGTGGGACAATAGAATTGACAAGGTAGGATATCAATATCGGTTGCTCGGTTTTTCATCAATCTTTTGAAGAAACTGACCTATTGTCCCAATATCGTTTTTTGTTTTGTTAGAGAAATGCAAAAGCCCCTGATTTCAAGCACAAAGAGACAGGTGAAGCACTGTGGCTAAACGAGTCTCCTACTTGGGTATTACCGAAACTGCCACCAGTCAAGAAGAAACAAGAAAGTATTGTCTAGTAGCTTTAGAAAGTTAGAAACATTATCTCCATGTAAAGAGCTCGAAGTGTTTACAAAAATTCATCATTTCTATTCAATGTGGTCATTTTTGTTCCGTTTGATCTCTTTTGCCAGTAGACTCAATACAGTAGCTGTAAGTGTGGATCATACCAAAATTCTCAGGTAAAATAAGCATATTAGGTCTTAAAAGAACTTATTGCAAGAGTGTTTCAATTTCACAAATGCAACCAACAAAGTTAACAAGCTCAACTTAGGAGTAAAAGGGGCTAACTATTGTCTTGCAAAGTAGAAAGATGACTAGAAAAACTATTTACTATAAAACTTAATGACACTTCTCTCCTTATTCAGCTCAATTCACTGCAGCATATTGTCTGTCTAGTATCTTCTTCCCTGTGGAAACTGAAACAAAGGACCATCTCAGTAACAAATATGCAGAAAATGGAGTATTTTAATGCTTGATAAGGATTTAGAAAAAGAAAGATGCAAGATTCATTTATGGTTGAGAACATACTTGGTCAGACCCGGGCTGGCCTGCTGGATTATTGTTGTTCCAGTCTGGATTCCCCTGATTTGCCTGTGGAAATGTTTGATTCTGCTCTTGTCCAGGTCCAGAATATCCCTGACCATAACCGGGATTTCCAGCTCCTGGTGCAGGACCAAAGTTACCAGCTCCCGGTGCAGGACCAAAGTTACCAGCTCCCGGTGCAGGACCAAAGTTTCCAGCTCCCTGTGGACTATAATTCCTAGGTCCTCCTTGGTTGTAACCTCCTTGTGGCCCTTGGCTATAGTTCCCAGGTCCGCCTTGACCGTAACTGCTTTGTGTTCCTTGGTATGGAGGCACTGGAGATCCCTGGCCTTGATTGTAACCCGCCTGATATGGAGGTGGTGGAGATCCCGGGCCTTGGTTGTAACCTCCTTGAAATGGTGGAGGCCCTTGAGTTCCCTGACCTTGTCCTGGAGTGCCATAGCCCTGTTGAGGACCATAGCTCCCTCCACCACCTTGCATTGGCGGTTGCTGACCATACTGTGTGTTTCTTTGGAAGTTTTGGGGACCACCACCTCCTCCTCCTGGACGGTCAAATCTAGGACGGGGTCTTGTTCTGCCACTCTGAATCGGTGGTGGCCTGTGTGTGATCACTCCATTCTCGTATTTGTCTCCTGAAAACAAGAAACATAATTTTGTTGGTAGAGTTCAAACAATATATATCCAAAATGAGACAAGTTTGTAAAAACCCCAGCTCACCTCCATACTCTTTGTTCTGGGGATCAATGTAGGAATCTGGTAATATGAAGACAACTCCGGGCAGATCTGTTTACATACCAAATAAAGAAAAAAGGCTTCATTTTCTGGTAAAAAAGTTGAATTCAAAGGAAAAGGAACATATATTATCAGAACTATATACCCTTGAACTTTTCTGATTCTTGCTCAGTCATGATTGCTTGAAAACCTTGGTAAGTAGTTGTGCTACAAGCATACATTCTTTTCTTTGCCTCTTCCACACTGACTCAACCATAAACACCAAATAAAGAATCAACAAAATCGTCTAAACCAATATTTATGCCACAAGAAGATACACAAAAATTGAATCAAAGCTAAACAATGACTCTCACTGAAATTAAAAACTTTATCTTTGCACAAATTAACCCAGAGCAACCAATCTAAGTAAGAAGCTTCACTTAATCTATGCAGTGACAAATCAAATCCATCTACTAACCTGATACCAAGTCCTAGGGCACAAGTTTCTTCATAGGCAGAGACCATTTCCTCTGGAGACTTAGGAGTTTCCTCTTTGGAAAAATCCATAGTGATAAGCCAGTGATTATAATCACATCCTTCGAACAACACAGTGTCTTCCGTGATCTCATCACCTTCTTTGTAAAGCTTGTACTGCCTCGTCGAATACAGTCTCGCCGGAGCTCGAGTAGCTACTTCCGTCGAACGCCCTAAAACGGATCTCTGTAATACCGCCGCCGACACAGAAGGGAAATCGGACGCTGGTGCAATGGAAGTTCCGATTGATCGGTTAACATAGGAAGTCGCCGTGAGTAAAGCTCGTCGGATACGGTGCGATAACATAGCCATCGACGCCGGAGATAGAGAAATGATGAAGTAGTCGAGAATTTTTCTGGAAGCTTTAGAGAAATGAAATTAGGGTTTTTGTGTGGGTTTTACAATATGTAAATAACTAGTAAATTACTTTTTAGTCCTCATTGTTTCAAATGTTTTCAATCTCCGACTAAACTTCAAATTTAATCATTGGGCCAAAAAAGCTTAGGCCTTAGCTTTTTACCATAACGCTGTCGTTTTTAAAAGTCTTTGTTTGTTATTTCTTCTTCTCTCTCTCTATCTCCGGCGACTGTGAATTATGTGGTCGGCGACGTTATCTTTCCCTTCTTTTGTGGCTTCTTCATCTTCTCTACCAAATTACAGGAACCGTAGGTTTCCGAAGATTAAAGCTTCGCTTTTTAATTACCCACTTGCGAGCAAAATCATGGTCAGAAGTAAGATTTGGACTATCTTTTAGTTTAGACTCGAATTTGCTTCTCTCTGAGATTAGGATATGGTTCTGTTTCTCGTTTGATTTAGAACAGAAAAGTTAGTTGCTTTGAGTCAGGATTGTGTCACTGTAACATATGTGAACTTAGCAGTCATTAGTAACTTCATTTTGGTAATTACTCTATGTTTCTAATGTTTCGTTGCTTTGAATCTGTAGATTTACCGTTTTCTACAAGTGAAGATTTTCTAAAGAGAGAGTTTTCAGCTTTTGGAGAGATAGCTGAAGGTATGCTAACTTGATTTGTTTTTGCATTTACTCTGTTTTGATGCTTTAAGGTTCAGTGTTATGGCATTGATATGTTCACTCTTCTACTTCAAAACAGTTAAGCTTATCAAAGATGAGTCAATGAATAGATCAAAAGGGTATGCTTTTATTCAGTTCACGTCTCAAGATGATGCTTTTCTTGCCATAGAGACCATGGACCGTCGGGTAAAAGCTTCTTTTCATCACAAGCTTTAATCATGGATTAAACAAGTTTACATTTTTATGTCTTGAAATCAACCAAAATGTTTCCCATTCCTGTTGCAGATGTATAATGGTAGGATGATTTATATAGACATTGCGAAACCCGGGAAGCGTGATTTCCAAGGACTGCCGAGGACTTCTGGTCCCCCTGAGAAGTCGGATGTGCCAGAAGAAGAAGCCAGTAATGATGAGGTCGCTGATTGCTGGTATTAATTGTTAGTATCAAGCTCCCCAAACTGTAAACTGAACTTGCATAAGTCAGATGTCTTATCATATAGAGAGAATAGTGAGTCAAATCATGCTTCTTATTAGGAATATGATCAATGTGAAGAATGTTGTTTTACTGATAAACAATTATTGACACGGTTCCAGTTACAGCTCTATCGGTTTCTACAACTACCACATTGTTGGAGACATTGGTCACTGCATTTGCAGGAATCTGGCCTGATTGAGTGAAAAAAGAATGCTGGTAATGATTTATCCGGTTTGGGAATACCAAAACAGGGGAAAAATCAGCGATCCATCTTGTTCCATTTGCGGAAACCTTGGCCTGTCCGGTTGTTGATTTCAACATCATCCCTTCTGCATTGTTCTGAGCAATCACAACTTGATCAATATCATGAAACTCTCCTTCTAGCTTGACAATTGGGAAGTTGTTTTTGGCAGTACCAAGAAACATATTGTTGACGATGTTTACCCCGAAAATCTTCCCGTGTACCGATCTCAAGACAATATTCGCATCCCCTAAGAACAAAGCATTAGTGACATGAACATGGACAGGATCTTCAATGACTATACTTGTGTAATCAAGGTAACAATTGTCTATCCTTGTTAAATGCGATTTCACTAGAATGCCAATTCCACCAAACCATGTAGCTTTATTGTAGCAATGCACACCCGTAACCATATTTGCCCCGCCGTTCAAAGAGATACCGATACCAGCCGAGAAAATCACTACATCCGTAATGGCATTATCGTTACTAGAGATATCGATTCCTGTCCCGGAAAATCCTCTTTCTTCTCTGTCTCCTCCTACCGTTGAATGTTGCCCCAAGAAGGAGTTTGAAATGTATGTCTCATGACCTCCTTGGACTTTAATCCCTTGTGTTGTGAAATGGAGGAAGTAGCAATTGGTTATACGGATACGAGCCGAGTCAATCACCAAAATACCACCTCCTCGGAATCTTGAGTCGAAGAGAACATCTTGGAAAGTCACATCTTCATAGAAGATCCCAGAGCTCTGGTCTTTCTGATCGGAGAAAGACTCCTCCGGCGACATTTTCATTGGTTTCCCGGAGTTCGATGCTACAAGCTCAACCAAATGCCTATCACCGGGAAACACTTCCGATGCCCGAAAAGTCCCACCTTTCACCTGAATTACACCAAACAATGTGTAAAGATTCAAACTTTTAAGCAAGAATTCCAAATTTAATACGAGGGACTGACCACAAGATTTCCTCCGCCGGAGGAAGGGAACCTGAGAGGTTTTCCGATCATGTAACTGCCACCTTGGAGATCAATAACTAGACCACCTAGATCAGCAACACGTGGCAGCATCTCAAGTCCAGTTTGTAACTGAAAAGCATCAGTTAAAGCTTCAAGTATTGCGTCACTACTGTCTTGTCCACCTGTAGGGTCAGCTCCGTAACCAATCGGGTATATCACCTTCCCCACCTGCACAAACCAAACTCACACGCTCACAAATTACACCACACGTACGTAAATTACAGAAACTGAAGTGGGAGGCTAACCATTTTGGGAGAGTGAGAAGAAGGAGAAGACACTGGCGAGAGAGTGGGAGTGATTGCGAGTCTTTCTTGGATCTTCTCTTGGAGCTTTAAAAGCTTGGTCATGTCTCTTCTTAAAGATAATGTCTCTTTAAACTCCATTGAAATCGTGATGAGGAACAGTAACAACAAGCTAATAATGCTATAGAGACTCATCTGATTTTTCTTGACTGTTGTCTTGTTCTTGAGTGTGTGAGAGAGAATTTGTTAGGAATTAATATGAAGAGATGCAGATAGATATGAGCGTGTCTACGTGTGTGTATTTAAAAGGCAAATAATCTCTGTTATTAAATTTGGTTTATTTTTTCAATGTACACCGACTCGAGTTTCTATTTATTAAACGGAAACACTTTAATTTTTTGCTTTGTTCATAAGAAAATGCAAAAAGACATGAAAAAAAGAAAGATCAAAGCATGTTCGTAGACCACTCAAGTTCAACAAAGAAAGAACAAAGTATTTGAATTTTTATTCCTAACTGGCCGAATATCAAAATATTTGTGTGGTTATTAGGAAATCATCAACGATATATAATGATTACTTTACCAGAAAATAAAATCATTCGTTTTAGACTTTGTTAAGAAATGATACTTTTAATTGATAAGAAATGATACTTTTATTTTCACACACTTTATTGTTAAGAAAGTATTTGATTCTTTTTGATGCAAAACAAAACTTACAGAATAAAGTATGTGGAAGACTAGAAGTAATTACTGAAAATGGAGATTGAGTGTGGAAATATAAACAAATTTAACTTTATGGCCAACATCTAAATTTGTAAATAAAAATTAGATGTTGTAGAAATTTAGATCATCCGGCGCAGGCCTACCACTGGAGCATCAAAATCTCTTTAGATCATCTTCCATGCATAGTCACCAACTTTCTACAAATTTAATTACATTAGGTAGCTTTATTTGATTTTAGTGTAATTCAAATTAGTCATGCATTGAATTTCTTCTCAGACAACAAGTAAATGTCTGCCAACAACTCTTCCACTGTATTCACAATTTTCGAGTTTTTATCATTTATTAGTAGTAAGAAAAATAATTTTTCCTCCTTACAGGAAAAATTACAACTGAAAAACCACCAAGTATAAATCATTTTATAAGTATTAAACCATTATTACGGCAAAAACACGACATTAAACTCCTTGATTCACTGTTACATAAACTGTTGCAGTAACAGGAGCGTTTGTCTCAACGACCACTCGATTACCAGAAACGTTCCTTACCGCGTGTAGAGGAAACGCACCAGCTTCACGCGCCACGAGTGTGTACTGCACGTGCTTGATTAAATCCGGGAACAACAAAACCGGGTTAAAATCAACGGTCCAAGATGTACCGTTTCCATCTACCGATCCTCTAGCCACCGTCGATCTCTCTCCCATTCCGTTCACACTGTTCCGGTCAACAACCACCTGGTCCACGTCTTCAAACGCCGTGTTCCTCTGATCCAATTGCACAATCTGGACCCCATGACCCGACCCGGAAAACATATTGTCAACAATATTAACCCCACGAACCACTCCGGCTATCGATTTCAACAAAATAAACGCATCTCCCAAAAAAAACGTCCCTGAAATCTGTAGCTGAACCGGATCTTCCGCGACGATACCGGTATAATCCAAATACGAATTCACAATCCGGTTCTGAGTTAAACCGGGTAATCTCAAATAAATCCCGGTTCCTCCAAAACCGGTTGCTTTGTTATAACAATGCACACCTGATAATAAGTTTGCTTGTCCCGATATCATTACTCCGACCCTAGCGGAGAATATAACGGTGTCAGTAACGGCGTTATCGTTTCCCATCAAATTCACGGCGGTGCCGGAAAAGTTTCTTTCTCCTCTGTCTCCACCGGCGGTTATGTGTTGACCAAGAAACGAGTTTCGGATATAAGTCTCGTGTCCGCTTTTGACAAGAATCCCGTTCGTGTCTCCGAATCGTGTGATGTAACAGTTGTCAATGCTTGTCCGGAGAGAATTGATGACGGCGATTGCTCCGCCGCGGTAGTTGCAATCGATGAGAAGATCTCTGAGGGTTATGTATTCGAAGATGTATTGTAACTTTGACGATTCGTCTTTGAGTTCGATTAAGTACCTATCGACCGGAAAATCATTTGATGCTCTTAATGTACCTCCGCTTATCTGACGTGTAACACAAGTTAACAAACAAAACCGTCAGTATTATTTCGAAATAGAAATGTATGTATAATGGAATAAACAAATTATTAACGTAGAAAATATGTAAAACAAAAAAAAAACATGTAAAACAAATGTGGATCGAGAGGATTTTTCAACTTTTAATTTGTCACTAATTATTTTGAAAATTTATGGTTGTAGCTAGAGTGCATAATATTATGATCTAGAGTGATTATAAGAACACATTATTTTTAACGAAATTAACAAGACTAAAATATATGGATTTTGTTTTTCTGGTTTTGTAGCTTTGATGGAAACTATATATACTAAAAAAATGCAAAGGAAAGAAAATAAGTAAATCTCACAAACAAATACTTTTAAACAACGAAACTTCTTTTGTTGGAAAGTTATTAAAAGGTCATAATGTTTGAAATTATGAGAGAAACATGCATAGAAAGAAAAGGAATCATTCTATTCTCGTGAATGAGAAAAAGATTTAATTACTTGTCCATTAGTTCACCAAACCTACTAGCATCTTTAATCAAGTTTACGTTTAAACTAAGGTTGTACTTTAAATTTCATGTTTTAAATATTTATTTAACCTATGGATGAAATGTCATATCACGTCACAAAGACGGGCCATGAAGACAGTTTTATAGGAACATGACTTTTGTCGGTCTATTAAATCACACGTAGGGTAAAAATCTAACTCTATTTGTAAACTTGCAATGAATAAATTTAATATATATAGTTTGACAAAAAATGAGATACTTACGAGGAGATTTCCGACGCCGGCTGAGGGAAATCGTAGAGGACGGCTGATTAAGTAGCTTCCACCTTGAAGATCGATTCTTGCTCCTCCGAGATCATTTATACCTTGCATCAAAACTCCATGATTTGGACCATCAAAAGCGTCTTCCATAGCTTTTAATATTGCATCCGTGCTATCCAATTTCCCTGTGGGATCGGCACCATATGATATCACTTGGTACACGCGCGGACCGGGTACTGCCTACACCATTTTATCTTCTATGTTATCACTTGATGAAAACCTTTTGAACAAACTCAATCATACATAAACTATATATATGATCATTATGATTAGAGAAGCTTATATTATATACCTGAGGAGGGGTAGGAGGAGGAGATACCAAAGCCGGTAGATTTCGGCGAACTAGTGAAGCTTTAAGGGCTTGCATTTCTGCCAATTTCCGGTCATGAGGGGACATTGAACCTGAATATTTCTCGGCGAAGACCACTTGACTCACCATTAGACTCATTATCGCCAAGAAAACCGGCACGGCCACTTGAGTTTTCCTTAGGTCCATGGTTTCCTCCTATAATAATCAAATGAGCCAAATAAGAGAATGGCTGAAGGTAATGCTTGTGAGACATTTATATATATACGTATGTTGTTAACACATGGAAAGAGAAAGGCCTAACTAAGGTTACCAATGAAACATTATACAAACTTTTGTCTTTTCTAATGGGAGTCACACATTTCGCACTCTTGTACATCTTTGATCCTCTTTTTCCTCTCTATTTTTCTACCGGTTTACGCTATAACGTATTATTTGTCCATAAATATCGAAACTCTAAACCTATAATGCTTTGTTATGAATACTAAACTCTATCATATGACTTACCTTGAAACCTACCTCTCTTCAAAACATTAATATATATATTATGACTTTTACGTGATTTAAATATGGAGGACTAAGAGATAGATATACTAGTTAGTTTGCGGAAGATGGAAAAAGATCCGCAAAAGTGCATAAAGGTATAGATTCATGCATTATGAGATTAGATATTGTATGTAAAAGGGTAAACCAAGTCATGGGGTTTTGGTTGGGGAGGTTTGAGTGGTGGATAGGTTTTTGGTAGAGTTTTTTTCTTCTTTATTTGAATATTTCTTCCAACTAAAGGTATTTTCGTTCACTCTTTCTTTTTCTGATTCCCAAGTTTAAGATTTATTGAAATGCTTAAGAATGGTGTAAAATTATAAGAAAAATAAATTTCAAGTATTGAAAAGAGAATTAAGATAATCATATTTAACTTATTATCTTGATAAGCACTCTACTAATGCTTTTAAGAACAATGGAGGATGAAACAAAACTTTTTTTTTTGTGTTTGGTTACCTGCATTTGCACCTTCTTCATGAAAAATGAAGATTTTCGTATATAAAACTGATTTTTAATATGGCATTGGCATAAGAACATTACTTTCTGTCCTCTAATTAAATATCACAAAATGGATTTTTTTTTTTTAAAGCAAGAAAATTAGTAAAATGTTACCTCTGATTAATCTTGATTGTTGGTTTCTCTATTGTTTAGGGATTACGATGGGGTTGTATTTGAGGCCTGTGAATGTAAAACAGAGCCGAAAGAAAAGTTAATTAATAACAATTTTTCTATTACTACATAAGCAAAAAGTTGTATAAGGATGGATATTGCAATCAAATAAATCAGGTGTAGAAAAGACAAACAATTTTAATTTGGGAAAAAATGATTAAACAAGAATAAACTCAAAAGAACATGTACATATAGAGAGTGTATGATGAATCTACAAAGAAAGAAAACATGATTATATATTTACAAAAAAAAAAAACAAAGATTTCTCTGTTGGAAGAAGAGTAAAGCTTCATATTAAAAACAGAGAAAATTTTAATCAAAGAATTATAGGTAATGAAATGTTGGGATTACTCACCAGATATATGAAATTGGCCTTTTATTCTCATAGCAAAATTGAAAAGTTAGTCTAGAGTCATGTTAGGTGGAAAAAACAATTAGGTCCCCAAATCTACCTATTTATATGTATCTTAAAGTTAATTAAAAACAGTTAATTTGAAACAAAAACAAAGAAAAACATATGAAAATGGATGCAAAGTAAGTAGGTTACACGAAGTTAATTAAATGCAAACCCAAACTCAAACGGTAATGACATACGGTAACGTTGTTCTAGCTTGTTACAACTTAAAATTGTGTTAATTAGTAGTAATTAGTGAACAGTAAAAATTATTATTAGAGCCGATGTTTTCTGTCATAAGCAAAATAAAGTTTAAAAATTATTATGCAAAACGAAAAGTTAATTGTAGAACTTTAAATTTAATGTGCGTTGATAGTTTCCCAACTAATAATTTTCACCTCAATAGAAAGAACAGTCACATTCAGTTATGATCAATTCATCAGATCTATTTTCACAAATCCAAATTCTAGACACCAAAATAACTAAAAATCAAACAAAACACCCTTAATGAGAAGTACTTACACGAAACTTAATTTTGGCTTCTTCTTTTTCTTCCTTCACTCACATTTCACACCATTGCTTTCATTTTCAAAGCAAACTTTTTGTTGTTGTTGTTGTGGTCAACAAGTTCATTTCTATTTAATCTGAATTTTATGTGTTTTTTCTTCCCTTGGTTATAGAAGTCCTGTGAATAATCTTCCTAATTCTCAAGTAAGTAAGTTTCTCTGATTTGTTTCCCATTCAATGATATTAAATTCAATGCATATTCATTTTGACTAACTCAATTTCCTTCCCTAATATGATTTTCATTGACCGAAAACAATTTTCCTTTGGTTGAATATTATTACAGTACTACTAATACATGATCATTTTAATGGAAAAAATATGTAAACTGATTTGGGAAAGAAAATTAATTTTAATATCATTTTTGCATCTCTTTTATTTCTGAACCGGTCTTGCAACAATAGTATTATAATCTGAACACCAGTACATAGATTTGAGTAATATATATATATTCACCAACAAAACAATTATGCTTTTACTTAAAGCTTTAATTATTAGCTAATTATCAGTCTTACGGTATTAGGTGGAATATAATTGAATTTAGCTTTTCCCGGAACCAAACAAAAATGTCTACTTATTTATGTTTCATGGATCCTAGTCTACAATCTAGTTGCATAACATAACATATCAATAAATAATTAGTTGGCCTAAATAGCGTTGAAGCAAACATCTCTCTTCTGTGTAGCTTACGGAGTATTCTCAGAACCAAAACCCTTCACCATATGGTCCATGTGCACTGACCAGACCGCGATCACTCAAAACTCATATCGAAGCTGCATATTTCGAGAGTGGTCTTAAGCCAATCTCTGTCTCATTTCTTGCATGCGCCCGAACTAGATCCTCCTTAGATCTTTAATTTTTCGCCATATCAAAACTAACACTTATTCTAGTCATGAAGCTTTCTTAATGGTAAACAAAGGTTTGCCATTGAGAGGTAGAAGAGTCCAGTAAGAACCATGTTGGTCAATGCAGCAGCTTAGCCATTTTATTTGATATGAACCAACTGGGAAACGAGAAACGTCTAGCAAGCAGCTCGAAAAACCTTGTCCTCTCTCGTTTGGTTCGAACTCCACAACCGTAGAAACACCACTCTTGGTCCATTCTAATCGACCTGAAACTTCCGGCTTCTTACCAGACTTTATAGCATGATGGAATAGCTTGTTACTCATTTCTACCAGATCTTCATCTCTCCATGGGGAATAAGACTTTTGGTTTCGGTTGGTTTCACCGTGTTGAGTTGGAGTGTGATAAGCTAGTTTAGTATAGAGAAGGCAATACAGTTTGTTAAGTCGAACAGGGACTTGCTGTTGTTGTACGTTTTTCAACTGAAGACAAAGATCTAGTGACAGTTGAAAGCCTTGTTCCACCGAAACTGTATCAGGAGTACGTTTGCTACTCTCTGAACTAAGAGCAAATAGCTCGGCACCAACACAAGGCCTGAATTTTAATCCAATGAAAACATGTAAGTCGAAAAATACAGCAGAAAAAAACAGTAAAGAATCAGTCATGGTTAGACATATTCATAATCTTTAATTCACTAAGCAGCAGAAAGACAAGTTAAAATCAACGTGTGTTTTCGCACCTTGCATCATTTCCATCAGAAATTCAATAGTGATCGGTGATCAAGGCAATGGAGATTGCATTTTACAATAGAATTGTACTTTTCAAGAGTTTGAAATAGAACTATTCGAAATTTAGCACAACGAGAATACCTTATGTTGAAGAAATACTTTGGAATGCCAATAGGAATATGCATCCATTTCATAATTGCTTGTGACAGTAGATTCCTGCAACTTTTAGTAATCTCAGACATAATCTCCTCTTTGTGCATTGATATTGACTGATTCTGCAATCCATAAATGCATGAAAGAGCGTCTCTGCAAATAGAGAGCAACATCTTCACTTTGCCACAGACTCTCAATACCTGATTCCTAGGTTGCAAATGGAGACAGTTTAAAGAATCGTTTGTCTTAACGAATATGTTGAGCTTTTTGCAGATTTCAGGGTCCACTTTCCACAGCCGCCGAACTAAATCTTGTACTAGCCTCGAGCACAGACCACTTTGTGAAGTGAAAGGAACAAACGCTTCATGAAAAGAAAAACTTGGTAGGAAAAGAACGATTCCAGCAGAAAAAGCCAGAACTGAACAGCTCAGTGAAAATGTCATGATAATGCTAGAACTGCTATCGTCTATGTCTATAAAACATGTCGCCAACATATCAAATTCCTTTGCCAACTTTTGTAGCTGAATAGAAATCCGAGGAAGCTGTTGCAGGGAATTGCAACCAGTCGAGATCTTTTCCTCCACCTGCTTCTTGTTGTGGATATCTTGATTAAGCAGCCCGAGGCATTCGACGAGTTCAAGCACGGTTTCAAGTAACCGAGTCTTTAGTACCAAGAGCCACGTTTGGAAACAAAACACTTCCCTTGATGCTATAATATTTCCCAACATTCCCAGAGACGATTGTAAATTCATATAAGCTTCATGAAGAGCTACACAGTGTGCAAACTCTCCAGATGCATCTTTGGAGAGTTCTGGTAGATAATTGTTACTTTTCAGCCAATTGACTAACTCGACACTATCACTTGGAGTGAGAAGCAGTTGGAATTTTCCCTCAGCATGGGATAAATAGGTTAATGACTTTAACCAGCAACAGTTAATATCAGACTGGACGTTGGTTTTCAGCTGGTCAAAAATCATAGCAGACGTGACCCAAGCACCCAAACGTGCTGCGAAAACTCCAGCTCTGTAAGCAGGCCAATAGTTTCTCTCCGTTAAAATCTGATTTGAACAGTCAAGAGATCTGATTCCATAGTTAACTATATCAGCAACAAGTGAGACGCCTGAATTTCCTGCATCATCATTCACAGAGAATCCCCAAAGAATCGGCGAATGTAATAGCAGTGTAAATATCATTTGTGTGTGGAAATCAATGACGCTGCATGAACGTACAAACTCAGTGATATTTTTCACCTTTTCGTAAATTTCAGACAAAAGATTATCATTGCCCTCAAGATTCTCCAAGAACACTATCAGGAACTTGTGTATTAATGCTAGAAACTCTGACCTCATCACCGCCCCTCTTTTGCCTTTATAATTGATAACACCAAACAGCAATTCATGAGCTCCATCTGGTTTTCTTAAGCCCTTCACAATAAACTCTAGGAATAATCTGACTTTTTCAAGAACTAGCAGCCTCAGTTCAGAATATTTTCCTACTAATAGGTGGAGAACCTTCAAGAGGTCTTGAACCTCACTAACTACTGCATAGTCAGCTTGAAAAGGATCAGAACATAACCGCCCCAGTAAGGTGACCCTGTCCATGATTAATACAACGAGCTGCAGAGGCAGAGATGTTGAAGAAACCTCGATTGATCTTATTTCTGCAGTCCGTTCTATTTCTTTCCATATACCCACCAAAATACTTATAGCGAAACAACTGCTTGTAAAGATCTGAGAAAGAGATGCATTCTCAACAATAGCTATGAGCTGATGTAATTCAGATGCATCAGCCATGCATAGTTTGTAGACAAGTATCTGCATTCACATCAAAGATAAGTAAGCATCTTCAATTTCAGACAAAAGAAATAAAATATTTGGCTTATTAAGCAACCACCTTCTGGAAAATTTGAAGAGCTTTAAGTTGCATATCTGATGAGAGATCTTCTTGCTTTAGCAAGCTTGAAACACTTGCAATTTCTCTTTCATGGGCAAGAGAGAAGCACATCCCTCTTTCTATGAGAAAGTGGAGACATCTCAATACCGCAGCTCGCACATGAGAAGTCTTATCTTCACTCAGAAAGGGCATGATAACTTCTGTCTGCACCCACAATGAATAATATTAGACTTTTCTCTCTTAGTTTGTTTATTAATCAATATAGGGACAGTTTCCTTTTAGACAACCAAGGAAAAGTGATGCTTATTTGCAATATATATTAACCAACCAGTGAAGACTTAAACTCAGCAAAACGGTGGCTTTCTATTGATACAAATTTATTTTCACAAAGGCCAATATATTGACTTTAAAACATTCAATCTGTGTAAACCAGCAATTAGAAAAAAGTATAAAGCGAAAAAGAACATACCAGTTCCGAAGCAAGATGAGTAGATCTTGAAGCAAGCTTAGTCAAGGAAACCAGGAATGGAATCAAATTGTCCTCTTTTGGGGAGTCCAGCATTAGCTTCATACAGATCTGCAATAACATAATGGTTGACTGAAGTTCAATACAGATGGCGCTTTATTTAATGCATTGCTATGATATTCCGTACATTGACAGAGTTTCATCATACCCGTAGATACTCTAATCTAGTAATATACTACATTTTGAAAGCTCAAGATGGTAACAACTAACAACAACAAATTAAATTCCAGTTTCAGCAAATCTTTCTTTACCCAAAAATTCTTGACGGCATACTATACATGAGAATCTTTGAGCATTAGAAGCAGATAGAATAAGAATTAGACAAAGAACCTTGAATGCTCTATTAGCAATTGCATGCGAGCATCCCATTTTTGCAAAAACTCGCACAGCAGCTAACCTGGTCTTTGGCATTATTTCAGGGAACTTCACCATGTCATTTAACATCCCCAAAAGAACCAATGCAAAGTCATCTGCTACTTCACAAAAGCAAGCTGCTGCAAACAGAGCTGATCTTACCTGCAAGCATAAAATGGATTAGAACAGTTCAAATTCTACAACAAGAATATTCCAACAACCAAGTTCAAATCGCAGTTGAGGTTTTTATTTAAACTTGGACTAAACAGAAGTTAACTTAAACAAAAACCCCTGACATACACATTGAATGACCCTCACGCTTGGTAAAATACACTAGCCACAGAACACAGTGCCAAATGCGTGAGAAGTTATAAAGTCCAGTTTAATGTGTCACAAACACTAACTATCAAATTTTTAGCCTTTATAACACAAAATCCGAAGCAAGAACATCAAAAGAACTAAAATGAACTATCCTTACCTTCAGATCATGTGAAGAAACCATACTGGTGAAAATCAAGTACCGCACGGGAGCAAATTCATTGGCAAAATCTCTCCAACAACCAAAAAGAATCAAAGCCAAAGCTTTAGCCTCAGTATCACCCTTGTCATAAACATTCTTCACTCGTAAAAGAATTTCCAAGTGGTTATACACCTTAGCCTTTGACAAAAACCAAGTTGCTGATTCACTCTTGTTCTTCCCTCGGCTTAGCTTGAACATAGACATAAAAACCCGGACAACAGCAAGCATAACAAGCTTCTCCCCAACACAAAAAGCGTCAACTAGCCTCAACAATATAGTATTTGAAAAGAGCTTATCTTCTTCCGGAACCAAACCAAATAAATTGTAAACAGCAATTGCAGATTCTGGTTCTTTGCTCCACTGTTCAAGCTTCCCACCAGTCTCTAAGATAGCTTCAACAGCTTTAACTGATATAACATCACCCAAAAATCAAAACTTTATAATTTCATAGTCCCTAGAGAAGACAACAAGAACATACATTCGCCAAATAAAGTAAAGCAACCTCCTTATCGAACTATCAAAGCAAGAGGAGCTGAAATATCAAAATTTCTAATAACTATGAAGTTGAAAAGCGGAAGAATTTTAAGCACCTGGGTTTTTAGAACGAAGAGATTTCTCGAGCTTGATGCTCCATTCCATGGCGCAAGCTGCTGAAACCTTCTCCATGGTTAACACTTTTTGGCTTCTTCTGTTACAGGGTTTTCGAAGAAGAAACCGGAGATTGATGATAAATAGAATCTGAAAAACGAAAGATTACGAATTTTCACGCCATACGCAGATGAAGAAGCCTCTTCTCGCGAATTCACAGAACAAAAAAATTCAGTCTTTGAGAGGACTAAACCCGACTTCAAATTATTAGCTGCCGATTCCGGTTCGGTTCAGGTAAGTGATACGGTTTAAGAGAATACATGATCGATAAATATTTAGGTAAACTCGACAAAAATCTGCATGGGCTCACCACTATTGGGCCCAGCATCTTTAGGTTTTATACTTTTATTGGTCCTTTTGGTTTGCACAATAACAACTTCTTTTCTTTTTTTCTAACTGGTTCATTTCCGATAAAATATTTAACTTCTGATACTATTTTTTTAGACTACAATCTTACAATGATTTCGTTTATTATATTGTGATTTTTTTTTAATTTTCTTTCTAACTTGTAGGCTTCTTAATCTGTGTGTACGTCGTCTCGTTTAGGTTTAGTTATATAGGATTTACATTTTAATTGCTTCCGCACTAAGTGATGAGTAAGCTAACACTCATCCTAGGTCTGTTAAGCAATGTAATTTGATAAATTAAGCATTTGTTTTTGGTTAATAATATATTTGGATTTCCTGAAAATAGATTTGTCGTATCAACAACAAACATGTTCATGTACAATTATATGACCTTTTAATTTATTATATATTTAACGAATGTTAATGTGCATGACTAGGTAAGCAATAATTAAAGTCGGGCAATTATATATGTTTTCTTCAAAAGTTGGACAATTTACAAACATGTCGACTCGGAATAATCAAATTAACAAAATGGTTTACGTGTCGTCGTAACTCGTAAGTTGATAATAATAATCATATTTCGTTATTGGATCAACCTAAATCCATATTTTTCATAGCTAGCTAGGATAAACATATACACAACAGCTTTAACAAAAAAAAAAACATATACACAACAGCACAACTAATTTAAATTTTGAAGTATGGATCCGATTCATCCGATAAAAAATGTATAATGGTCTTTCTGAAATGGAATTTATGTATATATACTATTTGATGTCTCATGAAACTGATAGAATAAATCCTTATTCTTCTTATGTTTTTCTTTACAAAATATACTAGATCATCACCCGTACTACAGTACGGGTTGAATTTCATTTATTTCAAAATTTATATATTATATAGTTATACAATAAAATCGTGATATATTATAATAGTAAGTAAAAAAATATTAATTTTTTTATGTCAGTCCATATATATAATATTAGAATGAATATATTTTTATTTTTCTGTAATCCTCAATTATCGATATATTTTTTAAAGATATGAGAACGGAAATTAATGCTATTTTCAAAAAAATAATATTGTTTGAACAATGAGTTAATTTATGTTAACAACCACAAAATGAGAGTGCATATAATTTAGTTAGATCAAAAATCAAAATATCATAAATGAATCGCATCTAAAACGTAGATTATTTGAATTAGTTAGTTAGCTATTATTTTGAATTAATTTAGGAAATTATTTTTTCAAATTCTAATTCATTGGTTGTTGAAATAGAGATTTGTTTGAGCTAATTACGGAATTTACCAATTATTCACATAATCGAATATGTTATGAACATATATTTGGTATATAATAACACCAAATTTGATCCGTGTGTGGAGTCTATATTTTCATTTTACAATCCCTATGAAAATATTGTGGCACAATCTATTATTCATTATTTCCAAAATTGCTTGCAGAATTAAATTTTAAAATATTTAGAAGTGTCAAACCTTATTTAACTCATCTCATCATAAAATCTTAAAATATCGTCTATTATAAGGATCATAACTTTCTATCATATAATACATTACTTTAAACCCGCCGCCTACTATAAATATATTAAACATATCTTTTTAGAAAATCAAATTAGTATTTATAATTTTTTTATCTTTTAAATATTTATGATATTCTTTAATATATTAAATTAAACTTTTTTTAAATGTTCCAAATTAAAATCTTTAAAAATTTTATTGTAGTATGTAAAATTATGAATTTAAAAATATATATATATATATATATATATAATTAAATATAAATATTCAAATAGTTATACGGATCATGACTCAATACATCATATAATACATTATATTTAACCCGCCGCCTATTATAAATATTTGTTTCAAAAAATCAAATTAGAGTATTTATATTTCTTAACTGTTTGATCTATTAAGTATTGATGATATTAAAAAAGGAATATATTACTCAAATATAAATTTTTGACCCGTTAAATTTGTTTTTTCATACATTGAACAATTTATATTCGTTTTTACTAATTCAAATCTTTGTATATGCGGAAAAAAATTACTTTTTTTATTATGTAGATGATATAATAATTTATTTATTTTATAGAAATAGAATAATATAAAGATGAGAGGTGAAGTATAATGATTAATAACAAATTAATGTGATAAATTAGATATCAAATCTTATATGTTCATTTTGATTGGTCATTCTTTTTAAAAAAATTAATAATAGATTTTCGTTTTTATAATTAAATTAAATTAATTAAATTGCATAAAATAGTATTTGACTTGTTTATCTTTAATGAGTTGAATTAATTTACTCTATAAAATTTTATTTCTAATGGCATTCTTAAGTAAATTCTTACAAAATGGAAGGTTAGTTAAGGGTATCTTATAAAGTGTACTCCCCAAATAATAGTATAGGATATAATACACACTTCTAAACCAATAGTAATATTGTTTTCTCAAATTCTAACAGCTTTACTGAAATAGACAGATAAGAATGTTAATTAATCCCACCCAGACAGAGACTAAAGTTCATCACATGCATGAACTATTTAATTTATACAAGTAATCACCACAATCCACAAGTTTGAGACAGTAATTTTAAAATTAAAATTTTAATGAAGCTAGGTTGTCACGTGCGTCGATCACGTGAGATAGTGGTTGGATGCTAGAATCTTCTTCGTTATATGGTGGATCCCGTTTTTGCTTTATAAGTGAAAGGAAAAATGCATCACGATTCACTAGACAATTTATTATTTTAATATGAAAACTATAGTATAAAATATAAAAAACATTTAAATTTTTATAAACTGCATAAGTTTTGATAAGAAATTTACGTGTTAGGCGATAATTGACGAATGCTTAACGCCTAGAAGTGTTTTGTTTGTGTTTGGATCCTCTGTCTTTTTTTTTTAACACTCATGACTCATGAGTTGATTCAAGATTAGTGTGCATTTTCATAATAAACAATACAAACAAAAAAACAAATAATATAGTTTTTGTCCAATTTCGCATGCAAATGATTCCTCACCCACATGTGACCGTCTCCGCAAGATTCCACTGAGAATCGCCACGTCATCAAATTTATGGGCCCCATCTGACGTCCAAGTTGGACTACTGGGTCCCACCAGCCGCCTCCTCTCTTCTCAGCCGTGGAAGCCATAAAGGAGAGCTCTTTCTCCTTCTCGTCTCTCATTCCCAAGAGCCAGTGGTTGTGTTGTGGTTCCGTTCCGTGGCTGTCTTTGTTTATCATCGTCTAATATCGTCGTTAAAAAGCTCTTAAATTGGCAGCCATGGCGGTTCTTCATCCTTCTTCTTCCTCCTCCTCTAGATCTCATCCTTTCCTCTCCCATGTCTATCACACTAGCTTCCATCATCATCACCATCATCACCATCATCATCCTTCGCTTGTGCTCTTCTGGTGCCTCGTGTTTTCTTTGTTATCTCCTCTCGCTCTCTCCTCTTCATCTTCGTCTTCTTCTTCTACTTCCTCTACGTCGTCATCGTCGTCTTCACAACTCTCTCTTGGTAAATCATCTTCTTTCTCTATCTATTTACTCTATTGATTCGATATCAATTGAATCATTAATATACCCACTCGTTAAAAACGGGAATTTGATTCGGAACATTCTCTCTCATTTGTTAGATTCTGTGTAGGCCACATTTAAAAGATTCACCTTTTCAAATTTGTGATTCTGGGTCCGCCATCTTTTTGCTCTGTTTCTAACCAATTTGATTTCATTTGTAATAATTGTCAAAACAGGAATCGGTGAAACAGAAGGGACTAAGCATGATCTGCATCAGACGATCCTAAGGGACGAAGCTGTAGCAAGGTTACACGAGCTTGGACAGGTATTCATCAATCAAAAACAAAGTTTTTAAAATTGCTTAGCTTTCACTTATTCTCTGTTTTCAAGATTGTACTCTTCAATCTGTGTTATCTTGTCATTTCTTATAATTTATACGTTGTTATGGCATATGTCTTCGAATGTTTGTTTTCTTGTTTGACCAATATGATTGATAAACTAGATTGATAGTGTCGTTGTCTCTCAGGGTTGTTCTTAATTTAATCAAATACTTTATAAAACTCTTTTCTTAAGTTTCTTATACGGAATCCAGCTAGTATTATCTTAAAAGTGAAGGCTTCTTTATTTTATATAAGGAAATTGGGAAGACTAGTTAAAACTCAGGAGATCATACTTGGTTTCACTCTTTATTAAAAAAATTATCTTAGTCTTTTTGGTTTGATTTTCTTGAATTTGCAGGTGAGTGATGCAGTTGCCCATCTAGAAAGGACTTTTATGAGTCCAGCATCAATAAGAGCGATAGATCTTATCCGTGGATGGATGGAAGATGCTGGTTTATCAACGTTAGTTTTTAAATCTACTCTCTCTTTTGTTTGTGGACTTACCTACACAACTTTCTTTGGTAGATATGATAAGATTGGATTCTTTTGCAGATGGGTTGATTACATGGGAAATGTACATGGTCGAGTGGAACCAAATAATGGAAGCTCACAGGCTCTTCTAATTGGTTCCCATATGGTAGGTAATTCACAATTCTGTTTTGTACCATGTTGTGTCTTGTGTGATCTTGAATGAGATGATAATGCTGACAATTGATCTTTACTTGTTTAAACAGGACACTGTGATCGATGCTGGTAAATATGATGGCTCATTAGGCATCATTTCTGCAATCTCTGCATTGAAGGTTCTGAAAACAAATGGGAGATTGAAAGAACTAAAGCGGCCTGTTGAGGTTTGTCCTCTTATATACCGCCTCATCGAATAACTGTATTCTTTTGTAGCCAATGGAGATATTAAACAAGAAACTTATGTTATATACATTAACGAAATGAATGAATCAGGTGTTTGCGTTTAGTGATGAGGAAGGAGTGAGATTTCAGTCTACATTCCTAGGCAGTGCTGCTTTAGCTGGAATCATGCCAGTTTCTCGGTTGGAGGTTACTGATAAAAGGTTTTACTCGAGGACCTTAGCTTCTTCTCCTTATGTAGATTGAGTATACGTACTCACTTTTTCCATATTCATTCGCTCAGTGGTATTTCTGTGCAAGATGCTCTGAAAGAGAACTCCATTGACATAACAGAGGAAAACTTAATGCAGCTGAAGTATGACCCCGCATCTGTTTGGGGATATGTAGAGGTAAATCATACTTGATCTTCTTTCGGTCTCGCAAACTAATTTAGCAAGGTTTTGTTTTGTATTTTCCATGAAGTTGAACTGAGTATTCTTGTTATGATTGTTGACTATGAATATTCTCATGTAGGTTCACATTGAGCAAGGGCCGGTGCTTGAATGGGTTGGTTATCCGTTAGGAGTAGTAAAAGGAATTGCAGGACAGACAAGACTCAAGGTAACGTATTCAAAACTAAAAACTTCATGTTTAATCTTGGAGAAGGCTATTTGAAACCCAAATGGACAGAAATCTACAGGTTACTGTAAAAGGTTCTCAAGGACATGCTGGAACAGTTCCAATGTCACTGCGTCAGGACCCTATGACTGGTGCCGCAGAGCTGATTGTACTATTGGAAAGCGTTTGCAAAAACCCTAAAGATTACTTATCTTGCAATGGTCAATGCAACGATGACACAATTGAATCCCTTGCTAATTCACTTGTTTGTACTGTTGGAGAGATCTCAACATGGCCAAGTGCTAGCAATGTCATCCCAGGCCAGGTAAAACAAAAAAAAAAACAATCTCTTCTTTGAACTTACTTTTTTTCTTTGTTGGTCTTGGGGATGAACTCTAAATGATTTCATGGAGATGAATTAAATGAATTCAGGTAACTTTCACTGTGGATTTACGTACGATAGATGATGTAGGACGCAAGGCTATTCTCCATGACTTATCAACTAGGATGTACCAGATATGTGACAAAAGATCGCTTTTGTGCTCCATTGAACGCAAGGTAAAGAGTGTTGTACAATGTACAATTCTTTAAACCTTATACTCCCTAATGTTTTCTTCTTACCAACTTCGTCCCCGGTTTTATCATATCATCATTGCAGCACGATGCAGACGCAGTAATGTCAGACCCACATTTGAGTTCACAGCTGAAATCAGCAGCTCAGAGTGCACTTAAGAAAATGACAGGAGAGGTTCAAGACGAGGTCCCCGTGCTAATGAGTGGAGCAGGACATGATGCTATGGCTATGGCTCACTTAACTAAGGTAATTGAGTTTCAAAAGACATCCACATGTTATAGGACTTATAAGCAATTGTGGGGTTTGTCTCATGGTTCAGTAACTAACTTAAAGGGAGAGTTTTATCCCGGCAGGTGGGAATGTTGTTTGTCCGGTGTCGTGGAGGAATAAGTCATTCTCCGGCAGAGCATGTGTTGGATGACGATGTTGGTGCAGCCGGTTTGGCCATCTTGGAGTTTCTAGAGTCTCAAATGTAAAACTTTGAGAAATATATGAGAAACAAAGTGGAGTCTTGTCTCATAGAGACTCCATGAAAATGTACAGTGTCACTTGTTATTGTGTACTCTTTGGAACTGCATTTGTATAGAATTAGTCCGATTCTTAAAATGTATGAAACATTATTAGCTTATCTTTAATGGTATTGTCCATTGCACGCACTTGATGGTATTTGCCTATACTTGATTGCAATGTTGTGTTGATTAGCTAATAATCTTCTAGATCATCCATTAAAATTAAAATACAGATCAATAAAATTTTGAAAAAGGAGAAGGAACCATATTTTACAACATTTATGGTGGATAAATGAAATTTTTGAATATTGAAGTTAATATGCATGAATGATGCAAATCACCGAGACCGAAATTTTTTGAAAGAGGTTCCTGATTTCTCTCCAATCAAAAACGGTTCCTAAAATCAATTAATCTGCTTTTATTTACCGATTCTCTTACGAAAATCATATGCAATTAACTCTGATTAACCATAAATGTCAAATAAAAATACATTAAAGTCTCATAATTTCAAAATCATTTCAAAAAATTTAAGCGTATCATTTCCACTTTTATTGTTGCTTAAACCCAGCAAATCACGTTGACCAAACAAACCAAAAAAAAAAACTCCGCAATTTCAAAAGTTTGTGAAGAAGAAGAACAAAGTCATTACTCTGTTCAGGTTTGGTTTTTTCTTCAGAACATTTTGAGATTAGTTAACGTTTTCGTCTAATTGTTTTCTTCAAAGTTCGACAGGAAATGGCGGCGAACGGTACCGGAAACGGTAACGGTAACAGTAATGGCGATTTCTCATTGAAAGAGACATGTCCCAATATCGGAAATGGTGGTGGTAACGGAGGCGAGAAGCTGACATCATCATTCGATCTCGTGGAAGCGATGCATTTCCTCTACGCTAGAATCGTCCGTGCTCGAGCCTTACCAGGTTAACGACTCCTTCGTCGCAGTCAAAATCGGAAGCTATAAAGGAAGAACAAAACAGAGCTTAAACTCAAACCCTAACCCTGAGTTTCACGAAACCTTCGCCTTCACGAAAACTCGTCTTCAAGGGAATATCTTAGAAGTGGTCGTACGAAACAGAGATAACGCAAACGAAGACGATATTGTCGGGAAATGTAGGTTCGATGTAGCGGAGATTCCGACACGTGTTCCTCCTGATAGTCCGTTGGCTCCTCAATGGTATAGATTGGAAGATAGAAACGGTGTCAAGATCGGAGGAGAGATTATGTTATCTGTTTGGATTGGGACACAAGCTGATGAAGTTTTCTCGGAGGCTTGGCATTCGGATTCGGCTACGGTTACCGGAGAAAACGTGGTGAACACGCGATCTAAAGTTTATCTTTCACCGAGGCTTTGGTACTTGCGAGTTAATGTAATTGAAGCTCAGGATTTGGTTCCGTTGCATCAGAACCGGATCAATCCAGAGATTCTGATTAAAGGGTTTCTTGGAAACGTTGTTGTGAGGAGTCGGATTTCGCAGACGAAGAGTGTGAATCCTGTGTGGAATGAGGATATGATGTTTGTAGCGGTTGAGCCGTTTGAAGATAGTTTGATACTTAGCGTGGAAGATAAGGTAGGGCCGAGAGAAGAGTGTTTAGGAAGGTGTGAGATAAAGTTATCTCAGGTTGAGAGAAGGGTGATTCCTGGTCCAGTGCCGGCATTGTGGTACAACGTTGAACACATTGGTGAGACTGGAGAAGTGAGGAGATTCGCTGGGAGGATTCATTTGCGGGTTTCTTTAGACGGAGGTTATCATGTTCTTGATGAATCGATTCAGTATAGCAGTGATTACAGAGCTTCGGCTAAGCTTCTATGGACTCCAGTTATTGGTGTGTTAGAGCTAGGAGTGTTAAATGCTACGGGTTTAATGCCGATGAAGTCAAGAGATGGTCGAGGAACTACCGATGCGTATTGTGTGGCGAAATACGGAACAAAATGGGTGAGAACGAGGACGATTGTGGACACTTTCGATCCAAAGTGGAACGAGCAGTATACTTGGGAAGTCTATGATCCTTACACAGTGATAACAATCGGCGTCTTCGATAATCTGAATTTGTTTGGTGCGGGTAACCAAAACCGTTTGATCAACGATTCAAGGATTGGGAAGATCAGGATACGTTTATCGACCCTTGTAACCTCGAAGATCTACACACATTCTTATCCTTTAGTGGTTTTAAAACCAGACGGGGTTAAGAAAATGGGTGAGATTCAGCTCGCGGTTAGGTTCACCGCGACATCTATGATCGATATGCTTCAGAAATACACAGAGCCGTTGCTTCCAGAAATGCATTACATATCTCCATTGTCTATTTACCAATTAGACAGCCTTAGACACCAAGCGACTCACATTCTTTGCATAAAGCTAGGGCGCAACGAGCCAGCACTTGGAAGAGATGTTGTAGAGTATATGCTTGATGTGGGATCAAACATTTGGAGTCTAAGAAGAGGAAGAGCAAATTTCGAACGTCTTGTCTCGTTTTTCGATGGCTGGATGGATGCATGGAGATGGTTTGATGAGATTTGCAAATGGAAAAGTCCCGTGACGACGGTTTTAATACATATTGTCTCTTGTTCATTGTTTTCCTTCCCTAAGTACTGTGTTTTCTCGATGCTACTGTACTGCTTCGTGTTTGGGTTATACAGGTTCGGTTTGAGACCGAGACATCCTCCACACATGGATATAAAGCTGTCTAAAGCTGATTCAGCTTTGCCCGATGAGCTAGACGAGGAGTTTGATGTGTTTCCAAGCGCAAAATCCGGTGATATACTGAAGAAAAGGTATGATAGGTTGCGTGGGATCGCAGGGAGGATGATGATTGTGCTGGGAGATTTGGCTACACAAGGAGAAAGAGTAAAAAGTTTGCTGAGTTGGAGAGATCCAAGAGCAACGTCTTTGTTCTTGGCGTTCTGTTTTGTTAGCTGTGGAGTGATTTGTTTCGTCTCCATGAAGTTACTGCTCACTGTTCTTGCGTTCTACGTCATGAGACATCCTAGGGTTAGGGTTTTCGATATACCTTCTATTCCTCAGAATTTTTTCAGGAGACTACCATCAAGAGCTGATAGCATCTTGTGAGTGTGGAATTGTCTGATCTATCATTGTTTTTAGTATTATTTGTATGACTTTAAAATGAATTCCAGAAACTATTTGTCTTCTCTTTTCTGAGTGTTCTGAGTTCTGACATATGGCATTAACAGTGACCTTGAATCTAACAAAATTTTGCCTACTAGTGTAGTTTTTTTAAAGGGTATGTATTGTTACCATAAACACAAGTCTTTATAATAGTTTCAAGGTAAGAGATAAGTGAATCACGAGAAGAATCTTTAAGCTTCGGCTTATGGAGCATTGCTGATCATTTTCACAGACTTCCCTTTCTTTGCCTAAGATCTCGAGATTATGAACCATCGAGAGAGACCAATCAGACTTCGAAGATCTTTCATTTTGATTCAAGCTGCAAGAAGAAATAATAATCAAACGATGAAAGAAACAGAGCAAAGATCTCGAATTAAACATGTCTGAAACAGAACATATCTTAACAATGGGGGAATCAATAGCAACAAAAATGGAATTTTCATATCCTTATAAACTTTAGCTATTGTGGTCTTAGCTAAAGTAACATGTTTACAAAGTTACTGGTATAGATGATCAAGTAACATGTTTACAAAGTTAGAGTTGCAAATATAGATGACCTATCTACCTGATTTTCGAGCGCATTTCTAGTATTCCATAACTCCAGAAGCGCACAAGTTCCCAAGCATGGAGGCTTTTAAGGTGGAAGCGGGTATGCGGGATCTGAACAAAATTGCTCTATGTTCAAGTACACATGTTCCTCCAGCATTTATTAATGGCGGCATTGATCTTCTTTGGTTTACAGATCTCTGGAACAATCATTGCCCAAGTGGAGGTCTTCGGTGCTAGATACTTACCCAGCATTACTTCTACAATCTTACAAGCGCCTGATACTCTCTGACGCTTTAAGAGCCTCACAACAAGCTCTTCTAGAAAACTCCTCCCTTCTTCACAAGAATCTGACTTCTTGCTCAGAGTATTCAAAAAGGTGTTACACGTAATAACATCGGGATCACAACCTCTATCTAACATAGAGTTCAAGAGATCAACAGCTCTAGAGACATCTTTCTGCATACATAAGCCATCGAGAAGTATATTATAAGTAACAGCATCAGGTTGTGACTTGGGTTCTTCTTGGCATAACATCTCATGGTAAAGTTTTAATGCTGCATCCATTGAGCCAATACCACAAAGACCTTTTATCATTGAGCTATAAGCAACTGTATCAGGTTTTATCCCGATAGTGAGCATCTTTGACCACACCATCATAGCCTCCTTAACTCTCCCAACTCCACAAAGACCATCGATTAGAACACTATAACAAAACTCATTTCGAGAGCATCCGGTTTCATCCATCTCTCTCCACACTTGAATCGCTTCTTCACTAAGACCAGTTTTGAAGAATCCTTTCATCAAGGAGCTATACGTATACACATTAGGCAAGCAGCCACTACTAATCATCCCACTAAGTATTTCTTTAGCTTCATTTGGTTTCCCTTCTCGGCATAAACCATCTACAACAGCACTGTACACAACAATATTGGGCTGGCAAACTTTCTCCGCCATTTTCTTCCACAAGGTACGTAGCCTCCTCGGCTTTGCCCTCTTTGAACAACCCACTTATAAGGACCGAATAAATATGCTGATTCAGACGATACCCTCTTTCTTCCATAGAGATCAGCAACCTAACCCCATCCACTGCTCGTCTTTGCTTAACCAACCCATTAATCAGCGTTCCATATGTGACATCATTCGGGATACATTTGCTCGACACCATCCGTTCTAAGAGACTAACAGCTTTATCCAATTTACCCTTAAGACATAGACCATGAATAAGCGTATTATAAGTAACCTCATTTGGAACACATCCCTTAAGAAACATATTATCCACAAGCTTTGTCACCCGTGTCAAATCCCCTTTCTTGCACAATCCATCAATCAACACATTATATATTACCGGGCTCGGCGAACACCCTTCGCTCTGCATCTCATCCAACAGTAAAACCGCTTCATCAATCCTTTCCTCCTTACACAACCCATCCATCAATGTACAATACGTATAACCATCAGGCAAACACTTTTTCTCAGGCATTCCCCTGAAGACCTCAATAGCTCGATCCACAAATCCCATCTTGCAAAGAGCCTTAATAACCAAATTAAAACTCAACCCATTAGGAGAAATGTTCATGTTCATGTTGGAATTCACAACATAATCATAAAACTCCAATCCTCGGTGATAAAGACCCTCGTTTATAATCACATTCAACACAGAGTTAAACGACTTAACACTACGTTTACATCGAAACTCATCAACCATTCTATGAAACAAGTCTACAGCTTTATCAGGTAAATGAGCTTTCCCATAAGCTCTAAAGACAACAATGAAACTACGCTCTATAATCACTCTGTTCTCTAATCTAATTCGACTCAAAAGCTTCTCCACCGAATCAAAATCACCCGAATTGGCGTAATTCTCAATCATTGAAGATAAAGTAGAATCACCCAACTTGTAAGAACCCATTTTTGGAGCTGATTTAAACATCTGCTCCGAGATTGGAGTCTCCACTTCCATTGATGGGTTTGGAGAAACTGAAACAGAAGAAGAAGAGAAGCGAAGGTGGATAGAGAAGTTAACTGGGTTACTCGAAAGGATTCGACTTTCGTTGAGGAAATAGCTGAAGAAGCTGATACGGATTGGGATTGGGCATTTGGGCATGAACTCGTAGGGTTTTTGCTTAAACCCTTATTTGGGGATTTCAAATGTTTGGTGTTTTCGCGAGAGACAGAGACAGAGAGAGATTGCAAATCTTAAACCTCTCTCATTTGCGGATTTGAAAAAGAGAGTGGAGATTGAATACGATTTTCTATCAATTTAGAGGTTTGTTGATAAACAATGACATTTGAAAAAAAACTGTTAGAGTAAACTTTTTATAGTGACAGGCTCCACCGCAAAGCGGCCTCATATCCAGAGAAAAATCCCACTCCGGCCTGGACCTACGGGTTAGTATACACCGCTTGCCCCTACTCGTATGAAAGAATTTTTATTTGGAGAAGCTCAGTACCACCGTGGTGGCAGAGTGACTCGAACTTGAGACCTCTGACACTCATCTGTGAGAAGGAAATACCACTAGACCATGGACCCTTCTCAAAAACTGTTAGGGTAAACTTTTTATAGTGACAGACCCCACCGCAAAGCGGCCCCATATCCAGGAAAAACTCCACCTCCAGCCTGGACCTACGGGTTAGTATACACCGCTTGCCCCTACTCGTATGGAGGAGTTTTTATTTGGAGAGGTTCAGTACCACCGTGGTGACAGAGAGACTCGAACTCGAGACCTCTGGCACTCATCTGTGAGAAGGAAATACCACTAGGATACCATCACTTCTCAAAAACTGTTAGAGTAAACTTTTTATAGTGACAGGCTCCACCGCAAAGCGGCCTCATATCCAGAGAAAAATCCCACTCCGGCCTGGACCTACGGGTTAGTATACACCGCTTGCCCCTACTCGTATGAAAGAATTTTTATTTGGAGAAGCTCAGTACCACCGTGGTGGCAGAGTGACTCGAACTTGAGACCTCTGACACTCATCTGTGAGAAGGAAATACCACTAGACCATGGACCCTTCTCAAAAAACTGTTAGAGTAAACTTTTTATAGTGACAGGCTCCACCGCAAAGCGGCCTCATATCCAGAGAAAAATCCCACTCCGGCCTGGACCTACGGGTTAGTATACACCGCTTGCCCCTACTCGTATGAAAGAATTTTTATTTGGAGAAGCTCAGTACCACCGTGGTGGCAGAGTGACTCGAACTTGAGACCTCTGACACTCATCTGTGAGAAGGAAATACCACTAGACCATGGACCCTTCTCAAAAAACTGTTAGAGTAAACTTTTTATAGTGACAGGCTCCACCGCAAAGCGGCCTCATATCCAGAGAAAAATCCCACTCCGGCCTGGACCTACGGGTTAGTATACACCGCTTGCCCCTACCTAATTTTTCTCTGCGTTTGCCTCTCCGGTCACCGGCGTTCTTTGCCGGTACCGTGAGAGGGCTCACTTTCTTTGTTTTTTGTTTTCCGGCCACCTCCTCTGCAATTTTCTCTGCCCTAGGCGGTGGTGCGGCGATGGAGACGAGTTCTTAAGATGCTTGGCTGAGGCTATCTCAGCGGTTTTCCGACGTCGCCTCTCCTCTTCTCTCTTTCGGCGCTCCTCTCTCGATTTCATCTTTGCTCAAGGACGGCAAAGTGGATCTATGCGAGGGTTTGTGTTTGGAGATGGGTTTGGCTATTTGGATCTGCTTGCTGGTTTGGTTCTTGTGGCGGTTGGTTTCGCAGGTGGTCCTAGGTCGCTCCGGTGGCTTGCTTGTCGTTTCCCCTTGGCTAAGTGGCGCAGCGGATTTCAGAGATCTGTCGTGCTTGGGCAAGCTAGTTTTGCCTTCTCTATGGAATCTCCTCAACCACGCATTGTCCCTATGGTTTTGTTGGATGCGAGGTGCTTCTGTTTTAGGTGTTGTTATCCTTTCGCTTGGCGTGGCTGTGTGCTTTGGATTGTTGGGCGACCTCGCTGGCTGGTGGTGCGGTTGGTGTTGTCGAGTCTTCCGGCGAAGCTGCGGCGTTTCTCGTTGTGGCGGATCCGATGTGGCTCGAACGTGTTCTTCGTTCTGAGACCAATGGCGATAGCTCCTTGCTTTTCCAGCGAAGCTGCGGTAGTAATTGCTTTGGCGGGTTTGATGTGGCTCGGAGTGACTTTGCGCATAGGCTGAAGTGAAGCTGGTTTTCCATCGGTCTTGACACTAATGTTATAGCTCAAGTTCTCCTATGCTGCCGGTGTCTTACATTTTGGAAGTGTGTGTTTCAGAGGTGGTGGCTCCTATTGGTGTGAATTCTTCCAATTTGGCTTGTCCTGCAGGTGAAAGATGTTCTTCTTGCTCGGAAAAGCTGTAGGCCCGCACCGTCAGAGGATTTGAGGACGTTTCTCGGGTGCGGAGGACTCGCGGCAAATTCGTATGATTTGAATCTCCTCCTCCTCCAATGATCGCTCCTTCCTTTGTTCTACTCTAGTTTTGCAGTGTTCTTTTGTAATGTTGTATGTGTGTAGATTTTGGTCTTCTGCTTTCTTTGTGAGTCTTTGTATTCTGTAAAAACTTCAAAAATGGTATGAATCTTCACATGTTTACCAAAAAAAAAAAAAAACAATGACATTTGATTTCTGCTTGTGAATTCTTCGTCAGTATGATTTTACAATAATTTTTTTTTTCTCTCAATTAATTGATAATTTTAGAAAAAAAAATTATACTTCTCATTTACCAAATGGTTTTTCTTAATTATTATAAATTTTTTTGATAAATTATGTAACCAAAATTTGGTTACCAAATGGTTTTTCTTAATATACTTCTCATTTACATAATAATTTTGGGGATGATATATTATGTATTATTTATTCTACAACTTTGGGGACTACTCTAACATGAAACACTTAACTTCAAGAGAAAATGGCCTGGCTTTCCATCGGTTGTTTTCCTTATGATACAATTGCAGTCTCGACCACAACGGGTTTTGAAGCTAATGTAGAAGATTGCATTCTCGGCCTTCAGCTTCTTCTTCGACTCCACATTTTCTTTGGTTTCTACAACTATTTTCTTCATCTCAAATGGCTTTGCAGTCTCCAGCGCACCCTGCATTAACACAACACAACACCAAAAACCAAGTTTCTTTAAAGCCTAGACAAAATCCCCTCTATGTTTTTTGGCCTAGTCTCTTTTTCCTCACCAGTTTATTAGATCGCCATTTTTTAAACAATGCGAGTTCCGCGTATAGATGAAGCCATTCATTCTCTTCTTGAACTTCTTCTAGGTCGGAATCTTTCATCTGTTTCATGTCAACCACATCATATCCTTAATATTTCAATCTTTTAACACATGAAAAGCTCACCTCATAGTATTGCAGCTTATCGCTTCCCGTTAGTGCATCTTCCCGGATCCACTCGGGCATATCACCTTTATAGAAATCATCCACGAGATCTTTGTTCCATAGATAATATTTGTCTTCCTCCTCTAAGAGACGCATACAAGTTGACATAACCAATATAGCGGAATGAAAATAGTGACATCCAAGACACACACACTAGAAGATGTATTAACTAAAACATGCCAACGCGTACGTATGACAGAAAACAAAGGTGCATTTACATTTTACCTGGAGTTTTAGGCTTTAATCTGCATCGCGTTGTAATTGCGCTCAAACAATCTATATTCTCAACCGCATACCTAACTTGCGCTTTGAACTCATAAATCGAATTGTCTACTGGATCCATTGCCTCCAAAGTTATGCAATAACTAAAAATTGAGGTCATCCATACGTCAACATTGAGTACACTCAAATATTGTAAGTTTGTTCCCTACAAGATCACAAAAATATCTGGTGAGAGTACTCAGACAAAACAAAGTTCACTTAAATCACTAGAACGAACGTGTAGGAATATATTACCTTTTGCAGATTGTAGCAATGAAGTCCAACTCTACCGAAGAGGACTATTATTGGATTAGGTCCATATTTTACAATGTCAGCCCTTTGTTGTTTGTAGTATTTGTAAGAATCAAAATCTTCTGATCTCTAAACATTACACACAATAAGTAATATATAAGCTTTAATGCAAATATCTCTTTAAGTGATGATGAGACCTAAGGTTCATATATCCACAATCAAATCCAATTACCCGATGAACCCAAGCATGTCGTGGGATGGAGAATGAAGATCCTTGTGGTCTCTGATCTTCCAGCTTCACATTACTCTGCGATGGTTCCTCGATCAAGTCTCTGGCTTCTTGCTTCCACATTCCGTTACCCATTTCTTGGCAAATAAACCCTAATTTGAAAAACTCTTAAGAGACTTGGACCTTAAGAACCAAACCCTAATTTGGTATACAATATCTATGCGCGTTAAGCCAAACCAAAATCAATAATTAAGAACACTGTCAACACACAACATTTGAGCAGCGAAGACCACAACAGAGGGAAGTGATTGACAACAGCAGATCTACGCTCAAACTCAACATGCATAGAAGAAGAAAACCAATTAAGCATATCAAGAGATATTGAAAATCTCTCATTCATAAAAGTTCCATGATTCCATAAAAACAACAACTATTTGGAAGAAGTTGAAATGGAGACATCTCAAGTTCTGTTCCAATGTAAAAGACAGACCAACTAATTAAGTTCGGTTTCAGAACTCACCTTCTTCACCTATGAAATTTGAGGAGGTCGCAAGAAGAAATATACAATGGATTCAGTGTTTCGTAATCGGTGGGAAAAAGACAAATAAATAAGGTTGATAGCTTGTTAGACCTTAAAGAATAGAAGATTGGGTTTTAAGGCTATTCTTCCTTTTTCTTTTTCATTGACTCAACTTTTTGGACTAATATATGCAATCTCATCTCTTTGTTCTAATTTGGACAAATACTTTTAGCTTTTAGCTTTTTAGACATTTGTTATATGTAACAATGCAATTGATGATAAAGATATAAATTTGTTGACAATGAATGCATAGGTTCAGAATTAAAACTCAAAAGTAGAAACCCAAAAAGTAGTTTCATCAGCACACAAAACTCAACCAAAGTTAACAAAATTCTCTCAATTGCAAAATGTAGTCATTACAACTCCACCTAAATCAAGATTGAATAAGCTTCCCTAAGTAACATGCATCTTGCTGGTGGTAAGATCAAAACTGTACTTGTTCGAGGCCTTGTTAGACAGCTTCTTCTCCGGTTTCATGCTTCTTCTTGTCGGAATCTTTTTCGACTTTGCGACAGCCAAAGTAGAAAAACTGAAGCAGAATAAGAAAATCAAGCACAGCACATCCTCCTGAATCAACAAGCCATGGTAGATTCGGTTCGATTTTCGACCATTCAACGCTGTTCACAAGTATGCTTGCAACATAAGTCACATTGCCAACGAATGCAAAAAAGAACATCAATGGACTCAATCCCTCAACATGTCCTCTTCTTATATTCATACATATTTGAGGAAGCCTTCCACCCATGTAAATCGCCGCCATTGCCCAACCCAACCACATTCCGATATTGCTACTTTCTCCTAAGTTACCGCTAGAGACCTCCAAAAGCTTTCTTGCTCCTCCAACTACAAAAACCCTATCTTTCCCTCTCAAATCCATACTTCTTGAACCACTTAACAAATTAAATGTTCCAAGAAACAAGAACACCGAGACCACACATAACATAGATTTGGTAGAAGGACGCTTAGCTTCCTCATGAAGCAAAGGCTCTTCCACATCAACCACATGATGATTCCTTCGGTTTTTCATCAACCGCGGGTAAATATGCCCATAATATATAGATTGAACATAGAGAACAAGTGTAGCCAGTGTATACAACACTGCCGTGTAAAATTGTACTGGAAGACTAGCTGGTTCCATCAAGCAGCCAACAACATTAAAGATATCACCAAGCATCCATGTCGTTAAGAAGGCTATAGAGACACCTTCAATGGATTTGTTACTGTAGTTAGTCATAATCTGCGGTATCTCGGCAACACTCCAACTAATAACACTGATGACACCAAGAGATAGTGACAATTCATCTCGAAACATCGTTCTTCACCTACGATGATACAGCCAAAATAAACCTGTTAAACCCTAAAAACGAAATTACACGTACCTGAATAATATTGTGCAAAGATAACTTGTTTTATAAAGGTGTAAAAAGAGTCGGAAGATGATTAGGAAAAGGGTTTCGAAACTACAATAACCAGATTCTAAGAGCAATAGGAAAGGTTTTCAGATTGGAGAGAACGAATCCTATGAGTGAATTAGGTTATACAACTTTTAGTATTTGTTTTCTATATAATTAAATAATTAGTCTTTATCAAAGAAAAATATAATAATAGGAATTATCCAAACAGTTAGAATAATAGTAATAATTACTATATTTTCTTGTCTATGATCACACACAATGTTTATTGTTTCAAAGTAAAAGGTTTTGATTTAGTCTCCTACAATATAAATACCACCAACCAATATAAAAAAAAAAGAACATTAAACTAACAAAAAGTCTAACATCTTCCAATTCTTTTCCATTTTCTAAAATATGTTTTGCGTTTGATTTTTCTTAAATATGAATTTATTCTTATTTATATGAACTAGTATGCTATCATCTTCAATCAGAAACAGTTCCACAGAAGTTTTCTGTTTTGTCTTTTCCTCTGTTTTTGATTTTTCTCTCTGAATTTCTCCTTCATTTTCCCGGGAAATAGTACAAGAAAGGTTGATCATCGACCAAAACCATCGTCTTGGTGTTTTCAGAGATGGGTTTAGTCAACGGGAGAGCTTCGTTGACCTTTCTCCTCGCGGCGTTGACCATCATCGCGATGGTCGTTGACGCGAGGTTTGTGGTGGAGAAAGAAAGCATAAGCGTACTGAATCCAGAGGAGATGAGGTCGAAGCGTGATGGTTCGATAGCCAACTTCGGGTTACCCGATTACGGCGGGTTTTTAATCGGGGCAGTGGTTTATCCGGATAGTAAAACCGATGGATGCTCTGATTTTGGTAAAACCTTCAAGCCCAAGTTTCCTCGTCCCACTATTCTGCTTCTTGATCGTGGAGGTAAAAAAGTTAAAAACATCTTTAAAAGTTAAAACCTCTGTTTTGTCCATTTACTGTTGTTTTGCAAATATTTGAAACATATCTTTGTTCTAAGATTTGAATGATACGAAGTTCAAAGATTCAAACTTTAATCACTTTGTGTCCCTAGAAATCTGCTATGTTGATTGTCATAGCCAATAGGACTTATGGGTTATGCTGCAAAAATACGTTTTTGTTGAAAGATTTAATTTTTTCAATGAAAGATTAAAACTTTAATCTCTCAAGTTATGTGTTAATGTTTTGTCTCATTAGTTTAAGTTTTATCTTTGCTACATTACTGGATGTTTCAGGTTGCTACTTTGCCTTGAAAGCGTGGCACGCGCAACAAGCAGGCGCCGCGGCAGTTCTTGTGGCGGATAATGTAGACGAGCCATTGTTGACAATGGATTCACCAGAGGAGAGCAAAGACGCGGATGGGTTTATAGAGAAGCTAACTATCCCATCGGTTTTAATCGACAAATCGTTCGGAGATGACTTAAGAAAAGGGTTTCAGAAAGGGAAAAACATAGTCTTGAAACTAGATTGGAGAGAATCTGTTCCTCATCCTGATCAGAGAGTAGAATATGAGCTGTGGACTAATAGCAACGACGAGTGTGGTGCACGGTGCGATGAACAAATGGATTTTGTCAAGAACTTTAAGGGTCATGCTCAGATACTCGAAAAAGGCGGTTATACCGCGTTTACGCCACATTATATCACTTGGTTTTGCCCTTTTCAGTTTATAAACAGTCCACATTGTAAGTCTCAGTGTATAAACCATGGGAGGTATTGTGCTCCTGACCCTGAGAATAATTTCAGAGAAGGTTATGAAGGCAAAGATGTTGTGCTTGAGAATCTGAGACAACTTTGTGTGCATAGAGTTGCGAATGAGAGTAGCCGGCCTTGGGTTTGGTGGGATTATGTTACCGATTTTCATTCGCGATGTTCAATGAAGGAGAAGAAATTTAGCATAGAATGTGCTGAGAGCATCATCAAATCTCTGAGTAAGAATCCTTTTTTTTTTCCTTTAAGATTTTAAAGAAAGAGAGTCTTCTTTGTTCTGGTAATGTATTCTCAACACTTGTTTCAGATTTACCTATTGAGAAGATCAAGAAATGCATTGGTGATCCTGAGGCTGATACCGAGAACCAAGTTCTGAGAATCGAGCAAGTATCCCAGGTTAGTTTTTTTACCTTTCTTTATTTAGATTTTCAAGAAGTATTGCAGAGGTTTGGTTTCTAACTGTAATGTATGTAACTATTTCAAGATTGGCCGAGGTAACCGGGGAGATGTTACAATATTGCCAACATTAGTCATCAATAACGCCCAATATCGAGGTTTGGTTCTTCATATGTTTCAGTTTCACTCTCTCTCTTTTTGAAGATGCTGAAATTTCTGTTGTTACTATTTGTAATTGTGAAGGGAGATTGGAGAGAACCGCTGTTCTAAAGGCGATATGCGCTGGATTCAACGAAACATCAGAGCCTCCCATTTGCTTAAACACAGGTCTAGAGACAAATGAGTGCCTTGAAAACAATGGTGGTTGCTGGCAGGACACAAAATCAAACATAACCGCTTGTCAAGTATGTCGTAAAACCGAGCTTATTACATCACATATCACCACTATATCGAATATCAGTATCAATCTGTTGGAAATGTTTTGAAAACTAGAGAAAAGTTGGAATCTACAGAGACGTTGTGTAGTTCTATAATACCAGAATCTTTTTTGTTTGATCAGGACACATTCAGAGGAAGACTCTGCGAGTGTCCGGTTGTAAAAGGTGTTCAATATAAAGGCGACGGGTACACTTCATGTACACGTAAGTTGTTCACACTTCACACTTCACACAACATAGCTCTCAAATGTTGAGACCGGTTTCTTGAATTTTCTCTGAATGTCTGGTCTGTGATTTATCTTTGCAGCTTATGGGCCTGCGAGGTGTACAATGAACAATGGAGGTTGCTGGTCTGACACAAGAAATGGCTTAACTTTTTCTGCTTGCTCAGTTTAGTGATTCTCTTGTTATAATCCAAACCCTCCCTTTCAAAGTTCTTGTTTTAGTTCAATCATCTCTTTGTTATGTATGAACAATTAGGACTCTGTGTCTACTGGCTGCAAATGTCCTGAAGGTTTCAAAGGCGACGGTTTCACGTGTGAAGGTACATAACTCTTAAATTGCCGATTTTTAAAGTAACCACATAATAATTTTACCAATAATGTAATTCTGTGTTCTGATTTGGCTCTATTGCAGATATTAACGAATGTAAAGAGCGTTCGGTCTGTCAATGTAGCGGTTGCAGATGCAAGAACTCATGGGGTGGATACAAATGCAGTTGTTCTGGCGACCGGCTTTACATAAACGATCAAGATACTTGTATAGGTAAATATTATCAATCAAGATTTAAGAGTACTCAAATTCCACAACAATATAGCGGTATCTAATATACATTAATATACAGAGAGATATGGATCCAAAACAGCACGGTGGCTCACACTCTTGATCCTAGCTATCGTCGCAGTAGCCGGATTAGCTGGTTATCTATTCTACAAATACCGGTTCAGGGTACTATTCTTTCTGATTCCACAAAAGCTTAACGGTTTTAGGAGTTTCAAACTAACTTTTCTTCGGTTTTCCTACTCACACAGTCTTACATGGACTCGGAGATTATGACGATTATGTCACAGTATATGCCACTTGAGAGCCAAAGAGCTCGTGAAGTTCCATCAGAAGCTGAGCCTTTTACACTCTAATGACCAAAGTAACCGAAAACTGTCTTTGTAGATTTCAGGAACAGAATCATATAGTTCCTACACAAAGAAATGTTTGAGATCAATTAATGTACATATGAATTATACTGTAAAAATAAAAGAGTGAGATAGAGTTGTGTATATTGTCCTGGCAAAAATAAATCTACATTGAATGTAAAAGAAACTTTTCAAGAAAATTAAACTAAAATTGCTTTCATTGAGAGTTGAACTCAAGACCTCCCGCTTACTAAACGGGTGCTCTAACCAACTGAGCTATGAAAGCTTCCTGGTAACACATTACTATAAATTCTATATATAGTAAATTAAACTAAAACTTGAAAACAAAGGATAACGATCTTCGTCTCCCTCTCCTAAATCCATTTTCTTCAGTTGAAGAATGGCTTCTTCAGTCTCTCTTCAGTACCTGACCAACACCTTTATCTCCAAACCTCAGGTTCTTAATCTTATCTCTCTATATTACCTATTGTTTCTATGTAACGTGTGTTGCGTCTTTGTCTGAATTCTCTGAGTACTCATGTTTTTTTCCGTTCGGACAAAGGGTTTCTGCAACGGAATTGTGTCAGCACCAAGACCCAGAAGCAATTTCTTAAGAGACAGACAAAATGGTGTCCGACCAATCAAAGTTGCTTCTCTTGAGACACAACCTTTCCCTCTGTTTCAATCTCCTGCTTCAGAAGAATCTTCCTCGTCCGAGGTTAGGATTTTGAGTTTTGAGTGTTTTAGGGTTTAAATGAGTTCTAAAGGCAGTACCTTTAGACAATTCTATGCATTGCCCCCATCTGTGAGATTGATTTAGGGCTTAAATAAGTTCTAAAGGCAGTACCTGTAGATAATTCTGTGCATTGTGAGATTGATTTAGGGGACAACTGAGTTCTAAGCAGTACTTTAGAAAATTATGTGCATTGCCCTCATCTGTGCGATTGATTTAGGGTTTTTTCTTTTGTTTATTCACTAGCTGGAGCCAGCAGATCCGGATTTCTACAAAATTGGGTATGTTCGAAGTGTGAGAGCTTATGGAGTTGAGTTTAAAGAAGGTCCAGATGGTTTTGGTGTTTATGCTTCTAAGGATATTGAACCTCGCCGTCGAGCTAGAGTCAGTCTTCTTAGTTCAAAAGCTCACAACTTTTTGTTCTTGTTCTTCTCTCTAGAATTATTTGTTTGAACTGTTTTCTCTTGGCAGGTGATAATGGAGATTCCTCTTGAATTGATGATAACCATTAGACAGAAGCACCCTTGGATGTTTTTCCCTGATATTGTACCAATTGGTCATCCTATTTTCGATATCATTAACTCGACTGATCCTGAGGTAAGTAACACATTCGTGCTATTTCGATATCATGAACCCGAAAGTTCTCATCTTTCTCAAAGTCCTTTCATTCTTAACAAAGTTGCATACTTTCGGTTTCATGATTGTTCTATAATACAATTTTGATTTTGGATATTACAGATTGATTGGGATATCAGACTAGCGTGTCTTCTGTTATTCTCTTTTGATCAGGATGATCACTTCTGGCGACTCTATGGCGATTTCCTTCCTGCTGCTGATGAGTGCAGCAGCCTGCTTTTAGCTACAGAGGTGGATTGAGTTTCATTTGAATCTGATTACAATTACTTCTCGGTGTTAACAGTATTTATTAACTGATCCTTTGATGAATGTTATATAATTCTGTGTTTTGTTATAGGAAGACCTTGCGGAGCTTCAAGATCCTGATCTTGTTTCGACTATTAGACAACAACAGAAACGAGTCCTAGAATTTTGGGAAAAGAATTGGGTAACGAGGCATGAAGCCTAATATTTGTTTTCCAATATATCTTGACATTTGGTTATGGCTGTTTTTTTCATTGACAAATTGTATTCCAACTCAGCATTCAGGTGTTCCTCTCAAAATCAAAAGGCTTGCCGAGGATCCAGAAAGATTTATATGGGCGGTTAGTATTGCACAGACACGATGCATCAGTATGCAAACTAGGATCGGTGCTTTGGTTCAGGAATTAAATATGATGATTCCTTATGCTGGTAAGGAAGATTTTTTTGTTTGGTTATTGATAGATTACCATTTACTATCAATGAACTTGGTGTTGAGGAACAAAATAGGAATCTCACAATTGATCATATAGTTTTTTCATCATCTTCTCTGCAGACATGCTAAACCACTCCTTTGAACCAAACTGTTTCCTACATTGGCGTCCTAAAGATCGCATGCTTGAGGTTATGTCAAATGCTGGTCAAGCAATTAAGAAAGGCGAAGAGGTAAAGGACTCAAATGTTCCATAAATGATTTATGTCAGATTCACTTCACTGCAGATTGCAAATTGGAAAATGTTTTGCATCTTCTTATAATGCTTTTCACAGATGACGATAAATTACATGCCGGGCCAGAAAAACAACATGCTTATGGAAAGATACGGCTTCTCAACTCCTGTGGTAATGCTTTTAACATCAATCACATTCGTCTTACACAAACTATGGTTACTTTGCAAGTTTTCTTGTTTATTCATTTTTTTCGTTCTGCTGCAGAATCCATGGGATGCTATAAAGTTCTCTGGAGCTTCTCGCATCCATTTAAATTCCTTTTTATCGATCTTCAATATTTTTGGTCTTCCTGAAGAATATTACCATGACAGTAAGTTCCTTTTCTTCTGTTTCCTCTCTATTCCTCGACAAAAGATGGAGAAATGAGCACCAACGTTACCTAATTCTGTGTCAGGCGAGTTATCGGGAGGTGATACTTTTGTTGATGGAGCAGTTATAGCTGCAGCAAGAACATTGCCCACTTGGTCAGACATAGATCTTCCTCCAATTCCAAGTGCGGAAAGAAAAGCAGTTAAAGAATTGCAAGATGAATGTCGAAAGATGCTTGCGGAATATCCCACAACAGCAGACCAAGACCAGAAATTGCTTGGTATTACACTAAAGATATATGAACCGATGTGTTATTATCGCTCATATATTAAAACTTTAGCTTTCCCTCTTGTTTTTTTTTTGTGACAGATTCAATGTCAGAAGCAAGGACAACGTTTGCGACAGCGGTGAAGTATAGAATGCACAGAAAGATGTTCATTGGAAAGATCATCAAGGCACTTGACATCTATCAAGAACGATTACTGTTTTGATTCAAGCGAAAAATAACTCAATTTTATTTTTCAAGAATGGTTACTTGGTCATCACTCCCTTTGAGCTACTTAGAAACTTCACCATGGAATTGAAAGGTTCCTGTTTTTGTTTAGTGTAAGCTTATGTATTTGTATGGAACAGTTAGACTAAATGTGTTAGTTTGTTTTAATCGCAATCACAAACCAATCATAACTTCTTCCTTTTTTGCCGTTTAATGGGTTTGATTAGCCAACAAACGCTTTGGAATCATCTGTTTACTTTTCTGATCTTGTAATGGTGGTTACAAGTAAAACCATTTGGTAGGACTAGTTTAAGACTCAAATTCACCCTTAATTATTTGGTTGATGAATTCCTTTTCATGTTTTTAGTCCCTAAGCATGATTTGTCTCAAATGGTTTTGAGTAATTTAATGTTGCTTGTTAAAATTCTCAATGGTGAGGGGATGATGATTAGTCACAATAATTGATTTATTACTTATATACTATTAATTAACCTTGTGGTTACACTAATCAATCAAATCATATATATTGCGTTTCTTTTACTCTTTGTCTAACATTACTCTTTTCAAAAAAAGTTACGGTCCAAACCAAACAAACCTACTCTGAGTTATGTAGAACCATAAGCAATCTATTTCTTACCTTTGGCTACTTATAAGATACATTGACTAACTTGATTCTTAATAATTTATCTTAGCTTATTATATCTTCAATATGTTGAATATCTTATTCTTGAAGTAAAACCACTATTATGTGTTTCACAATTCTTGCCAATTTGCCATGCATTATGAAATTACTTAACATAATACTTTGAATTTAAGATTAAATCAAGTATATAATCAACCAAACAATAGACAAAAAAACAACATAAAATTAAGCATCTTGACCTTTTTGGTGGATCGAAGATAATTCCTTTGTCTCATTCTTTTGGATTTAGAATCTCGTTCAATAGAATATTAACATTTTTAATTATAAGTTATCAATCATCGAACAAGTTGTTGTACGTAAACTTGATTCGATCTAGCGTTATCACAGTCAACCAAAATTTATATATAATAACTATCTTTGAAAATGACGTTAGTTCTTGATGTTTTATTCCATTTTTTCCCTATAATTAGATAAATGTAATTAAATTCAAGCTAGATTCCGAATCGACAACAACATTATATCTACAAATACAAGTAATTTATTAACCCCAATTTTTGAAGGAAAAAAAACACACGAGTTGATTCTTTACTTCGATGAACATAAATTGGGAAAGTATCACCGAACTAATTTAAGTAACACAAGTTGGTATGTTGTAGTATTTGGGAAATAAAGAAAAAGATATGGATGATGAATTGATGATAAAATTGTATTTGACTTGGTAATAAAATATAGGGCATAATCATATGATGCCATATTAATGTACGATCATACCACAACTGCTCTCTTTGTCGTGAAAAGGTTGAAGTGATGAGAAGCTAACACACTTTGTGACATAACCAAAGCCAAAAAAAAAAGTATAACAAAAGTATCCTTCAACCAAGTCATTTTCTCAACTACTCTTTTCTCCTTGGCCAAGGTCAAAGCCATGCATCACCATTTTTTTTTTTTTTCATTATTGTTACTTTTTTATAAACTAACAAAAGTCTATTAATTACTAATACTTAAACAACTAAACTTGTCGAAAATAAATATTAGATCAAAGAACTTTAACTTCTTACGAAATTGGGTTTTGATATAATCAAATGATTGCGTCTCAAGACAGTAAACAAAAAGAGGAAAAGAGAAATCGTGTAGAGTCGACACTCTATATATTCAGAGTAGTAATCATGTTTCGATAGATAATACTATGAAATGATAAAACTTGTTGTGAATTATGGAATGCTCTAAAACTTTTCTAACTTAACTCCGAGTTTTCATTTAAACGAAGGAACAACATAAGAGATATGATCTAGTGGAATAAAATGGTCATAAGTAGCTTAATTGATCATACGAAAAAGAATGCATGCGTGAGAAGTGATAAATTGTCTTAATATCAAATGACAAATAATACCATATATTGGCTTTTACCATCTATGAAGAGTACTTATAAGCTTATAAATATTTTACAAGTTTGATGTGAATGTAAAGTGCACTACTTCATTCTTTATTTGGTTTCTAAAGAAGACCAAAATGTTATGTCAAAGTTTAGGCACAGTTTTATTTATAACATGTCTACACGGACGAATAATGTACACACGAACATCTTAGTATGACCGTTGACCTTTGCCTCCATTGATAAAAGGCTAAAAGCCGAAACATTTTCATTTACGAGCCTTCCCCATTCCATTTTCCCACATCTCTCCTCTGACCTCTCTTTGACCACCCTCTCTCTCTCTAGATCTCTCAATAAAACAGTGAAAGAACAAACAAGAAACACAAATAGAGAGAGAGACATTAAATCCCAAAACTTTGTTCTCTCTACATTTACTCTTCTCCAACTCAGAGATAGAGTCCCTATGCACCGTTTCTAATGACCAATCATCTCTCTCCTTCTTCATCATTCTCTATCACACAAATGCCATAAAACCTCCATTTCCTCTTCCTCAATAAACCCAAACCAGAACAAGAAGAAGAAGAAAACATGCAGCCACTAGTTCTTCTCCTTCTCTTCATCATCTGTTCTTCACTCAAGTCCGGTTTAGGTCAACCCGGTATCATCAACAACGATTTTCAGACTCTTCTCGAGGTGAAGAAATCTTTCGTCACGACTCCACAAGAAGACGATCCTCTCCGACAATGGAACTCTGTTAACGTCAACTACTGTTCTTGGACCGGAGTCACATGCGACGATACCGGTTTATTTCGTGTAATTGCTCTAAACCTTACCGGTTTAGGATTAACCGGTTCGATTTCTCCTTGGTTTGGCCGGTTTGACAACCTAATCCACCTTGATCTATCTTCCAACAATCTAGCTGGTCCCATCCCAACTGCTCTCTCCAACCTTACTTCTTTGGAGTCTCTGTTTCTTTTTTCTAACCAACTCACCGGCGAGATTCCGAGTCAGCTCGGCTCCTCGTTAATCTCCGGTCGCTTAGGATCGGAGACAACGAGCTTGTCGGAGCTATACCAGAGACGTTAGGGAACTTGGTTAATCTCCAGATGCTTGCTCTGGCTTCGTGTAGACTCACTGGTCCTATACCAAGTCAGCTTGGTAGACTCGTCAGGGTTCAGTCATTGATATTGCAAGATAACTATCTCGAAGGACCGATTCCAGTGGAGTTAGGAAATTGCTCTGATCTCACTGTCTTCACCATGGCGGAGAACATGCTCAACGGGACAATACCGGCGGAGTTGGGACGGCTCGGAAGCCTTGAGATACTCAATCTGGCTAACAACAGTCTCACCGGAGAGATACCGAGTCAACTCGGTGAAATGAGCCAACTACAGTATCTTAGCTTGATGGCAAATCAACTTCAAGGTTTTATCCCCAAGAGTTTGGCTGATCTGAGAAATCTTCAAATGCTTGATTTATCGGCGAATAATCTCACCGGAGAGATACCTGAAGAATTCTGGAACATGAGTCAGCTTCTTGATTTGGTTCTAGCAAACAATCATTTCTCTGGTTCTTTACCAAAGAGCATATGTTCGAACAACACAAACTTGGAGCAATTGATTTTGTCTGGAACTCAGCTTTCAGGTGAAATCCCTGTAGAATTAAGCAAATGTCAGTCTCTTAAACAGCTCGATTTGTCGAATAATTCGCTCGTTGGATCGGTCCCTGAGGCATTGTTTCAGCTAGTCGAACTCACGGATCTTTATCTCCACAACAATACCTTGGAGGGTAAGTTATCTCCTTCAATATCAAACCTCACCAATCTACAGTGGCTTGTGTTGTATCACAATAACTTGGAAGGTACGTTACCAAAGGAGATCAGCACGCTCGGGCAATTACAGGTTCTGTTTCTGTATGAGAATCGTTTCTCAGGGGAAATCCCAAAGGAGATTGGAAATTGCACAAGCTTGAAGATGATCGATCTGTTCGGGAATCATTTCGAAGGAGAGATTCCTCCTTCAATAGGAAGATTAAAGGAGCTTAACCTACTTCACTTGAGACAGAACGAGCTTGTGGGTGGACTTCCCGCCAGTTTGGGTAACTGTCATCAACTGAAAATCTTGGATTTGGCGGATAATCAGCTCTGGGGATCGATTCCTTCGTCTTTCAGGTTCTTGAAGGGATTGGAACAGCTAATGCTTTACAACAATTCTCTTCAAGGAAATCTTCCTGATTCACTTATCAGTCTGAGGAACCTCACCAGAATCAATCTCTCTCACAACAGACTCAATGGAACGATTCATCCGTTATGTGGTTCGAGTTCATACCTCTCTTTCGATGTCACCAACAATGAGTTTGAAGATGAAATCCCTCTGGAGCTAGGAAACTCTCAAAATCTTGATCGTCTCAGGTTAGGGAAGAATCAATTCACTGGGAGAATCCCTTGGACGTTGGGAAAAATCCGCGAGTTGTCGCTGTTGGATATCTCAAGCAATTCTCTCACAGGAACCATTCCGCTACAGCTTGTCTTGTGCAAGAAACTGACACACATCGATCTCAATAACAATTTTCTTTCAGGTCAAATACCTCCATGGCTTGGAAAGCTTTCACAGTTAGGAGAGCTCAAGCTTTCTTCTAATCAGTTTGCTGAGTCTTTGCCTGCTGAGCTGTTCAACTGTACAAAGCTGCTTGTGTTGTCTCTTGATGGAAACTTGCTTAACGGGTCGATCCCGCAAGAGATTGGTAACTTGGGAGCTCTCAATGTCCTTAACCTCGATAAGAACCAGTTTTCAGGTTCACTTCCTCAAGCTATGGGCAAGCTTAGCAAGCTCTATGAGCTTCGGTTATCAAGAAACAGCCTAACAGGAGAAATCCCAATTGAGATTGGACAGCTTCAGGATCTTCAAAGTGCTTTAGACCTCAGCTACAATAACTTTACCGGAGATATACCTTCGACAATTGGGACGTTATCAAAGCTGGAAACACTTGATCTTTCTCACAATCAGCTTACAGGGGAAGTTCCTGGCGCGGTAGGGGACATGAAGAGTTTAGGCTATCTCAATCTCTCTTTCAATAACCTCGGAGGCAAACTCAAGAAACAGTTCTCAAGATGGCCAGCTGATTCCTTTGTAGGCAACACAGGTCTCTGTGGAAGCCCGCTTAGTCGCTGTAACAGAGTTGGAAGTAACAACAAGCAACAGGGTCTTAGTGCCAGATCAGTGGTGATAATATCAGCAATCTCAGCATTGACAGCGATTGGTTTAATGATACTTGTAATCGCTCTCTTCTTCAAACAAAGGCATGATTTCTTCAAGAAAGTGGGTGATGGAAGTACTGCGTACTCATCGTCAAGCTCTTCTTCACAAGCTACACACAAGCCTCTCTTTCGAACCGGAGCTTCAAAGTCAGATATTAAGTGGGAAGACATAATGGAAGCCACGCATAATCTAAGCGAAGAGTTCATGATTGGATCAGGAGGCTCTGGGAAGGTTTACAAGGCAGAGCTTGATAATGGTGAGACTGTTGCTGTGAAAAAGATTCTCTGGAAGGATGATCTCATGTCAAACAAGAGCTTCAGCAGAGAAGTTAAGACGCTTGGAAGAATCAGACATAGGCATCTGGTTAAGCTAATGGGTTACTGCAGCAGCAAGTCAGAAGGATTGAATCTGTTGATATATGAGTACATGAAGAACGGAAGCATCTGGGATTGGCTTCATGAGGAGAAACCCGTGCTCGAAAAAATGCCGAAGATTATAGACTGGGAAGCAAGATTGAGAATAGCAGTAGGATTGGCTCAAGGAGTAGAGTACCTTCATCATGACTGCGTTCCTCCTATCGTTCACCGTGATATAAAATCCAGTAATGTGCTCCTCGATTCAAACATGGAAGCACATTTAGGAGATTTCGGTCTTGCCAAGGTCTTAACTGAGAACTGTGATACCAACACAGATTCAAATACCTGGTTTGCATGCTCTTATGGCTACATCGCTCCAGGTACTCATCTTATTAAGTTTCTTAGCTTTCATGCATATTCACTGTTTTGAAATCTAAAGATTTGAAATTGTGTGTCTAGAGTATGCTTACTCGTTGAAGGCGACTGAGAAGAGCGACGTTTACAGTATGGGGATAGTGTTGATGGAGATTGTGACTGGGAAAATGCCAACCGACTCAGTGTTTGGTGCAGAGATGGACATGGTGAGATGGGTTGAAACACATCTTGAGATAGCGGGTTCTGTGAGAGATAAGCTCATAGATCCAAAGCTTAAGCCACTTTTGCCATTTGAGGAAGATGCAGGCTTATCAGGTGCTTGAGATTGCACTTCAGTGCACAAAAACTTCTCCCCAAGAGAGACCATCTTCTAGACAAGCTTGTGATAGTCTTCTCCATGTCTACAACAATAGAACGGCGGGTTATAAGAAGCTGTAAAAACTGATACCTGCAAATGTTTTTGGAGACATGAAAATTGTAAACTTTAATTTTTTTTTCTGAAATTCTGTTTCTCCTTTGTATAGATACATGGTTTCAGTGCAAAGATTGTTTCGTACTTAACATCTGCTACACAAACACTTATTGTCTTGCCTGCACTTGTTATACAGCTTGAACCAAATTTTAAACAGTGATTCTGAAACTTTCTATTCTCTTAACAGAAGATAAAAGAACTGCAAGGTTTATCATTTCGCCATTATTACCCAGGTACAAACAGATTAAGATTGTGAAACACACAAATCTTTAGGTTCATATTCGAAAACAGAGAATGAAAAGAACTCCAGAGCTGAAGTCAAAGAGAACTAGCTCTAAAGAAAAGGAGAAGAAACGCTTTTACAGGGAAGATCAAACAAAACAAGCACTTGCGATGACTTCAGGGAAAGATATTCTTTTCTGAAGACTTCAAAGATTACGCAAAACTAATCCCGATCTTCATCTGCATTACAAACACAGAAAGAATAGTTTGAATATTCCAAGCTATTATACGTAAAAAGGTCATTAGCTAAGAATGCATATTTATAATCCAACAAAGCAAAAATGTTATACGCCAAATTCTGCCAGACCCTCACAAATATGCAATAGCCAATGGTGATCAACAAATAGAGATTTCAACATGAAACTAAAGAAGCAATTCGTTAAACTCGACATATGTCAAATGATTTGTTTAAGAAGAGTTTGTGAAAGCTTAGCAACTTCCATTGAGCTCTAAGTCTAACAAAAACTAGACACATCTACATCTGTGGTTCCCTTCAAAATCACATCTAGTTTCTATTTACTGGCACGGTGGCACCTTGCAACCTATATCACTCTAGAACCAAAGAACTAGTCGAAAGTATCCATCTTTCCACACTCATCGAGATCTTGTTCATAAAAAACATTGTGTTGTTCAAACTTTCATAACAGTGCCTGACGAAACAGATTCGCTCAATTGACAAACTTCCAAAAGAACCTTGAGCTAAACAAGAAGTCAAGAACACACCCAAATCAAAGAAAAAACGAAATGATGTAGCCTAAGTTTCATTGCCAAAGAATTCAATTACCATTGTAACCATTTCATATGCCAAAACCGTCACCTTTTTTTTCTCCAAAAGACCACAAAATAAAAATAAAAACCAAACTTTGAGAAGCTGATAAACCAAAAAACGAGAAGATGATAATATACCAAAGTAACGGCGCTCATTAGCAGCTCTGGCTTTAGCAAGCATCACATCGAGATCTTCCTTAAGCTTCACATCCCATTTCACAAGCTGGTTCGCAAACACAGCACCAAGTCCCATACCCACCACATGCTCCCATGGATCTAACAAATTTCAACATCCAATCAGAACCCGAACCCAATGAATCGAAATTTCATAGTCTCAACAATCGAATCAGAAAATCAGAAAACAAAATTAGGGTTGTTGTTGCATTTTCGATTGGTGGAGGACTTACGACGCATATAAGGGAGCTTGCGGAGGGCGTTGGAGTACATCTGGGTTCCGAGACCCAATAAAGCTCCGACCATTGTCGCACTCAGAGGCATCGTTTCTTCTTCGGATCTTCTGAAATTTGTTGATTTTTTTTCTGTGTTGCAACGATGAGTCTCCGATCTCCGGTTAAGTGACTACTCGGACTTAGCTTCACAACGTTGTCCCCACATTACATTGCCATTTTAGTGTGCGGCCTCATATGGGCTTGGGATTGGGCTTGGGCTTGGGTTGGGCCTGAGTAGAAGTAGTTATAATCTCCTATATTCCATCTATGTGCTATGTGTTTAGTTGTTTTCGAAAATGTTAGTAAGTTTAGACTTTGAAAAAAAGAAGCACTAAAGAAAACTGTTTAACGTTAACAAAATTTTCAAAACTACCAAATGCCGAAATTTAGGTGAATTATCTTCTATACTTAAGCAACATACACATATCTTTTGGATAGAAATTAAATTAGTTAAGTTCGTTTTATTGAATAGAGTTTGACTCAAGCTTCCAGGTGTAATTTACGCCAAAACTCTAATTTTGTTTTCTATCTGTTTTTTTTTTAAACCTTCACCGTCAGATTAGTCAAAGAATCTAATTTTATTTTGATTCTGATAGGCTATAAAATAGTTACCAAATTACAGTCAAAGACTAAATTATTACTTTGAGTTACCATAGTACAATGAATCAATGGAACTTCATTTGGTATAATTACATAGCATGCATGGTTAATCTTATGTAGATTTCATTTCATAATCATGGGATATGCTCAGATTTTATTACATGTAATCAATGAATTTGTTGGAAAAAAAAGTTAAATAACTAAAAATCCTTTAGATAACACTAAATCCCAAAGAATTGAATAACAATGATCATTGAAGGCTGAAGCATATCCAATGGTTTTAATTAATTTTTAAAAATTCATTGGAGTCAAAGAAAAGAACAATGTAAAAGTGCTTCTAATCTTATCATATCAGTAAATGTGAAAAAAAGAGAGAGTGTATTCATGTATCAATTAAATAAGTCAACTCTAATTTAGAGGAGAGATCCCTTTAGAGAATGCCATAATTATGCTCTCCCTCTTTGTTTGACACTGTCTCTCTTCTCCCCCTATAAACCTTTTTTTTCAAGTTTTAAAGTGTTACATTAGTCTCATCTATATTTGGATTATTTCTTTCTCCAAAATGTAATATTATTTACCTAAATTAATATTGGTGGATGATAATAACATCAAATCTAAAAAAAAATGGAATAGAGAAAAACAGCAAGACTTTTAATTTTTCTTCTAGCCTTTTTCTCCATTGCTCTGTCTCTTCGTTTTCCTTTGTTCTGTCTCTTCGAATTCCTCTTATCTTTTTAACCAAAATTTCATTTTCGTGTTCGTGTTTGAAAAATCTCTGTCATCAAATGGGGTTTAAACTATATCGATGCTCTTGTTCTTCTTCCCCAGAAGGGGTCAAGAAATAAGAAAAAACAGAGCATTAAAATATCATAAAATTATAAAGAGAAAGATCCGATTAAATAGGATTTGTGTTTTTTTCGATTTGGGGTGTTGATGGAAATGGCGTCCTCTGAGGTAGATATGTCTTCATGCCAAACTTTTAATTGCGTCTTGAGTCGTCCTCACGAGAGATGCACCCAAAGAGACAACACCAACAAGAAGAAGAACAACAACAATGTCCGAAACGTACACGTCGCTGCCTTCGAGAAGAATCTCAATGTTTTTGTCAGAGATCATCTCGAAAACTGTAGCGTCGATGTTGATGTTGATGATTGCACCAAAACGGTTCCGGAATGTTCTTCTTCCAACAAATCCTCTGTTTCAGATCAACGGTTCTCGAAAACAGAGGAATCTGTCCCATCATCGTCTTCTTCTCTAGGATCCGACCAAGATCCGAATTCGGGTCAACCTGAGAACCCGTCAAGGGCGGCTTCTTCTTTGGTTCAGATATGGGAGGCGAGGACAACGCAGCAACCACCAAGCTCGAACCAATCCCTAATCGATAGTCGAACGAGTTCTATGGGATCAAACGCTTTAGAGAATTCGGAGTCTCTCGAATCCGTGAAAGAATCTGAAATGATTCAACCGATCGAAGAAGGTAACAATGAAGAGGAAGAAGAAGGGATTGAATGTGTATCACAATGTGTCCCTCCACCTCCAGATTCTGGAGAGAAAGATAGAGAAGGGGTGAGAGTTATAGATATTATTCGGAAACTAAGCAACGACTCGGAAACGATGACTAACAATGATAATGGAAGCAGCAGCAATGACAATAGTAAAGAAGTTCAGACAACAGAAGCAAGAAGTTTTCCTCAGGTTGCTTGTTCCCCAAGAATAAGAGGTCGTCAAGCGTTGGCTGATTTATTGGTGCAGATGACGCGAGATCGAGAAAAGGAGTTGGTTTGTTTACGAGAACGTCATTGTGTTTCGAAGTTTACGAATCGTGGAAGGATTCAGGTATGTACAATTGGTGATTGCTTATCAAGACTGATGTCAGAAATGTAGGGTTTAGTTAGGGCTAATGATATTTTATTGCTTTGTGTTTGTTGTTGTATTTAGTCGACGCTTAGAATTCGATGTTACGAAAGGTGCATTGCGATTCAAGGTAGACATCGGTCTAAATCAACATCAGCAGGATCTGATTCAAACCGGTCGTCACGAGGGTCTGGTGTGATGCATCTTCTCAGGTAATGTTTGTTGATCTTTTCAGGTTTGGTATATGATGAGTTTTGAATCGATGAAATGAAATGCAGGGAGAAATATAAGGGGAATTCTGAGAACATTGAGACTGGAGCTTCATCTAGTAATGTGTCTACTCGGGGTCGAATTATGGATAAAGATCCTCAGAAAGCTACAGAGAAGAAGGTTTTGCAGGAAACAATAGAGAAGAGTGGATTAAAGGAGGTGGTTTCTGCGGTTGAAAATGCGAAGAAAGCTGTCTTGAGTGAGATTTCAGAGAATAAGAGTAGTTTAAAGAAACCTGCAGGAGAAACAATTCAGAAGGAAACTGGAGAAGGGAGAGGCGAAAAGCGAGAGACGAAGGAGAAAGTTGTTTCCAAAGAAAGTCTTGAAGGGAAAGGCGAGAAGCAAGAATTAACAAAGGAGAAAGCTATTGCTAAGGAAAGTGTAGAAGGGAAGGCTTTGGTTGGAATAGCTCAGAAGGTGAATCTATGGAACTCAGAGGAGATAATGAATAGAAGAAAAGTGGTGGAGAAAGGTAAAACTGTAGGCAAAGTTAATACTGAGAGAGCTGAGAAAAATGATGTATTATTAGAAGCTACAAGAAGAATCAGTAATGTCGAAAGTGCTGAAAAAAGTATTACTACTACTTCAAAGGAAACGATGTCGCGGGGTGATCAGTTTGCTGAGAAAGTAGTGAAAGGAAAGAAAAAGGAAGATTCTGTTTCTTCGGAATCTAAGTCCAAAGAAATTGAACATGGAAACAATATTAAACCTCAAGGAGTTGCTACACAAGCAGATAGTTGTTTGCGTAAACCGGCTACAGAGGAAAAAGTTTTGCAGGAGCCAACGGCAAAGAATGACTTAAAGAAACCTATTGAGAAGGAAAGTAGAGAAGAGAGGCGAGAAATGGAGGAAAGCGTAGAAGAAAACACTTTGATGGGAATAGCAGAGAAGGTGAATCTCTGGAACTCCAAGGAGAAAAAGAATAGGAGAAGAGCTACGGAGAAAGGAAAAGGTAAAACTGAAGGCAAAGCTTATACTGAGACAAATGAAGTGTTGCAAGAAGCTTCAAGAAGAATCAGTAATGTCGAAACTGCGGAGAGAAGCATTGCTACTTCAAGGGAAACAGTAGATAAAGTTGTTGATAACAAAGTTATGATGGATAAAAGAGAGACTAGTGGAGAAACTACGCGTTGTAAATCTGCAGAGAAAGGAGGACAAAAGAAAGAGGAAGATTTGGCTTCTGTAAAAGCTAAGTCCAAAACGATTATTGAGGATAAAAACATGAATCCAGAAGGTGCAAGTCATGGATTTAGAGAGAGGGATAGAGCGACGAACTCTTCAAAACACGGTGAAGAAACGTTGATTCTGCGAAACTCAGAAGCTAAGTCAACTAAAGAGATTGAGAGAAACAATTCTCAAGAAGTTACACAAGAAGAAAAATCTGTGAGTCATGGCTCTAGAGAGAGGGACAAAGAGAACAGTTCACTACAACACAGTGAAAACATGTTGTTTTTGCGAAACTCAGAAGCTAATACGTCTACTAAAGAGGTTGAGAGAAACAATTCTCAAGAAGTTTCACAAGAAGAAGACTCTGCAAGTCAGGGCTCTAGAGAAAGGGCTAAAGAGAAAAGTTCTTCAAAACAGGATGATGAAACGTCGATTCTGCAAAATCCAAATGACCAAAATGGCATTAAGGAATCGGAGGATGAAGAAACCAAGAAAGTAGAACGCGAAGAAAAGAGAGAAAGCGTGCAAGAAGCAGCAATAGAGTTTGTAAATGATTGGGATGAAAACGAAATGGAAGAAGAAGAAGAAGAGAAGACTATGGAGATATTATGATCATTTTATTGGAGATGATGATTGGATTCATGATATATCGCGGCCTCGAAGTTACTGGGAAGATCTAAGGAAAGAAAGATATCTTGAGGTTCTCAACACTGAATCAGAGAAAAAAGATATTTGCAATCTCATTGAGAGGTATATATATCTATGATCATTCATCAAATCCCTCAAAAACATTAAACTTGAAACATTACTTGACTTTTGATGTTTTGAGACTAATGTTAATTTGCATACCGCTGTGTCAGACGAACAGTTTCCAACTTTTTGACGAGTGACTTGCGACAAAAGATCGATAATTTGATGATTACTCGCGTGCAAAGTCATATAGGCGTACCACTCAATCAAATAGAAGAAGGAGACGAAGATGAAGAAGAGTGGGAAGTTGAGTGTTCAGCAAGGAACCAAGAAGATAATGAAACAGAGGAAGAACCAGAGAAGACAAATCTTGAAGCTGCAAGCGACTGTTTGCAGCCAATCATCAGCAAGGTGTAGTACCATGATGTCGTGGACTTTCAGGGATCAAGACATTGACAAGGATAACGAACCGACAACGTCGTCTTTGTCTCTTCCTGAACCTTCAGTCCCCACAAATCAATCTGTGAGTTTTGTTCTTGTTTTCTCGTCAAGTTAGGTTACGTGTTGGGGAAGTAAGCTAAGATCTTAACTTATTAGACACAGGACATGCAAACGATAAGTGATCTCAGGAGTCAAATGGAGCAACTTCAACGAGAAATGCTCGAGCTACGGAATTCAGTTAAATCTTGCATCGATATGCAACTTCATTTCCAGAAATCTGTAACTCAAGATCTTTCTCGTTCTGGTAAGTTTTATCAAACATCACCACATTTAACACATTTTAAATTATTTCTTCGTTTCAAGAAATCAAACTGATGAACAATCTTTTAGGCTCATCTGCAGAACAACGAGTAGACATGAAGAAAGATCCTTTGAAACGAAAATGTTGCGTTTGCTCTGAGATGCCTGTTGACTCGCTTCTGTATAGGTACGTGCGTTTGACATATCGCGATTTCAAATCGCAAAAGCTGAAATAATAATTGACGGTCTTGGTTTTTTCTAACAGGTGTGGACATATGTGCACATGTCTGAAATGTGCTCATGAATTGCAATGGAGCAGTAAGAAATGTCCGATATGTATGGCTCCAATTGTTGACGTTGTGAGGGCTTTTCTTGATTCTTAGGACCCAAGAAACCAAGAAAATATTGATAGTTTCTCCATTGATTTGGAAATGTGACACATCTGAATATACATAATAAACTTCTTCTTTTTTTGTTTTGTCTTAGTGTGTTTTGCCATATAATTTCAAATGAATGTCGAAGTTTCTCTTAAATAATCCAACAGTCCAATAATAGAATCAATCCGTAATCTACAGAATATTATGAAATAACAACTCAGATTAGAACATTCGAGAATATTTGCCCAGCTAGATTTAGAACATTCGAGAATACACTTCAAGTGATCATATTTTTTTTTTTTTGAATGAATGTAAAATTTATTCAACCAAAAAAACGTTTTTACAATGAATGCAACCTTTAATCGAAGTTGTTTTGAAAGGAATTCAAAGGAATAATAGAATGTTAGTCTCTGGACTCAAACCATACACGAAGGCCGTCCTCATGTTTTCGTGGATCTAGTCGACGAACAGAGGAGAGCTTATTGCGTATCATTCGATCAAGCGACTTGATTAACTGATCTGCAGTACTTGAGAGTTCACCATGCCTTCGTTTGTTTAAATAAGTCCCACAATGTTAAGTATAAAAAATCGTGCGAACAACGTAAGTTATATCATCAACCTTACCCAGAGGAATCTATGAATTTGGATATATATGGATCTATGTTTAGTAAAAATATTTGATGGATTATTTGAAATTATACTAAAATACTACGGATCATAGGAATCTTAAATTGATGGAAGACATGTTAGAAACATAAGATAACTAAGTGATAGTGTCCCAACCAATTTTTTGGGAGTGCAAATTAAAGCATCATCAACACAGATCCGAACTCCAGTTTCACTGCTCAATATAATGCAACTAACATATGACGCATCGCTTGTTTTTATATATATGTCTAATAATTCAGTTCTTCGTAAACCTATATGGCTGTCTGATATCTGCTAGGCCAAGCCTAATAAGAGTCTCGCTAGTCCTTATATAGATAAATAGACGCAGAGGAATTATAAACCCTCAAAAAAAAAAAAACCCTAAATTATAGTCTCATATCCGCAGTTCTCCGACGAAACCATGTCTGACAATCCGACAGTAGTCCCATCTAAACCGCCCAGAAAGCACGAAGGTAAGATCTCCCTCTCTTTAGCCGAAATTGTTTGTCCATGATCTGGATTATCTTTCATCTGATCGATCTTGCATGATAAACTAACGTATCTAATCGTCGTCGATCTTTCATAGTAAATCCCTTGTAATTGTTTATTCGTGAAACCTGGCAGATGCTAACACATGTGTCTTTTGGATCGTCGAGGATTACCAGTGGCGGAGCTAGGAATTTTTGTTAATTATAGGGGTCAAAAAATTTTTTAATACAAAATAATATATATTATATAAAAAAGATATTTTAGATTTATCTAAAAATAATTGACATATAAAAAAATAATTTATCAAAAAATCAACCAAAATTGATATTTAAGATTTTTTTAGTTGCGCTCCTCAACGATTAACAAATAGAGAAGAAAAATTAGATTTTGCGGGTGTTTTTATAATTAAATATAATATTAGATCATTAGCTGGATTTGTTTTTAATTAAGTCAAGGATTTTCTAATATATCACGATCTAAGATTGAAAAAAAAATAAGGAAGAAGAAGCTAAAACACTACAAACAAATGTTAAAATATAAGATTAGTTTATATTAATGGGCTTAATTATAGTATATTTACTTAAATAAATTTTATTGGGCTTAATATTATTTATAAGTACAATATAATTATTGGGCTTAGATATTTTAATCTTGTAACATAAAATTTTACAGGGGTCAAAACTCTTATGAGATTGGGGTCAATTTAATATATGTAGTAAAGTTTCAGCTAATTTTTATAATTCCACCAGGGTCAATTGACCCTTATGACTGTGCACTGCCTCCGCCTCCCTAATGGTCTCGATATTTGTTCGTTGAAAGAGCAAATCAAATCAGCTCTTCTCGAGAATTTGGGTATTCTTGGGGACGTGTCAATCCAGGCTTACGGTGATAAGAATACGTTCTCGGATGATGAATTGCTACGTAAATTCTCCGACGCCGAAATCAAAACCGATCTCTTACCCGAAGGTGAGTGAGTCTCCTTTTGTCTCTTTTTCGTTTTTATGTTTTATTTTCCTTCTTTTTAATGCATATATACATGTATGTCTATAATCTCGATTTCTGTTGATATATTTTTCAGGTGATAAATATGCCAAGTTTTGTTCGATGTTAGTGGGCATTCACGTATGGGCAATGTTAAATCCTTCACCATCAAATATTTTTGTACTCGCAAAAAACATCAAAAATTTAGGGTTGAGTCATGACTTTACATATTTGCATAGGAGATTTCATTTTGTTGCAGTGTCCGATATCGAACAAGATTTGCTACCTCACAATGATATAGCAGTCTCGTTTTTGACAAGCCTATTTGATGGAGGTGGGGGCTCACTACTTAACAAGCGGAAAGCAAATGATTTTGAGGCTGCTAATTGATGTTTTGAGACTAATCAAAAACTTACACGTTCTGGTCCGGCCATTATGCTTATTCAGCCCACTGTTGGCCCTATCAGTATGAAAACGTTATGTGATTGATAAAACTAAAACATATAGGCACACTTTTATTCACTTTATTGTTCTCCGATTCTTCTATGAAACAAATACTTTGTAGTATATTCAATTTGTTGAGAAAAAAGTTAAGAGTAAACTAAAGAGGGTAACAACGAATCTTGGTCTTCTTGGAGATATGGATAAAAATGTAGCATTTGGAGGCTATGATTTAAGAAAATGCTTTTCGATTGTTTTGAGCTTTGGAAGAGTGAAAATTAAGAAATGAAAGAAGCCACACTAAAAGACATGTAGGTCAAAACGATCAGATTTTGGAAGCTTAGAACGAAACTGCGTAATTGAAAAGTATACAAATACATAATAAACAGTCACTCTGAAAAACTTGAATTATATGCAATCAAAATTAGAAATTGACAGTGTAAACCAAACCAAAACTACAAATAGTGGTTACGAAAATGACAAAAAAAAAGACACAATCATTTGAGAGATTAGCTGTGTACCATTAGCTTTTTATCATGTGTTTGATTTTTAGTGGCTGCTAATAATTATTGTTGTTGTTAGATACATGACTTGCCGTTGAGCATACATGTCAAATTTGCGAAAAATACGAAATAAACTATAACGGTTTTTCCGCATTATTAATATATCATGAACAATTTAGATCTTGATTCCATGATTATATACGAAACATTGTAATCAATAGTTGGTAATCATTTTTTTTTTTTCGTGGTAATCATTTTTCTTAAAGATATAAAATTGCTCTGTCTGTATTTTTCTGACTAATAAATAGATTTTGTTTTACTAAAATACACTCTTCTTTTGACCTGATTAGACCTGACCTTCCCTTCACTATACGGTTTCCTCTGTTACGTCTGCAAGTCAAAATAATACTACAGAAATAGGGAAGGTGTTATTATTATTCAGCCAAAATGAAGAAATATAATTATTTTACATGACTAGAATTATTTTTTCTTTTCATCAAAAAAGAGACTAAAATCAAAAATTAAAAACAGAAACTAAAATTAAGATCTTTCATAGAATCTTTTTTTAATCAAACACGAAAGTAGAATTAAAAATAGTACAAAACAAAACAAAAATTGAAATAAACTAAACACTCGTAGCTAAAATCGCTCCTTGCATAGGAATGTTTGTTAACTCTAATTATGAATGGATACATTCTTTTTTTTGTTGTGGTCAAATTCAAATAGCATATTAATTCTGGAAATATCATTGAACATACATATTACAGTAATTAAAAAAAAACATTAATAGTTGTCAAAAAATAACAAAACAAATAAAGAAACAGGTGTGTTCACACTCAAAAAATACAGACTAAAGAATTAAAAAAACGACTCTTCTCGCCGACTCGTTGAAAAAGTGAGAGACACACATCTTCGGAGAGAATCTATTCTTCTTCTTCTTCTTCTTCCTCCATTTTTTCATCTTCTTCTCTGTTTCAAGAGATCCACTAGTGACTGAAGAGGCAACACCATGGCCATGGTCAAAGAGAAAGAACAAAACACTAAAGACAAAAAGCTCCTCGTCGGCGTAATATGGAACTTCTCCGCCGAGCTCAAGCTCACTTTCATGGCGTTACTAGTTCTATGCACTTTAGCCACTCTCTTACCTTTCATACCTTCTTCATTCTCTCTCTCCACTTCCGATTTCCGTTTCTGCATCTCACGCTTCTCCTCCGCCATCCCCGTCAACACCACCACCACCACCACCACCGTAGAAGAATCATCATCATCCTCACCGGATCGAGTTTTGGATAACGGAGTTATTAAACGGACGTTTACTGGTTACGGCTCTGCTGCTTATAACTTCGTTTCAATGAGTGCTTACAGAGGCGGCGTTAACTCTTTCGCCGTTATCGGATTATCATCAAAACCCTTACACGTGTACGGTCATCCTTCCTACAGATGCGAATGGGTCTCATTTGACCCGACTCAAGATCCGATTTCAACAACCGGGTCTAAAATCCTAACCGATTGGGGTTACGGACGGATCTACACAACAGTCGTCGTTAACTGTACTTTCTCATCAATCTCCGCCGTGAATCCACAAAACTCCGGTGGAACTCTCATCCTCCACGCTACCACCGGAGATCCAAATCTCAATCTCACCGATTCAATCCCAGTCCTAACGGAATCTCCCAAATCCGTCGATTTCAATCTCTATAACTCCACGAAGAAGAAGTACGATTACCTCTATTGTGGCTCGTCTCTCTACGGAAACTTATCTCCACAGAGAATCAGAGAATGGATCGCTTACCATGTTCGATTCTTCGGAGAACGGTCACATTTCGTGCTACACGACGCCGGAGGGATTCATGAGGAAGTATTTGAGGTTTTAAAGCCATGGATTGAGCTAGGGAGAGTGACGATACATGATATTAGAGATCAAGAACGATTCGATGGATATTATCATAATCAGTTCATGATTGTGAATGATTGTTTGCATAGGTATAGATTCATGACGAAGTGGATGTTCTTCTTTGATGTTGATGAGTTTTTACATGTTCCGGTGAAAGAGACGGTTTCGTCGGTGATGGAATCTTTGGAGGAATATTCTCAGTTTACTATTGAACAGATGCCTATGAGTAGTCGGATTTGTTATTCCGGTGATGGTCCGGCCAGAACTTACAGGTAACAAACGTTCATAAATTTTTCATGTTTTGGACTTTGTTGGTATTAATGATTGAACTTTAACCAAAACCCATGTGTTGTTGTTGAGTGACTTAGAATATAGTCACAAGTTTTTTTGATTGGCTTTTTGGAATGTGACATATAATATACATTAAGCATCTGATTCTGTCAACCTTTGGCCTGTAAAAGTCTTTGTGCATTCTGTATTAGTCTCCTATATCGGTCCAGATCTTTGCTTTTATTTCACATCACATGATTTTAGTGAGAAATGTTTTAAAGATTTTATCTTTTGATTCCTCAAAAGAATGTGATAGGATTTGCATCAAATTCAATCAGGGTTTTGGTTTAGGGACTGGCACTGGTTTGATCTGTAAATGGTATTTGCTCTTGTGTTTCAGGAAATGGGGAATTGAGAAACTTGCATATAGAGATGTCAAGAAGGTTCCAAGACGGGACCGAAAATACGCGGTCCAGCCGGAGAATGTATTTGCGACAGGCGTACACATGTCTCAGAATCTACAAGGGAAAACTTACCATAAGGCCGAGAGCAAAATCCGTTACTTCCATTACCATGGTTCGATCTCTCAACGTCGTGAACCTTGTCGTCACCTTTTTAACGATTCTCGAGTGGTATTCGAGAACAGTCCTTATGTGCTCGATACTACAATCCGCGATGTTGGCCTTGCTGTGAGGACGTTCGAGTTGAGAACGATCGGTGATCGGCTGCTTCGGACAAGGCAATGAAGAGATGAAAAAATGAATAGTGAATGTAATCATCTTTAGAAAGAATTAGAAGTTGTCGAGATGAGAGATGGGGCAGATGTTTAATTACTTTTTATTGTTTTCTTTTGGGGGTATATTCTTTTATTGTATCATATAATTTGGGTAATAGGTTCTTTAATACAGCTTAAAAGACTCTTTGGTACATATTATGTATGGATCAGAAAAAAGTCTCTTTGAGTATATAAACTAGTGAGAATAATATCACTGTCGATATAATTAACGAACGAATAAAGTTCTTAGTTTTTTTTAACGGAATTTTGTTAGCCCTACTTGACCAAAACAAAGAAGATGTCATTTTATCAGTTGGTGTTGTTACTCCAGTAATCTACATGGAATCATGGATTATGGAACGTTGATAATTTATTATGTTTGTGGACGATTTCTATAACATAGTATAGTTTATTTGCTGTATTAATTATTATCGACAAAGAAGATAGCTTCTGCTTTTTTGGAGCCAAGGAACGTGCGTTTAGGCTTTTCTTGACGATCACCGAATGGCCCTAAACGTGTGGGTCCCACTTAAGAATGAACATATGGGACCCACGTTTCGTGGTTGTTAAATCTCGCAAGTCGCAGACCAGAGGCTAGAAAGCTGTCGTTTGTTGCACTAGATTACTAGTAGTGTTTTAAAATCATAACATTACATTATTAATAATATGCGGTGTTAAATCACCCGAGATTTACGTTTGGACCTACCTACACACTTAATTTTCCCAACGGTTCATTTACAAAATGATAACATCGTAATCACTAATCACTTTCGTTAGATATTTTCCATAATGACGTAAAAAAGCTTAAATTGATTACTACACACAAATATCTACAACATTAGTGTTTAGATTGGAACCATGGAAATACAATAAACATTTTCCATAATACATGCGGTTTTCTTTTTCTTGTTTTGAAAACAAACAACAAAGCACAAAGAATATAAACCAAATACATAAGACACAAATATCACACCGTGTTTTAGGATAATCTAGGGTTAGTGAAGCTCACCGACGGTACGGAACCAAACCAAATCGTCACGTAAGATAAATATATCACATTCAATAAACCCTACGTCCCTACCATTTCCTGATTTTCACATCATCAATAGTTACAAAACCTTTTTAATTTGTTTGTGTTTTTCCCTAAATTGTAGTGATTGTTGATTGTAACGGGTTATCAATTAATGTATACGTGTGTATCTATATGTAATTTATCACGTCAAGACATTGGTCAAATTTAATGTTGTATTAATAGTAAGTGGCCGAGGCTGCATGATCTCTGTAGCTGCAATATTCTCTGAAACACACAGAGTTTTATGTACTCTTATAAAAAGGGTTCCTCTAAGATTTAACCTCCATAAACTAATTTAGTAAATCCAAATCAGCAATTTTGTTTTTGGTTATTTTAATATAAGGTTTGAAAATATTTTTGGACGGTTGTTACTTGTTAGAGCAATGCTGTCGATTTGAGTACTGCGGTCACTGCAAATCAATTGTGGTTAATGTCGTCAATACGGTTGAAGTGATGCAATCCAAATGTTGCAAATCTTTTATTCAGAACCTGTAAAATATGAATAAATAAAAATCATAATAATAATGTTAAAGATTTTTTTTTCTTACAATTCCCGCAATTTCATGAGATTTTTTAATCCTAGTTAAAATCATAAAAATTATCTAATTCCAAGTAGCGTTCACGAACAAAAAAAACTAATTTCAAGTAATGTTTGTTTCAATCGATCGTATTTTTCAATTCTTTCAGCAGAATGGCATAACCACTCGTGTATCTTTGGGTATTGCTGTTAATTGCTTGAAGCATCTTAAAACAATATGAAAAATATGTAGATAGTAATAGTATTGGAAGTTACCAAACATATTATTTAATTTCATATATCCATCCCACGGATAGAGTAAAATAATAAATTCTTTTTACAATGGAAAAGTTTTAATTCTCTGGAATGACAATTGCTACAAAAAATATATTCAGCAAGAGAATGTTTAACTTCATTCGGTTAATTCAATAAAAGAAATAAAGAATAGTGAAAACTGTCCATTTTTTTATTATTCACACGGCTTGAGCTTCCAAGAAACTACTGAAATCCTCGGTGGCTTGTAACAACCGTGGCGTGATTGAATGTGTCGGAGACGTTGGATAAGAAACCGGCGACGAAGTTGAGAACCGAACGTGACGTGGCGACTCCATAGATCTTCTTGATTTCGAACCAGAAGTCTTCAAAACACCTTTGATTTCTTTCTCCAAATTAGGTTCCTTGTCAAACACGAAAGCAGCTGAAACAGGATCGTCTTGATCGTTCCCTCCCGGACCGCCTTTGATCAATTCGGAAGGCAAGTCGAAAAAATGGCCACCAAGATCCGCATTGTCATCGTATATCATAGCCGAAGAGGTCCATGAACCGCACTCGAACCGCTCTAAAGAGGCTCGAGCTGAGAGCACCGTAGTGTCTCTAATGGAAGCGGTTCTTGCCATCGATTGAGAGGAAGTCATGGTAGTGGTTCTAGTGAACGAGGAATCGCCTTTTCGAGATGATCTTACGGGTTTTCCTTTGCTGAAACCGGGTAAGTAGAGACATAAAGCGCTGCATTTGAATCCGTCTTCGAATGAATTGATGCTTTTCGAATTGGCGGTATTGGTATTGGTATTGCTTCTGTTGCTTTTGTTGGACTCTGTTTTTGAGAAGAAAGAGTTGTTTCCACTACTCTTGTGAGATAGACTCTTGGAGTTAGAGGAAGAATAGCCATGATGATGATGATTATTATTAGGATTATGATGTCCATTTCTTGATTTATGCAATAGCATGTCGAAATCGAGCGATGGTGTGCAAGCACGTCCTTCGCCGCAAGATTTGCTTCTTCGGAACGCAGTGGCTGCATCTTGAACGAGCATTAGGTCAAGAACTTGCTCAGTGGTTCTGTCCTTCCAGTTGTGAATCGAGCTATGTCTAGGTGACGTGGCTGCTGAGTTTGGGAGGCTGCAACTCACAAACTTCGTCTTCATTTGATGATCCAACGGCTGAGACAACGGTATGTCATCAATGTCTCTCGGACGCGAGACTATCATATCGAAGCTCCCGTTCCTCGACAATAGCGATTGCGGATCAACCTGAGATCCGCCTCTCGGATAGGGATTGCATACTCGTCTTCTTGATCAGAATCTTGGGCTCGTCTCCGCGGCTTAGAACCTCAAAGTCATGCCAGTCCTCGAGACTACTATCGTCCCTGAAGCTGAGAACATCTGTCGCCATTTGTTTCTCTTTGGCCAGAAAATGAATGAGGACTAATAAGAAAATGACAATATTGGCAAAAAGGCTAAAACAGATTGATAGATACTTAAATACGGAGCAGGATGGGTTGCACGTCGGTGACTACTGTAGTCATGACTTGCACGTTTAATATAATATAACCCAAGTGTTGTTGACTTCATCTCCTAAAAAATGGAAAATGTATCATTCCTTTTTATTAGTTTATGTCCCAATATCGTTGACATGAGACCATTCCCAAGATCAAGACAAGATCAAAAAGATAGATCTGCCTGCACGACCTACCTAATCATAATATTACCAAAGTGTTTGGAGGGTAGTAATCTGCATCAGTGAAGACCATAAGTACATAGAAGCCATAAATCTTGAATACATCTTCACAATTCTATTCAAGAAAAAAGGAATATATCTTCACGGATGTGTGTGGACTTCTCATAGTACCTCTATTGACAACTACAAGTACTTGGTTACTTTACACGCTATACTTAATACTTGGTTACTTCTCATTCTTATTGATCACTTTACACGATATACTTGGGTATATCCCTTATTGATACGTCTTGTGTTTTTTTTTCTCATATTTTTACCTTTATTTCTGTTTAATTGCCTTTCCTTTGGATCTTTGAATTTTTGTGTGTCTTTTGCTATAAATATATCTCCACTTTCAAGGATGCACCTAAGTCCGTTAGTCATTGATGTCTTTTGGCCTCATATTTATTCTAGTTGCTCTAGTATATCCCTCAAAATGGACGGTGAGAAACAATACCAATTTTGATCGTAAGGGATTTGAACCGGTTATGTTTGAATAACATAGTAGGATTTGAACCTCAAATACACTTAGGAAATTAGAAAACAAATGTAATAGATGGCACACATAAATTTATACTGGTTCACTCTTAATGCAAGAATTGTATCTAATTTCCCATGCTGCAGATTTTTCAAACTATGTAATTATGAAAAAAATATATATATATATAATTAACAAAGGCCACATTTATAAATCGAACACGCTAAAATATTTTTGAATGTTTTCAAACACGGATTTGATCGACGAACATAGAAGTCATATACTCCTTGATTTTTCCTTGGGGATTGGTGAATCCTTCATTTACATTGTAGGCGACGGTCATCATGCGTGCAAGATCAATGGTTGCCTTAAGATGAAAATGTGACACGTCAGTTGTTGTCAAGAACTCCTCATTTAGTGTCTTATTGGCATCTGCAACCATTTTATGAAGCTCTCTACAAGCTTCCTCTTTGGTAACCCCATATTGCTTCATATAACAGTTGATCGCATTCGTGACATATCCTCTACTCATGTCATCCTAATCAATATATGTGTAAGTTGGTAAGATAGATAGAACAAGAAAGTAGACATACGGAGATGCGAAGAAATGATTTATGTATTTGTACCTCATAACCCATCAAATCATTCATAAGACGACCTCTCATAGATAAAGATTGGACGAGTTTTGGTCTGGCTTTTAGCCACTCAAAAGATTCCTTTGTAGCCATCTTTCCGATAGACATGAAAATACCTGCCAAGGTCGCACACACTGTGACCTCCACCTCACCAACCTCCATGTACTCCTCAAAGCTAGGCATGTGACCCACTTGTGCTCATTTTTCGAGATCAATGTTCGCTTTCGCAGCTGCCTTGAACTACAAAAATGTTATTTTTCAAAAAAAATTCTGTAAGAATGAAATACCCACAACTTCTTTCTTAAACATTAATTATGCGAGTTCAAAAAAATTCCAACGACATGAGACAGTATATTGCCTTGATTAATGTATAAATTTATATACATAGTGTAACTCTGTTTAACATAATCATACTTACAAAGAAGAATTTGATTGGTTACCTCTTCTATAGTGGCATTCACACTGTAAGATCTTCCTTCTGGCCCTAGTTCTCTTTCAAACTCTTTAAAAGTATCCAAAATAAAGTTCAACACGAATCTCAAATAATCAGGTTGTTTATCCATTGCTTGATCGGGAGCCCACCTGTACATCATCATCATGATCATTGTTTGTTTGGAGTTTTGATTATAAGGTTGTATACTTTTTGTGTGTGTTTAACGTCATATAGTATACCTTTCCAAGCTGTTGGCGAGGCATTCAGCTTCAGGAAGAGACACATATCTATCGAATGTGTCATCTAGAAGTGCTAAACCGGTGAAGTACTGAATCATCATAATCCTTTCACGTGAGAGTTGTGGTGCGAAGAACACCGCTTGCACAAGGAAATGATGTTCGACAATTCTGTCTCTGAAGTAAGGTGGCAAATTAGTTGCAAAGTCTAGCTCCTTGTACCATCTTGCATCCAAAGATATAGATATGTATAGTAGTCAGAACAACTTCTTTATTAAAAATTGTAAGTTAGCCATATAAATTAAGGAGATTACATACTTTGTAAGGATTTGAGTTCTTGAAGGTATTGGAGTTGTCCCAACTTGAAACTGAGCTTAGCAAACTTGAGTAGCATCTCGTCATGGTCTTTTTCTTGTTCATAAAATGGTATGAACTGCACTGGGACTAACATCTCCATGTTCCAATGCTGAGATAAACACAGAGCATTTTGTATACCCACTGAGAGGTGAGGCGGGCATGAACCACATGCAGCTAATGACTCCAAGTGGTTTGATGTGAAGCTTAATGCTTCGTCTAGTATATAATCTTTCGTCGTCCTCAAATGTGCAGCTTCATACAAGCTCAACAGACCCTTTGCATCTCCAAAAAGAGATTCTTTGAAGTTTCCATTGCTCCCTTTGAATCTTTGGAATACATCTATTGATCACCAAAATATAGATAATTAAAACTCATTATACATAATAGTTAGAGATAATAAGCACTTGTTGGAAATGGAACGTCGATAATGATCAAAAGCCTAGGTAGAGACTAGAGACTCCTTTACCGGAAGATATGTGGTGACCGTATCTTCTGAAAACCCAAAAGATGACGGAAACTGTGTACAAATCGTCTTCACCGTCCATCATCTTCTCTATGTTTTCAAAACCATCTTTTAGAGTTTCATAGATCTCTTCCTCGAAGTGATATGCAAGGCCAAGGCTCACCAACAAATATATCATAAGTATTCTTTTCTTTGTCGAGTCAATGCCTTGAGAAGACATGAGTGTGTTCTTTACTTTCGGCTTTAGTGCATCGATCTCTTTCCTAAGCGCATCCATTTCCTAAAAGTAAAATATGTACACATATATTAACCCTCTCTGCATCTATATATACACCAACTTTACATATATATTATAGATATGGACTCACCGAGACATCCATGGGAATCGAATGGAAATAATGAGTCCATTCAGAAGTTGGCAATTTCTTGAACTTGCGAATACGTTCTTTTTTTTTTTTTTTTTTTTTTTTTTTATTTAATTTTTTTTTTGCGAATACGTTCTTGATCATCAAACGTCAGAGTATTAGTGGCTTTCAAACGAATATGCTTTAATGGCTTACCGGGAAATGACTTCACGGGAAAGCCATAGAGTTTGCTTAACGGACATAAATTGGTCGAAGAACGAAGAAAAATCTGAGATCCATGTTTTTGCCAAAAAACTGATGTGGCTTCCATGTTCACTACAAAAGGTTATGGAATCCGTTTTCATAATTTATAGACCATAATTTTTTATCTTAAAAAAACACAAATATTTAGTATGCGTACTTTAACTAAAACAAGTTATCACATATAGCATACTTCTGTTTTAACTAAGCAAAATATCAAATAATATAATTGTTTTTGTGCAAAGTAAGAAGTATATATTTTAATGAAAGATTTTGTTACTAACTAGTCATTATATTCCATGACAATCTTTGACTCAAAGATACCTTACTGAAAACAAAATTTCCTAAACATTTTGTCATTTTTAAGTAAGTAATATATATGTATATGTATATTAGTCAAATATTTTGAAATTAACCAATTTTAAATTAGTAAGTTTTCACCATAAAAATTTGTAGACCACGCACATGCAAAATCCTGTGTATTCCAATCTTTATTTTAACAAACACAAGATTTTAATATTTAATAAAAACAAGATATCATATAGTATAGTTCTGTTTTAACTAAGAAAAATTTCATATATTATACTTCAAAAGTAATATACTTTACCGAAAATAATTTTTTCATAAATGGTCATTACATTCCATGAAAATATTCTTATTCAAAGATACTTTACTAAAAAAGAATTTTCCTAAATATATTGACATTTTTAATTAATAGACTATTAGTCATTTAATATGAAATTTACCAAAAAATTTAGAGTAATATTAATGATCTATTTATTAAATTAAAATCATACATGTATATCATAGAAATAATAGTAAATATTGTAATCACAATAAAGTTTTTTTGGGATAAAATTTGATAACCACAATAATGTTGTAGATTTTCTAAAAACCTCTGATGTTTAAATTTGCTGTATTTACTTAATTAAAGTTTACATAATTAAATTTGCTGTTTTTACTTTGATAAATTTATTAAAAAATACCTATATACAGTAAAATCTCTATAAATTAACAATGTCGGGACCGTAAAATTCTATTAATTTATAAATATATTAATATATTAAAATTTAATTTATACAGAGATTTGGCTAATTTTATAATTTCTTTAAAAAAATTGTCTGAAAAATTTCTCCGATCTCTCTTCACCGGTTAGATTTTCATGTTATGAGTTAAAATGTTAAATGATCGTTTAAATGACCACAAAAAGATATGTAAGTTAAATGACCTCAAAAATAATTAAAAGAGTCCAATACAAAAGCATTTTATCTAAAACAACATAAATATGCCAACCTAAATATCTGACAACAAACCAAGTGTCACAATCGTAAGAATGTAACAAATCAAAGGCTTTAAAGATGAATCTGATCAATATTATAAAGAGAAATAATATAGTCCTTAATTTTGTCTTCAGGGTGGGTTAATCCTTCACCGTATCCGTAGGCAACGTTGGTCATGCGTGCACAATTGATGGCTTCCTTGAGAATTCGTCTTGGCACATTTTTTGTCATCAACAACTCTTCGTTCACTATTTTGTCATTGTCGACACGCATTTTGTGAAGTGCCCTAAAAGCTTCGTTTTTGGTAACTCCATATTGCTTCATATAACAGTTGATCCCAGTAGTTACATAGCCTCTACTCATGTCGTCCTAATCAAATAACGCATAAGTTTGCAATTAAAGAAACTATGACTACATATACAAAGGAAACACGATATTTCAATCTATGAGCTATTTCCATAGCGGAATTAATTCATGGCAGTTGTACATATGAGGGATTAGTCTAAATTATATATGGACTAAAGGACTCAACACAACCTCATGATTACGAAAACAGAAAACGACTAGTTTCTTCGTACCTCGAAACCCGCCATGTCATTCATCAGACGCCCGTTTATAGATAATGATTGGATGATTTTTGGTCTGGATTTGAGCCACTCATAAGCTTTCTCCGTAGCAATATGTCCCATACCCATCAAAGTTCCTGCCATAGTGGCATACATTGTGATCTCGACCTCACCAACCTCCATGTAATCATCAAAGCTAGGCACGTGAGAGGCTTGCGCCCATTTGGCAAGGTCAAGGTTGGCTTTCACGAGTCTTTTGAACTGCATGATCAAAAATATATGTAAACATGCTGCAACCATTTATACTAGGAATCTTCATGCATCGTTTATGAGTTTTGGCATGAGAGTGAATAGCAAAAAAAAAAAATAGTAAAAAAAAAAAAGATTGATGAATTTTATAAGAAATTTAATATTTAGATGGAAATTTTAAATGGATATTTTAGGAGGGTCAATGCCGACTAGGTAGGATTTTCACAAATGAAAGCCCGATCTCGCTCTTTGTTGTTTGCAAAGTTAGTCCCACACTTCCACTTTAATTAGATTCACAAAATCTAATAAACTGTTTATTAATGTATAACAACTACCAACCATGATTATTTTTCTATAATATTAACTATAAGTTATACCCGTACGTGTTAAAAATGATTTATTATACATGTCTACTAATGTCTACATGTCTACGTGTTAAAAATGATTGGTTACCTCATCAAGTGTGCCTTTTAGGCTGTAAGATCTCCCTTCTGACCCCAATTCTCTTTCGAAATCTTTGAATACATCCAATATAAACTTGAAGACGAATTTCAAAAAAGCTGGTTGTCTATCCATGTCTTTATCAGGAGCCCACCTTGTCCATAATCATTCTCATCATCATCATCATCATCATCATCATCATAACAACAATATGATTGTTTTATGTGGAAGTTTTAACATGTAGTACTGTACCTTTCTAGGCTATTGGCGAGGCTTTCAGCTTCAGAAATGGAGGCATATCTATCGAAGGTGTCATCAAGAATGGTTTCAGCTGTAGTAGAACTTAGTCAGCATAATCCTTGCACGTGAGAACTGTGGCTCAAAGTACATCGATATTACAAAGAAATGTAACTCCACGATTCTATCTCTGAAGTAAGGTGGCAACTTTGATGCAAAATCGAGCTCCTTGTACCATCTAGCATCCAAACATATATACATATGGTGGAAATAAGTGAGTAAAAAATTTTCAAGCCATATAGAAATACTAGTAATCGCGGTGATTACATACTTTGTAATCATTTTGAGCTCCTTAAGGTACAGAAGTTGTAGTAACTTGAAATTGAGCTTGGAAAACTTGAGTATTGTCTCGTCATGGTCTTCTTCATGTTCGTAGAATGTGATATATTCCAGTGCGACTATTATCTCCATGTTCCAATGTTGAGATAGACCAAGAGCATTATGTATAAGCCTTGAGAGATGAGGGCTTGCTCGTCCTGCCAACGACTCCAAATGTCTTGTTGTAAAACTCAACGATTCATCCATTATACAATCTTTCGTCGTCCTCAAATGAGCGGCTTCGTATAAGCTCAACATTCCCTTAGCATCCTTGGTTAAAGAGTCCATGAACTTTCCGTCCTCCCCTTTGAATCTCTTGAACACATCTATGTACGTACGTATCTCAAAGATAGTAAGATCTTGTAATACCTTTCTATCGAAGAAGAAATGAATTAAGCTAATTAATATGTATCTAATTAATGATAGGCACACAATTACTTACCTGACGATATGTTATGTCCATACGTTCTGAAAACCCAAAAGAAGATGGAGATTGTGTAAAGGTCATGTTCATCCGCGATCATATCATCTATCTTTTCGAAGGCGTGTGTCAAGGTTTCTTCTATCTCATTCTCAAAATGATATCCAAAACCAAGACTGGTCATCATGATAGATCAAAAGAGTTTTCCTCCTAGCCGAGTCATGGCCTTCGGCTTGGGAAGAGGACATGACCATGTCCCTAACTTTGGGCTTGAGTGCTTCAAGTTCACTAGTAAGGACATCTAGTTCCTAAAAGAATTTTACTTAAGTTAATAGAGAAACAAATCTCACTGTTTTCGTCAACAAACATTCTAAAGGATTCGAATCCGTATGATGATAACACAACAATGACAATAATACAAATAACTACTAGTCTACATATCTTTTTTTTTTAGCTACATGTCTTGCTTAAGTCAATAGATTATTTATTTGCCTTAATGTTCTATATTCCATAGTATATATATTTATAATAGTATGTAGACTCACCAATTCATCGATGGGAATATAGAGGAAATGATCAGCCCATTGAGAAGGTTGCAACTTTTTAAACGTGCGATCGGTTTTATAATCCAAAACATGTTGAGATTCCATATTTGGAAGAGAACGAAAAGAGATAAACAGAAAAATAGGTTCGGAAGAGAGCAAAATAAGTTTATAGATGGATGGCATTCAAATCTTGAGTACAAGCAACTTTTGCAATATTTTAAACAAATGGCGCCACAAGTGTAAGAAAATCTTAGAACCAAATGGTTAAGAGAATTTTTTGAGCCTTTATTGAACGAAGTGGTTAGTCTCTCGTTTCACATGCAGTGATTGAGAAGATAATTTGAAAGTCTCTTTTTTTAACATCATTTGGATCGACAAGACCCATCTATAACTCAATTCTTATTATGTGGGATAACGCAATTTATTGGAGTCGAACTCTGATGAAAAAAGTTACAGAGGTGAACCATTAACCATTTAACTAAAAAAATTTCCTCTTTGAATTAACATCTTTTGATGATAATTTTAATAAATCATACTTTTTCTTGCAAATCCTCTATATATTAAAAAAGAGTTTTTGGTGTTTATGTGTCAAACCCACAATTATTCTCATCTTTTTAATTTTTATTTATTTAATTCTATTATCCATCTTACCAAACACTTTTAATTCCATATACTACATATTCTTATTAACTAAACTTACCAAAATTTTATATCTCGAATTTTTAAATTAAAAACTTCTATATAAAAGTTTTTTTAAAATTAAATGCAACGTGTTTTTTTAATTAAAATTTAAAAATATAAACATATAGTATATGCATTTTGACAGCAACAAATTTTTTATATATATTACAAAATTTAAATTAAAACCGCAAATCTATAAATCTAAATTTCAATCTTATTTGTATCAAATATTCTTTTAAGTTTTGTTTATATCAATAGGTAAAAGTGTGCAACCCCACTATGCTTTATCAGCCTGATAATTGTGGACACACCAACGAAATATTTTTGTCAATAGATAATCTATTTTTCTTACTCATCATATAATTTTAGATAATTATAGATTCTCATCGTGTAACATGTGGTGTTCATTAAAATAATAGGATCTAATCAAAATTGACTACAAAATAATTAATAACGTCTGGTATGTGCCTGGAAAGAAGGCTAAGGCACTATAAACCATGAAGAATGTATCTTATTACATGTAGACACTTGATCTCCAATTGGTTAAATAACCTACCGACAACAAAATATTCGCTAAAAGTAGATACGCACTATCCAGGTAATCTATCCGATTTTTTTGCATCTTAGCAGATTAACAGTCTTCAATAAACTTGGCATATTTTTAAGTATACCAATCTGATTATTTTCATATATATTACCATCAAATGAAATCTAACTCAATTTTTTATATTGTATTCAACATATGTGTAAGTTGGTAATATAAAACATTGTTTGTAGTAAACTTGTAAGTATATTAACACAATTCAAGTGAAAGATAAAAAAATATCTACCTATATATATATATTAAGTAACTCAATAAATTACCACATAATTTCGTGCATCGCGCATGTACTTATCTAGTTATTGATAATTTTAGACCGTAAATATATATTGCCAGCAAACTATTAATTAGGGACATAGATATTTATTTCATTTTTTAAAAATTAACAACAATGAAAAAGAAAAATCTTGTTTTAAAAGCATATCACTATTAAAGCTCATCACCAGAAATGATGACAAAACACATTTATTTTTTAGGGGATCAAAAGTACGTTTAATGAATTGTAGCGAGACGTTGTACACTAAATTGTGAATGAAGCGAAAGATGGAAAGGCAATTAAAGGGAACTTGCGGCAAACTTCAATACCGGTTGTTTCAGCTAGATAGTACTCATCATCATCTCCAAGTGGTCTACTCTCGACTCTCCAATTAAACCGGTACACAAAGTTTGCTAATGCCACCTCAATTAACGTTGTTGCAAAATCTATGGCAGGACATAACCTTCTTCCCGATCCGAATGGAATGAAGTTGAAATCTTGTCCTTGAAAATTCAGTGGTAGATTCAAATGCCTCTCTGGCTTAAACTCTTCTGCATCTTGTCCCCATTTTGCGATATCTCGATGAATGGCCCAAGCGTTGATGAATACCTGCACAACCAACACATAAGATGTATTATTTTTATATAGTTTACTTTTCAAATAATATGATAGTTTGGCTTCGTGGTTTACCATTGTGCCAGCCACAATATCATATCCCTTGAGTTTGACATCTTCACTAAGTTGTCTGGGAATTAACAATGGGCCTGGAGGATGTAGTCGAAGGACTTCTTTAATCACAGCTTTTAAGTATTTCATATTCTTGACTTCTTCTTCAGATACATATAACTTATTTCTCGAATATGTTCGGATCTCGTCTTGGAGTTTTTTCATAGATTCCGGATGTCTTATGAGAAGTGTCATTGCCCAATCGATGGCTGTGAAAGTTGTTGTTGTTCCTCCTAGGAAAATATCCTATAAAATATGCACAAAATTCTTGTTTATTATTAACATTGTGATTAATTTAAATAGAGTGAGTTTCTAATTAAAAGGATATTGTTGGTAAGTAAAGGATGACTAGTCTTAATTACCAAAATAATGAGTCTGATGTCGCTTCTATCAAGCTCGAATCCATTTGTCTTCTCTCTTTGAATTCTTAACAACATATCAACAAAATCAAATGTCTCTTTATTCTCACCTTCATCTACATGTTCTTGCACAACTCTTTCAAGAAACTCCACAAACGTTTTGCTTACTTCCTCCATTTTACGGTCCAAACCGCGGACTTTATCTATCCACGCCAAACCTGGGATGTAATCTCCGACTGGAAATGAGCCTAGAAGCTCCATGACTTTTCTCAGTTGATTTTCAAAATCTCTAGTGTTTTCCTCCCGGCTATATTTTCTTCCCATAGCAATTCTACATATCACATCGTTTGACATGTTAAGGAGTAAATCACTTAGATTTACCGGCAAAGAAGAAGAACTTGCTTTGTCAAGCTTCTCCATCACTGAATTTATCTCTTCTTGTCTTACTTTCTCAAAGGACCTAACCATTTGCTTGCCGAGGAGATGGACAGTGCATAAACTCTACATTATTTTAAAAAAAAAACATTAGTTAAGGAAATTTTAAATTTTATTAATCAACAAAAGAATGTATAATTTAGGAAATAAATAAGCTGGTAATCAATTGGAAAGAAACAAAGAGAGCCAAAAACAGAATTTTTAGATAAGATCAGTTGGTGCTTCTTAGGTCATGAACCCAAGAACATACATCAGTTAATTGAAAATGTAAATTAGTGTGAAATGTGAGTATTTTATAATCACTAGTTTCTAGTATCAATTATTTTTATAACTCACTCTCACTTATCTAACTCGTTTGTGGACTAAATACATCAGGACAAGAAAGGGTTCCAGTTTTTTCCCAATGCGAATTTAATCATGGTTGGTAACATAGAAGCCACCAACGCCAATCTTAGGTTCATGATCCTTCAAATAAACTTTTAAAAAAAAGAAGAAACTAAATAATATACAAAAATCATACCTTCATCTGTCTCCAATATTCACCGTAGGAGGAGAAAGCCACATCTCGCCCACCGTTCATGATTATATCGACCGCTTTGGTTTTGGGACGGTTGGCAAACTTAAGATCGTGTGTTTTCATGACGTCATTAGCTACGTCAGCGGATGAGACTACGAGGGTAGGGACACGACCGAAGTGAAGGAGCATGAGCGGACCATAGCGGAGGCTAAGGGAACGAAAGGAGCGGTGAGGGTGGAGGCTGAGCTGGTGGAGGTTTCCAATCACCGGAAGCCGCCACGGAGAGGGTGGTTGGTTAGGTTTGGTGGTGGTGGTTCGTTTGAGGAATGATTTTAGGATGAGAAAAGCTAAGAAAGTGGTGAAGAATAGAGAGATTAATATCATTTCCATCTCTTCTTATACAAAAGTTGATTTCAGTCAAAAAAAAAAAAAAAGCTGATTTCAGTCTCTGGTATCTCCAAGTGACTTGAGTATATCACCTTCCTCACTACTTTGTATTTTAGAGTATTTAAATTGAATCACAAGGCATATAGTTATGTCATAATAATATTATAATGAAAATTACTTCTCTTCTACATATAGCAAAAAAAAACGGTTATACAGTATAAGTCCTTCATGGTGTAATTTTGATAGCTTTTAATATAAGAAAATTATTGATTTATTTATTACTTATAAGTATAACATTAATATTATGTTAAATATATTAGAAGCTTAACTAAAAAAAAATAGACGAGAAAAAATATATTAGAAGCTTAACTCATGGATGTAAACAATAATATTAATAAACATTTTAAATTAATTTGTACGTCCTAACTTCGTTTGGTTGGTAACAAAATAATAATAAAAAATGATTGGATCGATAGAAAGACACCCAATCACATCCTGGAACAACTAACAAGCACACATAGGTTTAGTTTTACTTAAGAAGACACCGGATCTACGTAGACCAACAACATCAGATTTTGTTATAAAGGAACACGAAAACAAAGGTCACATTCAATAGGTGAATTGAAGTGTTTTCTCATCAATGTGGGTGCACAATTGATGGAAAGACAATGAGAGGAAACTTGCGGCAAACATCAATACCAGATGCTTCAGCTAGATCAGGTTTATCATCTCCTGCTGGTCCGACCTCGAGTCTCCAGTTGAACCGTTTCACAAGGTTGGCTAGTGCCAATTTGGACATGGCCAAAGAAAATCCAATTCCGGGGCAGAGTCTTCTCCCCCCTCCAAATGGAACGAATTTGGAATCAGTACCGTTAAAATCCAAATTCGTACCAAAATGCCTCTCCGGTCTATATTCATTGGCATCAAGCCCCCATATCGCAGGGTTTCGTTGGAGTGCCCAAACATTGAGTATAACCTGTGTTCCAAGTCAAGCATTATACATTTTCACATTTAGGTTTACTCTTATAGGAATTAAAAAAAAAAGAAGCTATTTACATGTGTCCCTGCAGAAATGTCATATCCCTTTAGTTGGACATCTTCACTTGGTAGTCTGGACACTAGTGGACCAGAGGGATGCAAGCGTAGCCCCTCCTTAATCACGCAATGTAAATAGTTCATTTTCTCAACTTCTTTCTCCGTTACATTTGAATTATGCGTCGAAAATGAATTAATCTCATCTTGAAGTTTTTTCATACACTCTGGATGTCTCATAAGCTCTGTCATTGTCCATTCTAGTTGGGAGGCAGTTGTTGCTGTTCCCGAGAAAAACATATCCTGAAAAAAACAAAGAAAAACAAAATTGATTTAGCTATCGATTTATACGTATCAATTTGGTTTTAGTCCAAATTAATAGGAGGTTTTCTCGATCAGTGGCCTATGTCATGACCGTGAACCAAAACAAGCCTTGTTTTCAATATAATAAAAACATTTGTTTTAATTCTAGTAATTTAAACACCTTCTATTGAAGACTTGTTCTAATTAAATCAGATTTCTAATGTTGACAAACAAAAATCAGATCTCTTATCTTTTTCTAAAATAAAAAAAGGGAAAAAGATTGTTTATTTTACAAAAACATATATAACTTATTTAAAAACATTTGACATTGTCTTGGAAATATACAAAACGAAAAGGAATGGCTTTTGTTGTTACCTTGAGGATGAGTATTAAGTCACTTCTGTCAAACTGAAACCGTTTGGTTTTATCCTTTTGAATCAATAGCAACATATCCACAAAATCTGATGGTTCTTTGTGATCGGCATCGACATGTTCTTGCACCATGCTATCTAAAAAAACATCTAACTTGTTATTTATGTCCTTCATTTTATCATCTATGCCGCTGATCCAGTCTATCCATGCCAAACTAGGAATAAAATCTCCGAAAAAGAATTTGCCAAAATACTCAGAGGATGTCATCACTAAGTTCTTGATATCAATTCCACCTTCCTCGATGTTATATTTTCTTCCCAAGGTGATTCTGCATATGATATCGTTGGTAAGAGTCATTAGGAGTTTGCTTAGATTGACTGATGAAGAAGATGAAGATGCTTCTTCCAGCTTCTCTGTCATTACTTTGATCTCTTCTTCTCTTAGGTTCTCAAAGGACCTAACCATTTTGTTGTTGAGCAGATGCACCACGCCCAGACTCTGCAAGCATCGCCAGTTGATATAATACAATATATGGAAACAAAAAGTAGACGTGTAACATAAGAAGCACTTTCTTTTTCTAAAAAAAATTCAAAAAAACATAAAACATAAGAATCACTTCTCTCTAATTTTTTTGGAGTCAAATTCTCTGCAATATATCGAACCGCTATTCAAGAAAATCAAAGATAATTTTGATGTTTGTAAAAATTCACAATATTGCTTATATATATATATATACCTTGAACAAATGTAAAATCTATCTAATCAACATTTCCTTTAGTTAAGATATCTATTTACATTTCTATTCTTATTTAGTTCTCTTCTAAATTATAAAATGTCTAAATTTAAAATATGTAATTTCTTTTTTGAAGAAACCTTAAAACCTCACTAAAAAAAAAAAAAAAAAATTTACATTAAATTAAAATCATTAAAATAATATTTATTTTGAAATAAAAATAATTATCTAAAAGTTCATATAAACTTATCACAAACTTAATAGTATATGATACTGTAGGATTTGATAATAATTCATGGTTGGATGGCTAGTCTATTTTCTATGATGAGTCTCGCCTTTAAATAAATTCAAGACCGATCATATAAACTCCTCTCATCTAACTTTACCTAAACGAGAATATCATGCATGGTAATTAATAGGAATAGTTTTTGCAGGAAAAAAAACCTTCATACTCTTCCAATCTTCTCCGTAGGGTCCAAAGATTATATCACGTCCACCGTCCATAAATATATTAATAGCTTTTGATTTCGGGCGGTTTGCAAACTTAAGGTCGTGTGTTTTCATGATGTCATTAGTCACGTCAGGACAAGAAACCACGAGAACAGGTACACGGCCGAAATGAAGGAGCATGAGTGGCCCATACCGGAGGCTGAGGGAATGGAGAGAGCGGTGAGGGTTGAGACCGAGCTGGTGGAGGTTTCCGATCACCGGAAGCCGCCATGGAGACGGTGGTAACTTAAGTTTTGGGGTGGTGATTCGTTTGAAGAGTGGTTTTAGGAAGAGAAAGGCTAAGAAGGTGGTTAAGCACAAAGAGATTAATATGATTTCCATCTTATGTTTGGTTAGTATAGTGTGATTTGAGCATATCTCTACTTTGTGTTATATAGAGGGTTTGGGATCGCATCGTTATAGCTGGCATTTGTAATATCAAAATAGATGATTCTACTAAGTGGGTTTTGGGTAAGTGGCGAATTTTTGGATTCTCCAAAGAGAGGAGTGCGTTATTAGGACCTTTAGCTCCATTCTCAGTTGGAAATGAGAAAAAAATTAATCTGATGAAAAAATGTATGGGTTTCAGTCCAGAACTCATAATAAATTCAATGAAAATGATGATATCTGAAACAAAATATATATACTATGACACCTTTTATAGTTTTAACTTTTAAAAGTATGTAGAACTACACTAAAATATATCCCAAACAGTAGTTTGTAGTAAAAAAATCAATAAGTTTGCTAATCCTTCCTCAGTTCCTTGAGATATAACCATTATCATAAAAAGAAAAAAAATTAAGTGGCGTAATTTAAAGAACAAAAACTGATAACCCGGGCATATGCATTATGCCATAAATAACCCCTCAATTACCTTTAAAAGAAAAAGTAAAAAAAAATGATTTCTTTTCATCTTTTTGATATAGAAAAAACGTAAAACTTAAAATACGTTAAAATAAAATAGAAAATTATTAAAACAGAATAGAGAACAAACAAAAGCTAAAACAATTCAGAGTGATGGCTCAAACTATCACGTAAACCTTCCATTTAAAGTAGCCCGCTACTTAAAGTTAAATATACGTTTATTCCTTTTTAGGTCAAGAATACTGTATCTTTTTTTTGTAAAGAAATCACGTTTATTTTATTCTTGAGGTATTTTTCTCATCACATTAGCTGCCGCCTGCCGCCTGCCAATGGCATCTATCAAGATATCAGACAAATTGGATACCATTTTGTAGTGTTGAAATAGATTGAAATGAGATTAACCATGGTTTATGGTTTCTCAATTCGTGAAAGCTTTGAAAAAGTTTGGAGAAGAAGAAGATGAAATTATATTTTCTTGCTAAAAATATAACAATTGCACATCTATTATATTTATAGAAAACAAGTAACAACGAACGAACCTCTAAGCAAATGGCACTTTTTCTCTAAGCACATTGGGGAGAATCAAAATGGCAACTTCTACTCGGCATGTAGTACGATTGTTTCAGATCAGTACTAGTGAACTCAATGGTGACAGCTGAAGGAGAATGTTCTTTGTGTAACTCTCTGTTGTGCTCAAAAGTTATGCTTTACTTTTTGTTTGAAGACGTACGTTCTGTTTAATTCTATGAGAGGTGATACCAAACATTTTGTTTGAGATAGTCTTTGCTGCCTTAGAGTTAATAATAAGTTGTAAAAATCGTACCACACGATTAGGAGGAATTACCCTGAATAAACGTTTTGATCCTCTACATATGCTTAGAGAGAGTCGTTGTTTTCTATAAATGTAATAACTCTGTAATTATTATATTTTTTAGAAAGAAAATTTCATCTTCTTCTTCTCAAAGTATTTTCAGAGTAGCCCATATCATTATATATTATTTTAGGTTCCTTTCCAGGGCTTTCGATATGTAATCCTGACAATTCTTTTCAAGGTGATGACTCTTATCAGTCCATCACAAACTGAATTCTATTCTTCTGTCCAGTTATAAACATTTTTTATAGAAATTGTTGGTACTGTGTGGGAGAATTCTTTTCTTATATAATTGTTTGAATCAGAACTGGTTGAAAAGATATCTTATACTTTCATATATAGGAAATGGACAAAATATTGTTTAACATACAGAAGCTATTAAATCCTATTCACTCTTAAGCAAAAGAAAAAGCTTATGGATATGTTCAGATAAATGAGAATGATATCATTTTTGGGTGTAACTAGTCAAAAAATGGTTGTATTGCTGACATATACTAAACAATAATACAATAATATGTGTTACTAATATGTAGTACACAATTAGTTAATTTTGTAGCTAACTTAAAATTCAATTGTATCGGTTTAGTTTGGTTGAATAATCAAATAAATGCACCAAAAAGAACGATCATTCCATTTCTAAACATAGCCCTTTATGGGCTTCTCTTAAGCCCACAAATTTGGAAAGAGTCTGTGGGCCTCAACAATCCCACGTTCTAGCATATAACCATTAACCACGTATTGGTTGACAAAATGAGAGTTTTTATCTACTCCAAAAGGGCATCAGTCTAGTGAGTGATTTCCTAAGATAACAATAACATATAGTTTCATCTTTTTTCTGAAACCGGATTTTCATTGATCAATTTTTTTTTTTAACATATTAACAAGCGTTTCTGTATTTCTATGAATAAAGAATAACTTGGGCTGAACTGAAGTTAACAACGAAAAATCCAAAAATGCATTAGAACAGTTAACTTGGACAGGTCTAATGCTTCTTATTTGAGGAGGAGTTGCCATACAAATCTAGGCTAGGGATCAAACGCACAATTATCTAATCATTTTTTATTTGGCTAGTCGGAATGGCATCGTGTTCTTAAGTCCATTAAAATCTAGTGTATGAACTAGTCGCCGGTTATACTCATTGTAGTCGCATATTAATATTATTTTGACACATTAGCATAAATTTGCTAAAAATTCTGCCAAGAGCTACTAGTGTCTAGGCTACAGAGTACAGATATCGCCTAAAGCTTGGCACAACTTCTTGGATTAAATGGACTACAGTAGACCATGGGCAAAAGTCCCAGTTAAGAAATAAACTGTCAACAAAAAAAAATTATTTTAAAAATATTAAAGTAACATTTTCTACGAAACGAATAAACATACATGTCGTTAATTTCACTTAAAGATTTATTCGACACATTGTTACACTCGAGCAAATATTTATATTAGTAATTAAATATGAACAAAACAATGGACATATCACATATATATGTCTATGTATGTCAGTATGTGTTATATATATGTCTGTGAATATGAAAAATGATAAAATAAATGAGTAGATGTGGTGTATATATATACGTGTGGGTTGTATATGTGTGTGAATATGTGAAAAATGATTAAATGAATGATATGTCATAAGATCTTGTATAATGGATGGTTGTCCATTGTTTTGTTCAGCAAAGACAACAGATAGTGAAGGCAACCCATGTGCATGTACACTGTCATCATGGCCACCATTATATTACCATTTCGAAAACCTTATAAGTTGTATTCTTAATTACGATAAATAAATATAGCATAATGCATTGTTATTGCATATTGGAAAAAATGATAAATAAAACAGCCGTCAAATATATATGTATACGCAAAATCATCTGTTTTTACAAGATAAAAAGGCTCTTATCATAGTAACCCTAATTAGATAAGAGGATAATTTTCTGATTTTAATTTATTTTAAAATTTAATTTGATAAGTACAGAACTATAAAAAATATCATCGAAAAATAATTAATATACGTCGTGAACCTTTGAGGTTCGTTATTTTTTTCTCTGATTTGAAGTGAATTATGAGTGTAAACCATGTTTGATGGCGATTTCCTAGTTTGATATAGATATTGAGGGTGGGATGTCTGTCTAGCTTGTACTATAATTAATTATATGTAATCATCTTAATTTAATAGAATCTTTTTGTTTTTTAGACAGCCTAATTTCTTTCAAACAGCTAAGCCATGTGAAATACTTTCCTTAACTTTTCAGTTTGTTTTAATTATTTTGATCATTCGGTTTCAAATAAGAAACCAGTAGTTTCAAACCTGATCAAATAGTTTCAAACCTATTTTTGATTAAAATCGAATCCACAGTTTGGGTTGCTGCGAATTTGATTTTAGTCAAAAATTGGTTTAATTAGTCAAAAATTGGTTTAAAACTAAAAATATCCTTTCCTTAGAAGGATGGACCATTGAAGAATTATTTTTCTTTTATTTTTTTATTTGATTTATAAAATCAATTCAGTATAAAAAACAAAATATTTTGGTTTTTTTGTATCGTAAAGTTTCAAGTTTTCCACACTTCAGTTTGGTGTATTAATTTATCTATTTTTGTCAAAGTTTGCTTTTAGGAAAAAAATGTATCTTTTCATAAAACAAACATATAGATCTTCAAAGAAACTGAATTTGTTTTTCAACTTTTTATCGTTTGACTGACCAAAAAGAGTTCAAAATACAAAATAGAACTGAAATCGCCTTAATTGAAAATTTTCTTTTAGACTATAATCAACATGATTTTAAATATCCAATCACACGTTTCAGTCTAAGAGGAATTTGATATTGGTCGACGTAAGGATGTTTTAATAAGTTTTCAAATCATCAAAAACTAGAAAGTTGGATTGAAGAAATCAAAGCCAAAGAAATTCGAAGTAATATTTATAAAGAGTTATTTTGTTTTTTCGTATCTGCATGGTTTTTTTGGTTCGGTTGAACCAAATTTAACACTTTGCATAAACCGAATAGAAGTAGTAGACTAGACGACCTACGCCAATATCATTTTTTTTTTTTGGTCAAAGACCTACGCCAAGATCTAAAATATAAAATTAATAATCAATTCACAAATTAAATCTATACCATATCATGTATATATCAGCAATCTAAAATAATCATTTTTTAATTAATTTAATCGAGGATAATCATAATCCAACTCAAGTATAATCAAATTAAAGTCTAATAGATCAATGAAATATCTCTTTCAGAAAAAAAAAATCAATGAAATAAATAACTAAACATAGTAATATATACATTGGTTAGTGTTAAACAGAATAATATACATTACAATAGTATGAATATTTTGATCATAATGAGATAAGAGGCGTATATGTTACAACTACAGATCACCATCCACAATTAACAATCCGATTGGTGCGGGCCATACTTTCGATATTTGCCAACTGTGATTGATGTGACTGCCAGCTGGCATATTTTCTCCTCCTGATTACGTTTTTACCCTTTCCTCTTCTGTTTCACCGTTATTCAATTTTTACTATTTGTACTGCTGTCTTTGACCCTTTTCCGGTAAATAAAAGAAAACCAAAACCGAAATCACAACGTCTTCATGTAGACGTAACAAAAGTTATTTCCGGTTAAATTTGGTTTTGTTGAGATTGTGTTAACCAAAAAACAGAAACGGTTTTGACGCCAACGAGGCAAGAGGGGTAAAACGAGAAAGAGGGAATGGCACAAACCGTAATTAAGATAGAAAAATAAGGGGTGGTTTCACGATAAGTCTGTCTATATGACGCGAAAGGGTTTCTTAAATTCAGAGAGACAATTAATCAGTTTCGTGTGTTTGGAGAAGAAGAAGAAGAACAGATCAAATACGAGGAGAGATCTCTAAAGAGATTTATCGTTTCAAGTAAGTCTCTTTATCAAACTCATAATATTTATAAACAAATCAAAACATGAATACGTCGTTTCGATTCTAGATATACGATTTTTTTAATTCATGCTTATGAACTCTGTTTTGTTACTATACTAGGGTCGTTCGATTTTTCTTCGATAATCTATAGAAGAACAAGTTTGTGATTATATAGATGCAGAATATGTAGTAATTATATACATAATTCATGTGTTTTTTTTTAATCTCAATCGTCTACGTTGATACATATATAAGAAGTTCATCTTTCGTAGTGAAACTCTTTTTTGTCCGATTAGGTTAGGTTTCGATTTAGAAAATACGATTAACAAAACAGAATTTTTGGCATGGCAATTATTGTCACCAGGTTTACTTTAGGTGGTGATAAAAAAATACCAATATAAAATCTATCATTAGGAGTAGTTAAGATTTTGATTGAAGAATTACTATTACGATAAGCATAAAAATTTCTTTTGCTGTTCTTGGTTTTTGTCGTTTTGTAGAAACATTGATTAAGTACTTTTGTTTTTTTCACCAGTAGATATGTACTATACACACATAAGTAACATGGGTATATTATATAGAGAGATATTTGATTTTTCTTATATTTCTTTTATTGAAAATAAACTTGTGTAACATTTATTGTTTCTTTGACAGATTTGTTCAAGTTGAGAAGGTTAATTTAATTCAACAACAACAAAAAATGGGTTACTGGAATTCGAAGGTTGTTCCAAAGTTCAAGAAGTTATTTGAGAAAAATAGTACTAAGAAGGCTGCTGCTGCTGAAGCTACCAAGACCTTTGATGAGTCTAAGGTATGTATAATTATTCACCTAATTAATTATTCTGTTAATTATGTAGTTATAGGTCCCATGACACTCCATTATTTGATCATACGTATATCAAATAGACAAATATGTTTATTTGCGGTTAGGAGTATTTTTTAATTATTTTTGTTTGATTCTTTAAAGAAAACGATAACTACGTATTAATTGGACGTTTAGCACTTTAGGTTTTTTTGTCCTGCAATAGTTATCCACTCAAGTGATATTTATTGGTAGTAATTTATCACGAAAATTGATTTTTATACGTGTTTACGTATAATAGGAAACAATCAACAAGGAAATTGAGGAGAAAAAGACAGAACTCCAACCAAAGGTCGTGGAAACCTATGAAGCCACGTCTGCCGAAGTCAAGGTCCCTATCTTCTTCTTTTTTATTCTCCAAGTTACCATTAAGTATTCAAATCCATGTTTAGTGTAATTAAAATTTAAACGGGCAGGCTTTGGTGAGAGCCCCTAAGGAGTCTGGTTTGAAGAAAAACTCAGCGGCTGTGCAGAAGTACCTCGAGGAGCTTGTCAAAATTGGTAAAGATTCAATTACGCTTTGTTATGTGTCTATTTTAATATATCCCGACAACAATATATGCTTGTCTTATATATTTATCGTTTTTTGTCTTATATATCAAATATTTGCTGGCATAAACTTTGGATTCTTATCATGTCTTATAATATTCTCATACTAATATCTCAAGTTTAAACATATTACATCATTCTCATATTGTATCAAATCACTAGTCGCAAGTTTAATACGTCATATTTACTATTGTTGATGGTCCATAATAGTGGTTTACATGTACTCTATGGTTATTATATATATGCTCTTGCATGCCTAAGAAAATTAGCTGATTGGAAACACTCAAATTAGTGTTGATCAAACTTAATTATCCTTTTTAGAAGGCGTTTAGAGATTTATTGGATCATTGTTTCTTTTGCATGCTTTAATTAGAGGAACGTTTTACTTATATGTGTGTCAAATTATATATGAAATGTTTATTCAGAATTCCCCGGATCAAAAGCGGTGAGTGAAGCTACGTCTAGCTTCGGAGCTGGCTATGTCGCAGGACCGGTCACATTCATATTCGAGAAGGTGTGTGTTTTCCTCCCTGAGGAGGTGAAGACAAAAGAAATACCGGTCGAGGAAGTGAAAGCCGAAGAACCAGCCAAAACTGAAGAACCAGCCAAAACCGAAGAACCTAGTGGTGAGAAAGAGGAGATTGTTGAAGAGGTCAAGAAAGACGAGACCCCTGCAACCGCAGTCGTGGAGGAGAAGAAACCAGAGGTAGAGGAGAAGAAGGAAGAAGCTACTCCGGCTCCGGCGGTGGTTGAAACTCCAGTTAAGGAACCGGAAACGACGACTAGCTCCATGTGGCTGAACCACCAAAGCCTTGATTTGTTTTCAAGATGGTATGATTACTTCTCTTGTATGAAAACATCTTTGTACGTAACAAAAAAGTGAAAGGAAGAAACGGAAAGGAACAAAAAAAAAACTTATTTTCATTCTTTTTTTTTTAATTTTAATTTGGTTTGTCTTTGTGTGGATAAATCTCTTCTGTTTTTTTTTTCTTTTATTGGAAAAGTCTTTAATGTGTTATTTATTTATATTCATGTGAATTTGTAACAAAATTATTTTGTGGATGTGTATTCTATAGATATATTTCTTGGTTTCAACTTTCAACCAAGCTTATCGGATCAAAACGTTCTGATATATCTTCAAATCAAATTAACTTACTTATCCAATAAGAAGGCTCTTCAATCTCGTTTTCCTCATTTCGGTAACATCAAAATGACCTCAGGTTATTATACTTACAAGATTTTTAAAAGGTTTTTTCATCAAGAAATTAACAAATAAAAAGTTTGACAAAAACACCAACAATTGTTGCAACAAGAAATCTGACCACGTCGCTTATATCACTTTTAATTAGTGGATCATCACACTTAATCTATAATTTTTAGATTTATGTTTCTCAGATACGCGATTTCTAACAACTAGTGGTGAGTGGTGAAAATTTCGATCATATTATTTGTTAGTAAACCTTTTAACAAAAATATGTAAATATTTTATCTATAAACCCAATTGGGATGTGTTTAGGTGCACGTGAAATTTGATTTGTCTTGCATAAAGAGGAGAGCACATAGGATTTGTTTAAGATGGTTGATACGTGCAAGTAATAAGGGACCTAAATTGCAGACCAAGAAACATATAATATAAATACAAGAAAGTTTTTATTTTCTTAATTCAAATGAAGTGGTAAGCAACTTCAACTTATCTCTTTAATCACTATCTTCTACCTCCTCTGTGAATTTCTTCTAATTATTTTAAGAATGTTACGTAATATTCCACTATTGTCCCAAACGGTAGGCCTAATAAGAAATCAAATCACTTTCAATGTTAGAATTTAAGGATTTTCATTGTTTTGACTTGACCAATTCAATTTCTTCGCTCTTTCTTTATTCCAAATTTAATCCAGCTTCCTTCAATAGAAATCGAACGCATGCGCTCATCGATTTTGTAACTGAACATATATATACCGGATGCGGAACCAAGCTAAACCAGAACCGGTTAGCATACTAATTATATAGCCAAAGTTCTTTATTGTCTCTAACATACTAATTAAGGGTTGTCTTGTTGTCATATAGTTCCAGAAAAAAACAGAGTCTGTATATAGAGCTAATAAGTCTTGAGGTAGTATGCCTCTTGATATTTCTTAAGTTCTCAACGATCCAGGTGCTTCAGTTTCGTGTAAGTATATGTCAATAACAGGAGTAAGCAAACTTATGAACACTTGCCTCTTCTGTAATTTGATTTCCACTCTGAAATTGAGGTGTTGATGAGCTAAGAAGCCTAGAAATACATCAACAACATTGAACTAATCACTTTTAGTCTATAAAATGTATAAATTTTACGTCGAAATCCAAATCAGTTTTAGGCTTAAATGGATTCTACAACAACTACCAATGAGGATATGTAGTTGGTGGAATTTGGCCTTATCGTAGATTTTTTTTTTTTTTTTTTTTTTTTTTTTTTTTTTTTTTTTTTTTTTTTTTAATCTTATCGTAGATTTACATAGAGAACTCTTACTATTCAAACTCTGCCACTGGAGCAGCGGAGCTAATCATGGTATTGTATTGTTCATTAACCTCATAAATGCCAGTACATATAGAATTCTGTATTGCCAATATTCCACAAACTCTAACAGTTCTTGAGCACATTTCGTAAAACAACGGACCTTCCGTAGCCATAGACTTATCGAACGGACCTCAAACCACAACAGCAGAGCCAAATCATTTCCACAGTGAAAAAAACACATTGACAAGTGAAAGAACAAGAAGAGACTACACCAAAAAGTTGAAAATAGACAGGATCATCTAAAGATTTTGATAATTTCAAATAGAAACTTCACACTAAAGTGAGATTGTGACTTGTGAGCCTAATCATGAACTAATCTTACAAAACACATAGAACAGTAAAAGTAAAAAATATAAAGTGCTAGGGTTTAGAACAGAGAAACAGAGTTGCTAGCAATAACTAGGTTGGTGAATTAAAGAACTTATCTTAGAGGACGAAACTTGAGCTCCGAAACGAAACGAGAGACAGCCTTGTTATACTCAATAAGAACAATTCAAGGGTTTTTTTTTCTCCTTTAAATCAAAAACAGAGTTGAAATCAATATTCAACCAAAGGAGAAGATTTTGACACAAACCCAATCAGATTTTCCTGGCCCAATCAATTATGAGGAATGATTTTTTTTTTTTGAATCCCAAAAACTAGACGAATTTATTTTATTAATCATGATATATATATATATACATATATTTATTTATCTTTTGTTGATTTCAGAAGTATTTTTATTGTAAAGAAAAATGTTAGTAAATGCGTAAAAGATGTTGGTCCATTGTATTTTCTTAAAAAGGATTTTTTTTTTTAATAAGAAAGTGTGAAATGCACGCCAACTAAAAGCTCAAAACAAAAAGAACAGAAAAAATGATAATGCAAAACAAATGCATGAGAAAAAGAGACAAAGTAGTACCCATAGGCCATAGCCATTTACTAATAAAGTTTTGCAATGAAAAAAAAGTAGCTCCATTAAGTCGCAATTCTCTCAATTCAAAACCCCTAGCTAGCCATTTGCTGACCAAAGTTTTGCTATAGAAATAAAGTCGAACACATAGCCATTTACCAAGGAACTGAAAAAAGGAAAAGAAGCCACTCCACTAAGTCTCGTTTCTCTAAATTACATGCACAACGAAAAATGTAGAGATGTAGTTGGAGCCCTAGTCCCTAGAAAGATGAAAATATAAATTCTTTATGGAAACTTTAATTGGTTCCTCCACCTCAGAACATATGAATAGAAAGTGATGGATTGGGTTCTTCATTGGTGAATGGTGGTTGTGGATGTTTCCAGCTAAATATCTGTGGATTAATGGTTGGTCTTAAATCCATTCATATAAAACTAGTTATGTTCATAATTAAGTTAGATCAGTCAAAGCTATCTTAGCTCCAACATATATATAGTCAAAGGAGTGAGCCGGACCTAGCCTAGGAAATCAAGACTACTAATCTATATAAGACCAAATATGGCAGTGTTGGATTATTAGTCCATTCTGTGACAGCATTTTTAGTTCTCATACCACAAGTAGATAGAAACGAGGGTTGTATATTCGAATTCAAAACCGGACGAACAATTAGTAGAACTATACTCAAGTGTTTTTTCTTTGATATAAATGTCATTCTGAAAGTTTACATATATATGCTTGAAGAAAATTAAAAGTAAAAGATTGAGACGTTCATTTTAGAAAAATAAAGTAGCATGCTACAAATCAACTGTCTTTGGCTTTTCTTTTTCACTTTAGGCGAGCAAAGTTGATGGGGGAGGGCCTCCTCTTTGTTCTTCTCATATCTTAGGCATCTCAATAATCTAAAATCAAAGCAAAACCGAATAAACTAAAAAGAGCCCATGAAATTGCTAAAGATGGATAGATTTGTTTCAGATCTTCTCTAATAAATAAATCAACTTAAGGTATTCTTTATCACACTTTTCCACGCCAAGTATTTTCGAAGTTCAAACCCTTATTGCTATCATATGGAAGAGATATGTATTCTTGCTATTTAATTTGTCAACAATGGTCAACTATAATTCTATAACCCACAAAATGAATTTCTTCACCATACCAGATAACTTTATCCAATTTAGATATTTTTCTTACAAAATAGTAATAGTTTCTTTTTAGATCATATACCACAATGATCTGCTTCCTTAGTTTATCTAAAAATCTGATGAGTCATTTTCAAAGAGAAACATATTAAAAATATAGAAAAGGTGAAAAATAATCGTAAAGGGGAGATTACGAAATAATTCGATAATAATTGTAGATTGGCATGTACATATATATACTACTATCTTTTTGCAGGTTCATGGTGTGAAAACTTCGAGGAGTATGAAACATTGGGTACAGAAACAGAATCCTTGACAGAGAAGTTATTAATTTCTTTCTTCTAAGACAACAAAAAAACAAAAGTAGCTGCATGCACAATTACCAAAGATTCTAGTTACTTTGGAGTTTGGTTTGTACTGGTTTAGTGGTTGGACAAAGACATTGCATGGCATGCCCTCTTAAATCTGATGGATTAGATTTTGATTTTTAGTTAATTGAACATAAAACGTTAGAATGACATAAAGGTACGATGTTATTCAGGGTAATTATATGATTTATACATACTAAATGACATAAATCGATTCATGTGTTCGACTAAATGATAAGACAGATGGAAATTTAATACATTAAAAATAAAGTAGTATTTGATATCAGGGTCATGTGATATTGTGTTTCTCAATTTTCTATTTTACGATTTTTTAAGGTTATTTTAAAACCCTTCCAATACTTTTTTGTTTCTCTTTTAAAATAATTTTTAAAACTATGTTTTTTAATTTGGTATTGGAACTTAGAGATGATTTTTTTAATGATCAAATGGAATAAATTAATATAATATTTTTACTTTTAATAGACTGTTTTATCACGTAAGAAAAAAGATAAATGTCACACAAAAATTAGGAATGAAAATGTCTACCAAAGCGTATATATATGCTATAGGTAAATTCAATGCATGAAGGGAAGCTCAAGTTTCCCCACACATATTTTTGCTGGAACCGGTAATTTGGTAAGAAGCAGAGCCGTAGCAACGATTTTGAGGGCCACATGCGAGGAAAAAAAAAGGGCCGCTCTAAAAAATTGCATAATTGTAAAGAAACTTAACGCAAACCAAAGATTCGAACACGCGAACTCAGGGTCAAAGGATACCAAACAAAGCCACTAGGCTAAAGACAATCTTATTGTTTTGAGGGCCGAAAAAATTATTAAGCATAACAAGGGCCGCAGCCCTTGCTTCCCTTGCTTCTATTCAGCTACGGCTCTGGTAAGAAGTACTCAAAAGTATCATTTATCAAGTATATCGTTTTTGAAAGAGTACATACAGTATCCCATTTTGGGGTAGGGATAAGATTTTACCATGCGGGTGACAGACCGTGTTGTTTGGAACTAAATGTTCATTGTTAAAGATGGAGTCTCTCGCATCTTCATTTGAAGATTAAACTGTTAATATGAACTTTACCAAATATCTTTTTTTGTTGGATAGTTTGTTAAGGTTCTGAAATTGATTATTATGTCAATTAAACCGTTAATATATATGAACTATACCTAACATGTTGTTTAACTCCTTTTTTTTTTTAATAGAACTGCGATTTTTCTTTTGTAAACTGTTTATATATACATATTGGGCAATGAGAGTTTTGTTTTAAGTCTAACTTTGTGGATTAGCAAAAAAAGAACTTGAAAATCTAGTGGACTATGTGAATATGTCATTGTGACAATATATATATATATATATATATATATATATATATATATATATATGATTTCTAATTCAAATTATCCCAATAATTGGGAGACACAAAAGAAAAAAAAACGAAAGAAAAAAAGAAACAAGAAATCAAATCAAAAGATAAAGAGAAGGTAAAAAAGGTAAGAGGCACTAATCTTTAATATTTATAGTTTTCTCCATTAAAGAAAAAGCGATGATGTGGTGTTCTCATCTTTTGTGAAAGTATATATATTGCTTTTGCTTTGAGAAAAGCAAAAGACCATCCGAAAAAAAAAAAAAAAAACTAAAGCTCAATCCAAAAGACGAAGAATGCATTGGATACTGCAACTTCTTTTTCACTTTTCTTTCAAAATTATAATTATGATTTTCACAATACAGTTTATTCAAAAAAAAAAAAAAAACGAAGGCATGAAATAATGATTATCCTCTTCACTTATTAAGCCACTCACTATAAGCAGAGCAACTCGAGAACATAGTGAGCCCCCAAAACATTAAAGCATGATGATGTCTAATGATGATGATCTTCTTCGATCCATTTCTCTAAATTTTTGGGATTTCTTCGAAGACCCTTCTTCTCTTTCACTTCTCTGAACTTCAAGATTCGTGTCGGACAAATTTTTATTTTTATTTTTCTGATGTTACAATGGCAGACAAGATCTTCACTTTCTTCCTAATCTTGTCTTCGATCTCTCTGTTTTTCTCTCCTCTCTTATGTTCTTCTTTGATCTCACCACTTAATCTCTCACTAATTAGACAAGCAAAAGTCCTTATCTCTCTAAAGCAAAGCTTTGATTCCTATGATCCTTCTCTTGATTCATGGAACATTCCAAATTTCAGTTCTCTCTGTTCTTGGACTGGTGTTTCTTGTGACAACTTTAATCAGTCTATTACTCGTCTAGACATCTCTAATCTCAACATCTCCGGCACACTCTCGCCGGAAATATCTCGTCTTTCGCCGTCTCTCGTTTTTCTCGACGTTTCTTCAAACAGTTTCTCCGGTGAGCTTCCTAAAGAGATCTATGAGCTCTCTAGCCTCGAAGTGTTAAACATCTCTAGCAATGTTTTTGAAGGAGAGCTTGAGTCACGTGGGTTCAGTCAAATGACTCAGCTTGTGACTCTTGACGCTTACGACAACAGCTTCAACGGATCACTTCCTCTGAGTCTAACAACACTCACTCGTCTCGAGCACTTAGATCTTGGAGGAAACTACTTCGACGGTGAGATCCCTAGAAGCTATGGAGGTTTCTTGTGTCTCAAGTTTCTTTCTTTATCTGGTAATGATCTCCGTGGGAGAATCCCTAACGAGCTAGGGAACATCACAACTTTGGTACAGCTTTACTTAGGTTACTTCAACGATTACCGCGGCGGGATACCTGCAGATTTCGGGAGATTGATCAATCTTGTTCATTTGGATTTAGCTAATTGCTGCTTGAAAGGATCAATTCCTGCAGAATTGGGAAATCTCAAGAACTTGGAGGTTCTGTTTCTTCAGACCAATGAGCTTACAGGCTCTGTTCCTCGAGAGTTAGGGAACATGACAAGCCTCAAGACTCTTGACCTCTCCAACAACTTTCTAGAAGGAGAGATTCCTCTGGAGCTATCTGGTACTTCAAAAGCTTCAGTTGTTTAACCTCTTCTTCAACAGATTACACGGCGAGATCCCTGAGTTCGTATCTCAGCTTCCTGATCTGCAAATCCTCAAGCTTTGGCACAACAATTTCACCGGAAAGATTCCTTCGAAACTCGGAACAAACGGGAAGTTGATCGAGATTGATTTGTCTACCAATAAGCTAACAGGTTTGATCCCTGAGTCACTCTGTTTCGGAAGAAGACTAAAGATTCTCATTCTCTTCAACAACTTCTTGTTTGGTCCTCTCCCTGAAGATCTTGGCCAATGTGAGCCGCTATGGAGATTCCGTCTTGGACAGAACTTTCTGACAAGTAGATTGCCAAAGGGTTTGATATATTTGCCGAATCTTGAGCTTCTTGAGCTTCAAAACAACTTCTTGAGTGGAGAAATCCCCGAAGAAGAGGCGGGAAATGCGCGGTTTTCGAGCCTTACTCAGATCAATCTGTCCAACAACCGGTTATCTGGACCTATTCCTGGTTCAATCAGAAACCTCAGAAGCCTTCAGATTCTTTTCCTCGGCGCGAACCGGTTATCGGACAGATCCCCGGTGAAATTGGAACTTTGAAGAGTCTTCTCAAGATTGACATGAGCAGAAACAACTTCTCAGGCAAGTTTCCTCCTGAGTTTGGTGATTGTCTGTCACTCACATACTTAGATTTGAGTCATAACCAGATCTCCGGTCAGATTCCTGTTCAGATATCGCAGATTCGGATTCTAAACTATCTGAATGTTTCTTGGAATTCCTTAAACCAAAGCCTTCCCAACGAACTCGGATACATGAAGAGCTTAACATCAGCAGATTTCTCACACAACAACTTCTCCGGTTCAGTACCAACTTCAGGGCAATTCTCTTACTTCAACAACACGTCATTCCTTGGAAACCCTTTTCTCTGTGGATTTTCTTTAAACCCTTGCAACGCTTCCCAAAACCAATCTCAATCTCAGCTACTTAACCAGAACAACGCAAAATCCCATGGTGAACTCTCCGCTAAATTCAAGTTGTTCTTCGGGTTAGGCCTACTAGGGTTTTTCTTGGTGTTCGTCGTTTTAGCTGTGGTTAAGAATAGGAAAATGAGAGGGAACAACCCGAATTTATGGAAGCTCATAGGGTTTCAGAAGCTCGGATTCAGAAGCGAACACATATTAGAATGTGTTAAAGAGAACCATGTGATTGGTAAAGGCGGTGCAGGGATTGTCTACAAAGGCGTAATGCCAAACGGAGAAGAAGTTGCAGTTAAGAAGCTCTTAACCATAACCAAAGGATCATCTACACGACAACGGTTTAGCTGCAGAGATTCAGACATTAGGTAGAATCAGACACAGAAACATAGTGAGATTGCTCGCTTTTTGTTCTAACAAAGATGTGAATCTCCTTGTTTACGAGTATATGCCTAATGGTAGCCTCGGAGAAGTCTTGCACGGGAAAGCTGGAGTGTTTTTGAAATGGGAAACAGCGGTTGCAAATAGCGTTGGAGGCGGCTAAGGGGTTGTGTTATCTTCACCATGATTGCTCACCACTTATAATTCACCGCGATGTGAAGTCAAACAACATCTTGTTGGGTCCTGAGTTTGAAGCTCATGTTGCTGATTTTGGGCTAGCTAAGTTTATGATGCAAGACAATGGAGCTTCAGAGTGTATGTCCTCGATCGCAGGCTCATATGGCTACATCGCTCCAGGTACATGACTGATTCCTAATACTCTTTTCTTGTACCACACGTAACACTTAATTAAGTCAAATGTTCACTTCTAGCTAAAACTCTTGACTGATCTAAACCCATTTTATCTGTCTTGTTGAATACAGAATATGCATATACACTGAGAATAGACGAGAAGAGCGATGTGTACAGCTTTGGAGTAGTGTTATTGGAGCTTATTACGGGTCGAAAACCGGTAGATAACTTTGGGAAGAAGGGATAGACATTGTGCAATGGTCAAAGATTCAAACAAACTGTAACAGACAAGGTGTGGTGAAGATCATTGACCAGAGATTGAGCAATATTCCATTAGGAGAAGCCATGGAGCTGTTCTTTGTGGCAATGCTATGTGTTCAAGAACATAGTGTTGAGAGACCGACCATGAGAGAGGTTGTCCAGATGATTTCTCAGGCTAAACAGCCTAATACTTTCTAAATGCAGTGATGTTATTATAAAAATTAAATATATATTTTTCTGTTTTATGTGTTTCATAGAGTTTTTTTTTAGAATTGTAATGATGGTTTGGTGATATGAGTTTATATCGAAATTGAGGAGGAAAAACAAGGGTTAGGATTATATCTTTCGTATCATAAAATATCATGTCAAGGATAACCTTTTTAACATTTGATAGAAAATTATGATTTATGTGAAAGATTAAAAGAATGATAACTGTTCTTTGATTCATTTGGAAAACAAAAAAAAAAGATGACAAAAGAAAAAAGTCAAATCACTCAAATATTTGCGTTTTTTTTTTAATTACACAATATATCGGAGAATAAATCACTCAAACATATTTTAAATCATAAAATTTAGAATTTGAGTTTTTTTAGTATTCAATCCATATATTCTCTATCATTGATATTTTTAATTTTTTTTTTGTTTTTTAGCTCGATTTAGAAAAATTTGTCTACATTTTATGCTAAAAAAATCCATATATGTACTAAATCGTTATCCCAACATTATATGCAAAAAATCCAGATATTGATGCTACATTGCTACGTTTTATTCTTATCTTCAGGTGTTTTTGAACTGAGCCCAGCCCAATGATGTGGTTCGATCGATACTTTATGGGTTGGTTTAACAAAAACCGGTTCAGATTTTTCTTTTGGATCCATCCACGAATTGATTGGAGTAAACCGACTTCTAACACTCCTATAGAAAGCTTGAAATTGAATAGAGTCGATGAATTTTCCTCTCCGCCTGGAAAATTTTGGAGCTCCCAGTTGTTGTTAACAACGGTCTAGAGATTCGTGTCTCCTGAAATTGGATCTGAGTTTTCTCCTTCAAGGTTCGTCAATGATCCGTCGCTATTTGCTGCGTTCAAAACCCTAATTTAAGATCCCATTTATGTGATTTTTTTCGTTTAGGTTTTAATCAGGAATGAAGCACTCAAAGGATCCGTTTGAAGCAGCAATTGAGGAGGAACAAGAGGAATCGCCACCGGAATCACCTGTTGGCGGCGGCGGCGGCGGAGGAGGAGGAGGTGATGGTAGTGAAGAGGGGCGAATTGAAATCGACCAGACTCAAGAAGAAGATGAGAGACCTGTGGATGTTCGCCGTCCGATGAAGAAGGCTAAAACCTCCGTTGTTGTTACTGAAGCTAAGAACAAAGATGATGATGAAGAAGAAGAGGAGGAGAATATGGAAGTTGAGCTCACTAAATATCCAACTAGTTCTGATCCTGCTAAAATGGCCAAAATGCAGTGAGTCTTTATAAGCTTAGATGATTGATTATGCCTTTTAAGCTTAGCATGATTGTTTGTTTGTTGAATTCTTCAGAACCATTTTATCGCAATTCACTGAGGATCAGATGAGTAGATATGAATCTTTTAGGAGATCTGCACTTCAAAGACCACAAATGAAGAAGGTAATATAGTATATGATTTGTGGTTATGAACATTCTTTATTTTGTTAATTCAAAATATGAACCATTTAGCTTTGTGTTGATGCAGTTACTGATAGGTGTCACCGGGAGTCAGAAGATTGGCATGCCAATGATTATTGTTGTGTGTGGTATTGCTAAGATGTTTGTTGGGGAACTTGTGGAAACAGGTAAGAGAGTGTAAAAATTTCCAATGAATTTGTTTATGTTGGAATAGAGACTCTGTAATATAACTCACTTGCTGGATCTCAATACATTATCTGTAGCTCGAGTTGTTATGGCGGAAAGGAAAGAATCAGGACCTATCAGACCTTGTCATATCAGGGAGTCATATCGGAGACTAAAGCTTGAAGGAAAAGTGCCTAAAAGGTCAGTTCCACGGCTTTTCCGCTAGTCAGACAAGAGCCAAAGGAGAACTTGTATCAGCCTAGACTCGGAATTTACAATTGCTGCGTACGGATAAGGGTCTACAGGTTTAAGCTGGCGAGATTTACCTATCAGTCTCATCATAAAGGAGATTTCTCTGGTGGATTATATTGTTATTTGATGTTCTGAACTTTTGTAGTAAATCAATCTTTGGATACAGACCCTTTTGTCTAGAACTGGCTGTTGTTTGGTTTACGATTCCCAGTTTTTCAATACAAGATCAATCAATTTGGATACAGACCCCTTAGGCAATCCGGTTTACTGGTTGGATTCTGTTTAATTTCCGGTTTTATAAAAATTGGAATAAAATAAAATCATTTGCAATCAGGTTTATATTTTGTTAGATTTGGGCATTTGGCTAACTAAGGGGGTGTTATTCATTCATGGAGTGAAAGTCAATTCTTAAAGGTTAGATTTGATTTCTGATATTGTTTTTAACAATCTGTTTGTGTGGAGTTCAAAATCTCTGCAGTATATCTTGGATTATGATTCTAATAATTTACTCATGAAATCCAAAGATGTTTCATTTCAAATGATTTGATATACAAAGATTTTACAAGTCTTTTAGTTTTGAATAACACTGGATTTTAATGAAGCATTTTAAATCTTAGTTGAATAACACCAAACTTTAAAATCTATTAGAGTTAGATTTAGAATCATTAGGTTAATAACATTGGATTAGTGTTGGATTTCAATTCTGTTAAAATCCATCATTGAATTTGTTTCTGTTTCAGTTTTGGTTTATAAAGAAGTTCTGATTCGGTTTTGGTTTATAAGTTCAAATTCAAATTCTGTGTTCTTCGGCGTGATTGTAAACCGTCGCGATCAGAATTGGGTCTACTGTTAAAATTGGTACGGAGACGTTTTGAATCACACAAGTTCCGACTAAAAAGGATCTAGTGGGCCTTATAATGGGCCGGTCTCAAAACGATGAAGAGAAGAAAACTTAAGTTGGTTGCGAATTGAAAGTCTACAGAAACTTTAAGGACTGGATTGGAAAAATAAAAAGAATAAAAGAAGTTTTGCACACAATAACGCACCCACTATCTTTCTCCTTCCCTTCCGCCTTCCTTCTTCTTCTTCCTCCTCCTCACTGTTTAACGCAGAGCGCCTCCGTTTCTTCTCTTCTTCTCCTCTCTACACAAATATTTTCCTCTCTTTTTTTTTCATTCTCTTTTCTTCTTTATAATCCTTCTGATTCGCTTGGTGATCGGTACGAGAAAGTTAGAATCACGACAAAGCTGTGTTTCGTTTATTCTCGTTTAATCGGAATCAAAATTGGGTGTGGAGAAGAATTTGAACGAATCCTAGATTTCTGAAAAAAAAAAACAATCACAGATCGGAATCGGAAACGTAACCATTACATAATTCGAATCGGGTTTTCACTTGGGTATAATGATGAGGTTTCTCTTCTTCTTCTTCTCCTTTCTTCTTCTCTCTGAGTTTTTTTTCCATCTTCTCAAAGTTTTTCCGTTTTCCACTGATTCGGTTTTCTTCTTCTTTTTTGTTTTCTGGATTTCTAATTTGTTTCGATGGATCTGAGTTTGATTTGAATAAAACTTGAGATTGACTCTAATGTCAAAAACCTTTGATCTCCTCTGGATTTCGTCTTCTTTGGTTAAACTAATCTCAATTTGATCCAATAACCAAATTCTTAAGAAATTTTTTTCGGCTTTTCAACAAAAATTCTCAGAGCTTCTCCGTCAAACTCAGAAGAAATTTGAGAAGATTTACTCTAAAATCTCGCATAAAACACAAACGCATTTTGCAAATTTTCACAGTTAAATCTTCCTTCACGAATTTGATCTGATTTTTTTTTTTTTCTTATCATTAGGTATCAGAGAGTAAGCCCAGATTGTCTTCCTCTTACAAATGGAGGTAAGAAGCCATACTTGCGACCATCACCTTCAAGAGCAACAAACGAAGACACCACCGTCATTACCACAACCTCCATCGCCGGAAGAGGATTTAACGGCGGATCATGCACAACCACCACCAACACCTCATCTTTAGACGGAGTCCCCAAAGGATTCCGATTCAGATCCACTCAACAACAACAACAACAACAACAAGATCCTAGTCCTAGCCGTCGCGGCGGAGATGTACTGTTACAGTGGGGACAACGAAAGCGATCGAGAGCCTCAAGAGCTGAGATCCGATCCACCACCACAACTACCGCTGATGATTCTTCGTCTTCTTCAGGTCAAGGTAAGATTCAATCGAGTAAGCTCCAAAGAAGATCGATGAATCCTTCTATGCCACCACCACCACCAGCTCCGCCGATTTTCTCTGGCCGGAGTACAAACCCTAGAAACGGTTTCGTTATCGGCAAGAAATCTTTCTTCCCTTCCAGGTTTAGCCTCAAATCTTCTTCCATTTAATAAAATTTCCATATTTTGATATGTTTTATTTACCTTAAATGTTAGAAATTGAGTTTGATTTGTCTTTTTTTTTACCTTTAATCGTTTAGATTTTGTTACTGTAAATTAATCTCTATGATCGTGACTTCATTAGCTTCCATATATTTCTCTTTTGTGCATCCATGTTATGTGATAATAAATACTGTTCCCTGGTTTTTTATTTTTTATAAAGCTATTTTTGATTTTCCAGGTTTGATTTATTCAATTTAATTAATTTTACTTTTCATTTTTTTTGGGTGCGTTTTCTGGTTTTTCATTTTTGAGATCTAAACGTTTTGGTTCATCTTCTGTTAAAGCTTTAACGAAAGTTTGGTGATCTAAAAATTCCTTTTTAGGAAATGACAATAATACCCTTGGAAGCACTAAGAAGCAGAGAGTTGTGTCTTTTGCCTTTCCTCAAGTGCTCTGTTTCTTAGGTTTTTTCACTTGTTGTTTAGCTTTTGGGGTGAAAATATAAACGATTTTTCTCAATCTAAATCTTGTTTTTTTTTTTTGGATAAATATAAGATCTCGTATTATTTTTCTTGCCTTTATTTGACCCAATCTTCAAATCTGGGCTACTCGTTTTGAAATCACAATATTTCTTCTTATTTTCTGTTTTGGTCCCTCTCTTTTTTTTTTTTTTTTTTTTGGTTGTGTGTGTCTGCGTTTTGATTCTGATTCTTAAATATGTAAATGGGTACAACTAGTTTCCTTTTCTAAATTTCTTCCTTATTTTTAACACAAGGAGCAAAAAAAAAATACAAATCTTTCTTCATTTCGTTATTTCATTAAACTCTCTCAAAGTTTATAACTTTAACCTTTATTATACCAAAAAAAAAAATCACCTGTGGATTTATTAAAGCTGTTCATCATCAATCATGCCCAGGAATCTAGAAGATCGATCAGCAAACGGATCACCATCAAGGAACAACATCAACGGCCGTATGATATCCAGATCGGGTGGCTCTAAGCGATCTCCACCGTCTCCTGACCAAATCGAGAAGAGATCAAGCGTTAGAGATCACAGACAAAACGGGTTTGATCATCAACAACACCAAAGAGTGAACAGATCAGAATCAACGGCTCAGGGTCATCCAGAAGTGGAGATAAATGGAGAAAGAGAGAAAGCAACGCAAGAGTGGCCAAGGATCTACATTGCTTTGTCTAGGAAAGAGAAGGAAGAAGATTTCTTGGTTATGAAAGGAACTAAGCTTCCTCATAGACCCAGGAAACGAGCTAAGAACATTGATAAAGCCCTTCAGGTAAATTTATTAATTAATTAAAATAAGTATTTCATATTTATCTCATAGTAAAAAAAATATCATAAATGAAAATATGTGTGTTTTTGGACAGTTTTGTTTTCCAGGGATGTGGTTATCTGATTTGACCAAGAACCGTTATGAAGTTAGGGAGAAGAAACATGTGAAGAAGGTAATTAACTTTACTAAACCCTTTTTTAGTTTTTCTTAGTTCTTAGTTCTTAGTTGTGTGATAATGACAAAAGACTCTTCTTAAAATAATTAAGATAATAATAGAAGAACAAAAGATGGAATGTGTTTATAAAATGAATCTATATATAATTTACATAATATTTTATGTGAAAATATGTGGAAGAGAAGGTGGTGAGTTGTAGACAAAATTGGGTGGACCTTAATATTATATTAATAACATAAAAATATGTATTTTAATGGAATTCACAAAATGGACAAGACATGGGACCTACTATTCCACCTAATGGAGAATAATGTACTGTTATTATTTTAAAATTGTTTGCAAAGTAATACTATTTCACATAAAATAAACCCAAGTGGTGTTGTCACTCTTCTTTTTTTAACAAAATTGTGAAACTTATTTGATCTTTTGATTTTTTATGTGATCAGTTGAATATACTATTTTTATTCAGTCAAAACCTGGATTTTATTCATGTTTTTTCAACTGATTATATTGAATTATATGCAGCAGCAAAAACGGAGAGGATTGAAAGGCATGGAGAATTTGGACACCGACTCTGAGTAAATTTTTGCTTCTTTTTTTTAATTTTGGGTATGGTTTTCGATTTCTCTTTTGAGAAAACAAAATGAAGACGCACGTGTGGCTTGCTTGTGAAGAGCGTGCGAAATAGGCCAGCAAAGAACCAGCAGAGCGACGCTACCGATCGAGAAATTACTCTATTTTTATTTTAATATTTACTCTTATTTTTCCTTCTTTGGTTTATTTTGGGGGGTTCCTAAATTCTTTTTCTTTTGTGTCGTGTACAAAAAAAAAGGTGAAGATCCCTTCCCTTCTTCACAAATCATAATTCCCCTTTTAATTAAGAAAAAAAAAAAAGAGAAATAAGTTCTTTTTCTTTCTCTCTTTGAAGACTCTTTATTGCTTAAAACCTAATAAATTCAGATGAAGCAAGATTATTAATCAATATTATAAATCCAAAAACAACATTAATCAAAAAAAGAAATATTTCTCTGATGACGTCAAAGGTTCTTTGCGTAAAACGTATGAAACTATGAATCCAAGGTTCGAACCTCATTGTCAATGTGAAGGCATCTCACTATTCCGGTTCTAGCTCAAATTTCATTTACATGGTTTAATGGCTCTTTTTTCTTCTGTCGGCCGGTTTATTGTTCGGCTTCAAATTGTAACTAAATGATGTCCACGTCAGTCAATAGCCGGACAGATCCGGTCTGATTCGAACCGGAGAGGGTGGTTATCAATTAACTCATCGGCTCTAATTTAAACCATAATCTTGTAAGAAAGAATCAAAATCTGAAATAAACCGATGGAAATTTCAGGACGGCGAGTGAGAAGATTCAGGATGAGATTCCGAAGAGATCGCCTCGCCGGCGGCGATAACATTGAAAACGAAGCCTCATGTTGCTACTGTGACCTCAAAATCTCGAATTTCAACGAACCCATCTTCCGTCTCGGACGACGATTCTCCGGAGTGATGAAAGTCTGGTTCTCGATCGGACACGGATTCGGCGTCGCTTCTCTAATCCTCGTCACCGTCTTCCTTCTCCTTCAGTTTCACCCAAACCCATTATTCTCCAATCGTCTCACTTCCGCTGTATTCGGATTCTCTCCTTCCATGGTAAGCTCTCACTTAAACAAAAATCCCACCTTTCTAAAATTCGAAGTAAAAGCTAACTACTTTGATTTTGCAGCGTGTATCATTATCCGGCATTGCCTATGTGTTCGTTTCCACTGTTATTACTGTTTCAGTTCATGAACTTGGTCATGCTCTTGCTGCTGCTAGGTGAGTTCTTCAAAATTCCCTTTTGTTAAAGGTCTCGCCTTTTCCGTGTGAACCAAATTGGGTTCCTTTTGAAGCTTTACTCTTAGATTATGAAATTCTTAGGCTTCTTCTGATTGAGCGGCAGTGAAGGAATACAGATGGAATACATTGCCGTTTTCATTGCAGCTATATTTCCGGGAGGTCTTGTAGCTTTCGATAATGATGTCTTGCAATCACTTCCAAGCTTTAATGCTCTTCGTATTTACTGTGCCGGTATTTGGCATAATGCTGTGGTTGGTACTTGGTTCCTCTCTTTGAATTTTTCTGATTGTCTTTGTGTAAAGAGTTCTTGATTTGAGTTTCTTTATGCAGCTCTGTGCACTCTGCGTGTTCGCTTTGTTTCTCTTGCCTGTTATGTTGTCTCCATTCTACAAACACGGTGAAAGCCTCACGGTAATGTGCCTTTTGAGGTTATGTGAACCTTAATCATATAGTCTGTAAAAAGTCTAATTCTGTTGCTTCTTCTATAGGTTGTGGATGTGCCTTCTGTGTCGCCTTTGTTTGGTTACTTGTCTCCTGGAGATGTTATTGTGTCGTTGGATGGTATACAAGTTCATAAACCTAGCGAATGGCTTGAACTGGCAGCGATTTTGGATAAGGAAAACAGTGAAACATCAAATGCTTCCTTGTATCTTGGAGGTTCAAGGAGATTTCATCACGGGAAGGGTTACTGTGTCCCTATCTCTCTGATTGAAGAAGGGTTGAAAGGAAATATGGTTGAGAACCAATTTGTTTGCCCCGGTGATCTCACTGCATTTCGAACAATGCCATGCTCAAATGCAGCCCTGAGAGAGGTTTCTGTTTGTTTGGATGCAAAGGATATCGTCAAGCTTAGCAAATGTGGTGATGGATGGGTGACAACATCAGACACCGATAACAAAAGTGACTGCGTATGTCCACAGGTGAATATTGCTTGAGAATACCCTCAAGACATTATCACTTCGTTCTTTTTTCACTTTTTATGTATTTGATGATTTAATGTTTTAGGGTGATTCGTGTTTACAAGCAATGCAATCTCCAGGCGTATCATGGACAGAGATCACCTATAAAAAAACCTCATCAAAGAATTGTTCTAGACTTGGTCTCGATTTTAATACCTCAAATTGTCTTGGCACGTTTGTTTTTGTTGGTGATCTGATTGCCATGTCACATTCAGTTCATTTAACCGCATACCAACCTCGTTGGCTATTTAACTTCTTTGGAAAGTCCTTCCCGGATATCCTAGAAAGAAGCTTGACCTGCACATTCCATGTCTCTCTTGCGCTAGTTCTTCTGAACAGCTTACCGGTAAGTTTTACATCCAATCCGACACCAAATCTCATGTAAATATCATCTTTGCTTGATCTAGATAGCATTTTTTTGCTAGGTGTATTACCTTGATGGTGAATCAATTTTAGAGTCCAGTCTCCAGTCTTTCACTTGGTTTAGCCCAAGAAAGAAGAAGAAAGCTCTTCAAGTATGCCTTGTTGGAGGGAGTCTCCTTTCTTTCCTTGCCTTCTTCAGAATCTTCCTCGTCGGTTTACCTCTGAGCCGCAAATGGTAAATGCCAGCCCGAGGTCTTGAATCCCAAATCTTTACAACATGATTGTTCCATAGTTAGAGGGGAGTGCCTTGATCCTGGAGTTGATCCAACTGCACTCAGCGGGTTACAGTAACCAAACAAGAATCATGGAAACATAGGATCATGTTGGGATTGTTCATGTTTGATCTCACTGTAGATATAGTTGTATAGCATCTAAATTAGTTCCATACTGTGGATCCACACCTCCTTTTGTTGATTTGATGGTTCACAATTTTATGATGAATCACCTTTGATCTTTTTTGTTTTATACATGTGCCAATTTCGGTTTAGCCAAACCGAAATTGTACCAAATTTTAGCTGAACATAAAATTGAACCCGTAATAACAAATAAATTTGGGCATGGACCGAAACTAATTGTTATCAATTGGGCCAAATTTATGAAATCTAGTAATATTCTTATTTAGGCCCTTTTCACTATTTCACTTTCAAGTCGAATTAAATGGAGATTTAAGGTCGAAAGAGCAATTGGCCCAAACAGAATCGGACACTCAAAAGATATTTTTCTTTCATGGTATGTTTAATACAATACATATTTGGATGCAATGTTCTAATATAATAATCGAGTGTTGCCCTACTTTTTATTTGATATTTGATTTCGATATCATTAGATCATATATTATTTAGCAGATTTTAGATTTGATATGTTAAAAGTTCATTTTAATGATGGTAAACAACGGGAAAAATGTCGTTTAATAGCCGAACTTTCAAAAAATGGCTGTTTAATACGTGAACTTCTTATATGGCCAATTTAAACATGAAGTAAACGTTGACCGGCCAATTTAAACATGAAGTATTCGTTGACCAGGCCAAAAAACACACGCCGTTATCTGTCGTTAACAGATCCGATAATAACCGTTAACGATTCTGTTATTACCTAAAACGACGTCGTTTTAGGCTTAATCGAAATCCCTAAATCCCCAAATCGACGTCGTTTTCTTCGTTTTTGACGCCGGCCACGAGCTTTGTCTCCGATATTCGGTTGAACTAGAATTCCATCTCTGCCACCTGGCTCTGAAACGCTTCCGCCGGTGGAGCTTGAACTCCGTCTCCGACAACAATCTCAGATTCGCCTCGAGCTTCAACTCCAGCATCCACAACACTCTCTGCTTCGCCTCGAAAATCGGCCTTAAAGTTCTAATTTTGGGGATTTTTCAGAATTAGGGATTTGAAAATCAATTTGGGGATTTTCGGGGTTTAGATTAAGCCCAAAACGACGTCGTTTAGGCAATAACGGAATCGTTAACGAGAGTTAAACGGCTGTTGTCGGATCTGTTAACGACAGATAACGGCGTGTAGTTTTTGGCCTGATCAACAAATACTTCATGTTTAAATTGGCCGGTCAACGTTTACTTCATGTTTAAATGGCCATATAAGAAGTTCACGTATTAAACGGCCATTTTTTGAAAGTTCGGCTATTAAACGACATTTTTTCCCGGTAAACAACCCACGGGTGATGATATTTTAATATCTTTTTTTCTATTGTACTTTTAGTTTTCTATAAAGAAAGTTTTTGTAAACAAAGACTGTGATTAGAATAGTCCGAATTATGAAACACCAACCGCAACCTTAAAGGTGGACCAAAGGGGATCTAAAGAGCAGCAATAGATAAGATTCTCAATCCACGGTCCATTTTTTTACGATTATTCATCCTAACATTTCTTATTTTTCTCCTTCGTTAAAAAAACTAAAAATTATATATGATAGATGTCAAAAAAGAAAGTATTACAGTAACCCCAAAAGAATGATGTCTTGAAAACAAAGTCGAGTAAGATATTACGTTTGGTACACTATTTTAGGTCTCACGGTATGAATCCAACATACTATTCTCAACGGTTCAATTTGTATCTTTGATATATATGGTTAAGAATAACTATGTGCAATTGTGTTCAAGGTTTAGTTTATGGTGGTTATATGATTTGATGACAAACAAATAAGATTATACTATTTGGTTAAATACTAACTAAAAGATTTATAGATAACGTAACACATGTTTATATGTATGTATTTAATATTCTTACCAAAAAATGTATGTATTTAATATTTTCACAGTAGATAGACCAAATTAATTGACAAGTAAACAAAACACCAAAGTGATAACATATGAAAACGCGTGCATGTGGACCAACGAGGAAACAAAGGTCGGCTACGTTGGGCTTGCTTCTTAGCCCAAGTCATGTGGTATTCAAAACGCACCGTGTCATTCGTTAATTCGCCTTTAATCCTTTTGTTTTGGGACTAAAATCTCCTTTGCACGTTACTAGAAACAAAACTTATGAAATGAAAGCAACGTTCGTTTTCATAATTTGTTTACAGTGGTCAAATTATAAAGCACTTCACACGTACACAAAATAAATTATCATAAAACAAATTAACTTAAGAGTTAAGAGAAGACATGTGGGGATATGGCTCGGTCGCTTGGTTGCTTCCTCACCGTGCCATGATTCGACCCATGATCAAGACATATATTACGCCTTGCATATGTTTTCTTCGTCTTTCTTCTTTTATATTGTTTCAAGTCTTTCTACTTTATAGTTTATATAGAGACCTAGAAAAACAGATTTTCTTATGCTTATTTCGTTAGGAAAATGTGCAAGTATGATATGAATTGTAAATTTGAAACTTTAGCGAACAAAAAACTAATTATATTATAAAAAAAAAAACTAATTATAAACTATATATATATATATATATATATATTTGTAAAAGATAATGAATTGAGAGTCAATTCAATTTTATGTTTTTCCATAAAATAACGAATCAATCGTTGAAAAAAGTCTTGGACGGTTTCACCATGCAAGGTTTGAAATATATTAGTTTATTTTTATTGATGGTAAACGATGAAAGATTTGCAAATATTCAAAACACACGAAGCCTCGTAACATACGTCAGAAGATTTACAACCGTGTCGGTGTAATTGGGTTAAAGCTAAGCGACAAAGAGCCAAAGAGCCAATAGATTCGGGAACTTTACTCATTTCGATTCTTGACAATTACACTGAGAAGACTTCTCTGTGACTCATGAAATTTATAACTATTAAAAACGCTTTGCTTTTTACTTTTATTGTTTTCATTTTCGACCTAAAAAGTCCGGTATCTTTTTTGAAACAAAGTTTTCTTTTGGATAATCACAGTTACTGTTTTTCAACTACTTTAGATAGTACTATCCATTTTTCTAGCTACCATTGAAACTAGCTAATACAATATAATCATTTTGACTCGTAAAATTTTACCGCGAGAGTTTTGACCATCTAAAATATTATTAAATAATAAAACGGTTAAAGAAATTAAAAAGCCGTTATGTATGTCAAATTTAACCAGTTTGATCTTGTTAAAATAAATTTAGTGATCAATGCTGGTAAAAAAAAAAAATTCAAAGAGTAACTTTCGAATAACATCATTTTGAATAAAGAATAATATGTAGAAAACAATGTATTAAAAATTAGGAACAATACTATGGATGGGGAAATATCCTCAAATATCAAAGCGTTGGAGGCAGAAATTTTTTACAATAAAGATTTCAGATGATTCAAAACCTCGGCGTCTTAATTTTAGTTCTAAAAGAACATTTGCTGACTTTGACAAAGATTTTTCGAGCAATCAAGTTTTTTTCAGTTGCAAATTCTTTTAGTTTAAACTATGGTGGGTTAATGACTCTCGTTTGATATGTGAAATATTTCTTTTAATCTAGGCTAAAGATCGATTCTTTTTTTAAATCTCAAAAACAAATCTTACATTTCGCAGTTTAGCCATCCGCCATCCGTACATGTTTTTAATAATAAGACAAGTTTTATGGATCTAGGGAAAAAAAACAACCTTCTTTTAAACTCAGATCGTAATAGTAATTCATATTTTTTATAAAATTTATTTTTCCAGTCGATTTGTAACACCCACTACTGTCTACTCAATTAAAATTTACATACGTTTGCTCCAAACAATGTAATGATAGGTTTGTAGGTGGTAGAAAAGAAAGATGGATGATAAAAAGTACTTTATATGATTTATGTTGCTAACATTTTTATAATATACTTCAGATTTAATTTTCACATTTTTCACAAAATGTACCATATAAATCAACCAAATAGTACAAATCAAAATTATTATTTAACAGCTATATGTTTTGTACCAGCACGTCATATCAATATATTTACCGTCTGTAATCATATATCTTTCTCCTAAATAGTATCTAAATTCCTTTTAACCGCATAACTAACTTTTTGTCATCATTAACCAACACAAAAAAAAAAAAACTTTTTGTCAGTTGGACCAAAGTGTATGAATTCAAATATATCTGCCGCGAAACCCTAGATCTTAAAAATACTTACGTAGCTTTTTTATTAACTTGTAAAGGTCTTCCAATGCAATTAGGAATAAAAAAAATCGAGATAAAATCGAACATTAGTTAAACTTAAACGATTTTTCTGAAGAAAAACGTTAGTAATATAGAATGAATCTAAACATTTTACAATAATGTTAAAAGCTTTAGAAAATCCAGCAGTTATGAAATTAAGTTCAAACTCTTTCGTGTAAATGTGCCACAAACGTCTATACTTTACTTATAACGAATCGTTAACTTCTAAGGACTTGTTCAATATGCGATTCAAAGATCAATCTTATAGCTAACCAAACATGCATTAATAGTGACACATCCGTCTCATAGATACGTGTGAAACATAGGTCAAGTAATCGAATATGAGGAGATATGTATCACAGAAAGAGGAGGATGTCCATGTGAGCATCAAGAAAGAAGATAGAGAGAAAGAATAGGAGAGAGAGAGAGAGAGAGAGAGAGAGAGAGAGAGAGAGAGAGAGAGAGAGAGAGCACATGCAAAAAGGTATCCCAACTGCCATTACCTAACATTTTCACGTCTCAAGATTGGTGAATGGTCTCTCTATTTTTAATCACCCATGTGATCTTTCTATCATTATTTATCCTCTTTCTCTTTCAAATAGTAACTTTTTTGTCTACTAGTATCATAGTAGAAAGTTCAAAACATTTCGATCGGAGCAAAATACCACTAGTAAATTAATATCTCATATTTTGAAAATTTATGTTTGTGCATAATAGTTATACAACTGAACCTAAATTTAACTGCTAAAATGACAACTAGTTTATCCAAACTTTTTAAAAGCATGATATCACATTCGAATTCATACAAACCTTTTAACAAAAAAAAAAAAACATTCGAATTCATACAATTTCTAATTTACCAGTAAAGTCAGTTACCTCTTTTTTTTTTTTTTTTAACTTTTATATATTTATTCAAACATATTCATAGAAACATTATACTTGACAATCAACTGTCCATAACAAAAGAAAACTAAC